TGATTCCACATTCCGTTATTATTATTATTATTATTATTATTATTATTGTTGTTATTACTTTGGCTGTAATTCATGTTCGGTATTTCCCCAGATAAAGATGAAGGACGACTAAAATCTCTCATTCTAGGGACCTCTTTAGCTTAATTTTTTCTATCTTTTCAAATTTCTTGCTTTAGCACTGAACTTTTCTATAAATCTCCTATTTTCTATTCAAACCTGTAGCTGTTCTTTCATGTCTGAAATGTAATTTATAAATGACCTTAATTTAACACATAAAGGCAAAGCAACTTTTGTACATCAGGTGACTCAGCTAAAAAGTACGGAAAGCACAGTCTCCATTAGGTCCAACAAAAAAATATAGATCGAAATGCCTATATAGAAGCTCCCCGCCGGACCAGTAGAAGCCCCATACTTTTTTTTTTTATTTTCTGTCTAGGCTCGACTTTTGTCTATATTATTGCCATGGAATTTCCCTATCGTCTTTATGCACATATACGAACTACAATTTAGAGCGCACTAAATTTTTGAAAGCTTGGAGCATACGTAGTATTGAAATATTATCAAGAACTAAACAAAAGTAGTGGTAGGTAGCTGGTACACTAAAAAGTTAGTAACTATAAATAGTATAGAAAAAAAAACAGTAAACGGACATGATGATTAAAACAAGAAAAGTAGAAAATTAATTAGCCCTTATATACCTTGTTAGCAGCTAGTCTCAGAATAGATCATTGATACTGTTGTTGGTTTGGCATATTGCCGTTTTGAATATTTGAAAAATACTGTTGATAAACTTGCGAGTCACCATATGCGCTTTGCTGTGGAATTGGGATACCGGGTTGCGGGTGAGCACCAGGATATGGGATACCGTGTGGGATATGGGCACCTGGTGGCAATTGCTGCTGCTGAGCTTGGACTTGTTGTGCTGCCTGTACTTGCTGGGCATGATGAACTTGTGCAGCCTGCTGAGCCTGTTGCTGATGAACTGCGCTTGCATTTGCATTAGGATCAGGCAGCTCACCAGAATTGTCGTCTGATTGCTCACCCTGATCATCGCCTAACCCCTCTTCCGGAGCATTCAAACATGCCTGAATCAAGTTTTTACCCTCTGATTTTGTCACAAGTGGCTGAAGTTTTGGAGTCGTGAACGTGTACACTAAACCCGTTTCACTTACAACCAACAACAAAACTTGAGTACCAGTTAAAACAGACAATTCATATGCTTTTTTCATAATGCCCGCCTTTCTTTTTGAAAAGGTAATGTGACGTCTAGATTTATCTTGAATGAACTTGATTTCAATCTTTCTCCTTTCCTTTTGTTGTTTCCCTCCTGTTCCTTCCTCTTCGTCATCTTCGTCGCCGCCAGGGCCAGTGGCTGAAGAAGTGCCACTGAACTGAGCATTACTAGTACTTGAGTTCAAATGGTCGTCAGGATTTTCTAACTTAGAATCAGTTACTTCAGACATCTCTAGTAATATTGTTAGTAACGCCTCATTTTAAAATCATAACAAAAAACCTTCGGGGATTGAATCCAACATCTTCCTCTTCAGTAACCTTTCAGCACCATGATCTCCAATGCTATCATATTGCACATCCCTCCAGGTTATCACGATCATGATGTTAGTCTTTCACTCTGATATGTGCAACCTGACCATAATAGGAAATGGGCTGGTGCCGAATTAGGTAACACCATAGTAAGTCTTTGTCAATCGCCCTTTGAGTTCTTTAACATAGCTACGCATTTGAGTCCATTCATAGGTCTCACTCAAAGCTCATGTACTTGCTATACTTACTCTTTAATATGTTGAGCTTATTCTTTCTAGTTTATATTAATGTATCCACTTTTTGGTTGATAACTTAATGAAGCGGGCCAAAACAAGAGGGAGAATGCCAAATTTGGAGTTTCATAAAATAGGGTGTGCAAAATTTCATCCTCATGCGTCAAATTACTCGTTCGTGATACGTTTTACGCAGATTTATTTATCTATTATACATATGTGCACTTCTACACAGACAGAGTAATTATTACTCAAAAGCCATTAGACACTATCAGAGGCTCTATGGCGTGCATGCTATCTTCTTCTATTTTTGTTTCAGGGGCCTTGGGGCTCTCATGCCTATTTGGATCGCCATTTTGAGCAAATGAATTTTCTTTAGAATGCATGTCATGTGAGGTCTCTTCGATAGGTTCCAGACTAGGAGCCTTGGAACTCTTATTATTCAATTCATCTTCAATCTGCTTTAACTCATCCACAGTATTTGTTGTTACAGAAAGTTGGAACCAACGATTCAAAATCCTAGAAATACACCGCTTTATATCTTCATGGGGATACTGCTCTAATGGTTTCCTTATTATTAAAATCAAGACCTTAAATAGCCTGCTTTTCATCATCAAAGACTTAGGCAATGTTTTAAGTTTCGAGTCAAGAACGTTCAAGTTCTTTATTACCTCCGTTTCATTCATTTCATCATCATTTAATAGTAACTCATAACACAAATTATTATTTAGATCACTGAATTGAGTAGCGTTTTTCGCAAAGTCTTGTTGAATTTTAGAACTTGCTGGAAAATTATTAATGAAATCTTCTTGCTGCCTCTCGTTTTCGAAGATGAAATTCCCTTTATCATAGTCATAAGCTATTTCATCCAAGCCCCAATCTGAGTCATATCCTTCTAAAGACGAATCTTTTGGCTCCGTTTTCTTTTCAGGTTTAGTTTGCTTACTCGAGGAAACTTTCTTACTTCCCTTTGCTTTTGTTTTACTTGGTGCCAGTTTCTTTTGCCTTTTTTTAGAAGGCTGGTAATCGTCCTCCTCTTCCTCTTCATCGTCTTCTAATACATCATTTCTGATATCTTCTTCATCCATCCCATCGACCGCTTCCTCCTCTTCTTCATTTTCATCTTCTTGCCCATCGTCTTCAGCTTTATTTTTCGAGTTCAGCTTGCCTCTCGAGCCATATCGCACAAAATTCTCCATCTCTGGAGGATCCTTCGCTAGCTTGTATGCTCTGTATAATAGCTGATCTTTTCTCCTTTTCCTATCGACAGATAAATATTTCTCAATCTGATCATCATTAAGTAGTTTGAGTTCTTGATTTTTGATCCAAATATAAGTATCATCGCTGAAAAACCTGACTGGTAAAATCTCAATTGGCTTGGAATTCTTTTTTTTTGATTGCTTCTTGATTGATTTTGGTTTCTTTTCCATTAAATTATCCGGTAATATGCTTTCGTCTAGCACCATAGCTGGCCAAGGAGGATAGCCCTTGACCTTAGCCAAAACTACTGTCAGAGGTATGAATGGTGAACTCGACATCTCTTTTTCTTTCGTTTGAGGAGTTATAGTTGATGATATAGTATCGGACACACCTGCTTCTGACGACATAATTTAATTGAAAGTTTGTAGATACTATATCATGTTGATCAGCGGTCAAATCTCGAGCATCTTATAGCGAAGAGGATTATTTGTGAAATGCACTATAATACTGTATATTGATAACTCTACGTAATAATCCAGGGTATACGACATCATGCTAATTTCAAACTTGATTATCAATTTCCAGTTGAGGCTTCATCTTATGACTTTACTTATCAAAGTATTTAATTTCAAAATGAACAACCTTGAAGCTTAGACTTGAATGCTAAATAACACCCTTTCAAGGCAAAGAAATTGTAATTCTTTGCATTCATCTCTAAATCAGGAGTGACAACCTTTCATCATCTGTGAGGGCATCTGTCTAATTATTAGATCAAATTGTCCCAGATATGCAACATGCCATCTCCACTAGAGCTGACTAGTCTATTAGAATTTGAGGCAAACCGAACTATATTTAATATACCTGACTCTTTTGAATCCAGTATCTTTGGATGCAATTCCTTTGCCTTGTAAATGTGATCCGGGTCATCGAAATAAAAGCTCCATAAATGAATTGTGCCATATTCTGAAGCCCCTGCAATGTAATATAAGCCATTACTGTAATAGTCTTTTATGAGTTGAGAATTGAGCTTGTAAGAAGCCAGGCATGGTTCGCTTAATTTCAACATCCTTTTAGAGCTTTTGAAATCAATTAACTCTATTAATCCTATATCAAAGGTAATCAAGAGCCCCTCTTCATAACCGTCAATACTGGTGATACTACCATTAACAAACAGGTCCGTTATTAAGTTCTGATTTCTCAAATCAATTGAGTACATGTTGCCGTTCGAACTTCCTATAGATAAGATGTTGTTTTCTTGAAAATTCAAGGTATTTAAATTGTCATCACCTGCTGCAAGCGAAAATATGGGTCTACTTCTTTGTTTTTGACGCAAATCGAAGAACTTCACCCTATGATTTGTTCCACAAACTGCAACAAGGTTGTCATTAAGGATGGAACTATCCATTATCTGATCCCTCACTGTATCTTCGGATTCGCTAGCTACAAGCTTCTGAACCTTCTGTTGCTTAACTATGTCCCATAGAACAACCACATCATTTGAGGTAGAACAGAAAAAGTCCCGCGTTTTTGCAATGGCGATGCTATTGACAGCATTGGTATGCTCCTTTGGTAATGTCTGGCTATAAGATTCCAGCAAATTATGTAGCTTGACTAAGAAGTCATTTCCACCTCCTGTTATTGCAAATTGAGTATTCTCTACGAGTCGTAATGAGTTTACTGAGGAATTCTTGTGGGCTTCTATGGAGAAGTAGTTCATTGATTTCCCTGTATTTAAATTAAAGTCGGTATACGTATTCGAATATACAATCGCGATACAATCGCGAGTGATTCGTGAACACAGTTCTCGATCACTCCTCAAGTACGAAACCGACTAATTACAGATTCTTTTGTGCCATGCTGTTTTCTGTGTATCTTACGAGAATGTTGAGAGTGTGGTGTTGTGCCCATTATTTCGTTACTACGTGGGTATTCTACGCGAGTGTTTTCGTTGATTTTCTAATTTGATACTTACATTTAGAAGCCCTTAACTTTCAATGAAGCCGTAGACTAAAGAGCGTGAACGTGAACGTGGGAAGTCTCGTACTCGGCTTTTATATGCTAACACTTTGTCTCCTCATCAGAGCGATTAGGCTAGATGTTCGATACTTTATACAGAGCTAAAATGTAAATGCGCATGAAAAAAGTGTAATAATACATCGAACAGATGTATGTTCTTTTAACATCTTAGCTGTAGATAGTTTAAGGCACTATATATTATAAGAATTCAATTATAAGGAGTTTAAGATCTAGAGCATTTTGAGCTAAATAGAATTCTTTCCTCATGATCGTACGTTCTTTTATATTATTGCTCATCCATTTAGTGGTCGTGTTGGCAGTACCCTTTAAATCGACAGGAAGAAATGATCCAAGAAAGCAGTTTATTTCATCAAATTTGCCAGGTCTATATGAAAATATACCTAAAAATGAAATCCCATTAATGTTCTCTGGGCAACTAAAGCTATATGAGGAAAATAATACTCATCTTTATTATTGGAAGTACAGTGACCAGAATAAGCTTCCGGAGAACAAGAAACGTTCTATCTTTTGGCTAAATGGTGGACCTGGGTGCTCCAGTATGGATGGTGCCCTCATGGAAGCGGGTCCCTTCAGGATCAATGATGAATTGAAGGTGACATATAATAATGGCTCATGGCATAAGCTAGCTGATATGATCTTCGTTGATCAGCCCGCAGGAACGGGTTTTAGCTTTTCTGATGAGTATTCAAAAACCTTAGATGAATCTACAGCAGTTTTTATGAAGTTCTTGGAGAAGTATTTTGAAGTCTTTCCTGAAGAACTTGATAATGAAGTTTACATAGCGGGCGAGAGTTATGCGGGTCAATATATTCCTTATATTGCTGAACGTGTTTTGAAACGAAACAAAGAATTGAAGAAGAACGAAAAGATTTATAATCTTAAGGGTCTTCTAATTGGAAATGGGTGGATCTCTCCTGTGGATCAAGGATTGTCTTATCTACCGTTTTCTTATCAGGCGGGTCTTATAAGAGAAGATAACAGTAGGTGGGGTGAGCTTTTACGTAAACAGGAACGTTGCCAGAAACTCAGAGACAAAATCGATGGTGCTCAGGATTTAAATACCGCCCTAAAGTATGAAGATCAAGAAAACGTTTGTGAGAATATCCTTACTACTATTTTAGAAGCTACTAGCGAAGACAACCAATGCATAAACATGTATGATTATACTCTACGTGACTCATATCCTTCTTGTGGAATGAATTGGCCTCCTGACTTGAAGAATGTGAATCCATTTCTTAGAGATGACAAGGTGATGGAAGATTTGAACATAGCCCATAAGGCTAAATGGATGGAATGCAGTGGAAAAGTATCAAGAAATCTTGATTCTAACCCTGTGCCATCTATATATTTATTGCCCAAGATTTTATCAGAAATTCCCATTGTTCTCTTCAATGGTAATAGAGATATCATTTGCAATTACCTTGGCACAGAAAATTTAATTAAAAGGTTGGAATGGAATGGTAAGGTAGGTTTTTCTGAGGATACAGAAGCCATGAATTGGATATATGACAATAAAACTGCAGGGTATATCAAATCAGAAAGAAATCTAACTTTTATAAATGTTTTTGATTCATCTCACATGGTGCCTTTCGACAAGCCCGATGTATCAAGGTCTTTGATCGATATAATCACTGGTAATTTTGATATTGAGTCTCGAAATGAGGGCAAGAGTTCCTTAATCACATACAAAATTGGACTTCGTCATATGATGAAGAGCGAAGGACAGGGAGGAGAGCCTCTGCCTGTTCAGTCTACCCCTGCTATTTCATCATCCGCTGATTTGCCATCTTCAGAAACCGATGACCTGGATAAAGCTGGCAACAATTCAGAGAACGGACGGGAGCAAAATTCCAGTAAGATTACAAGGCTTATTCAACTTTTGGTTCTCCTTGTCCTCGTATGGGGTGTTTATGTATTGTATTCCTCCTACAAATCAAGACCTTCTTCGATTATTAAAAGCGGTCCTTCTTCGGGTAAAAAGAAAAATGTACAATGGGCAGATCAATTGAGACAATTCCAAGAAGATGATATAGGAAATCAACCTCCAAAACAAGGCTTTTTCATGAAAACTTTCAGTAAACTTAGAGGAGCTGACCCCAATGGAGTTTATTCTCCAGCTTCGAATAAGTACGAGGATATAGAGTTGGGTGAACATGTAAATCAAAATAACGCCCATAACGATGATGATTTTATTATAGAAAGCGAAGACGAAACTGAATTGCCTATACAAGATTATAGCGAAGAAGAGAACCAGAGTCAGCTAGATCATGATTCTAGCAGCTTCCAGCTAAAAGACTTCGAATCAAAGGAAGCCACTGGGTCTAGATAGGTATCTACATAAAATTTTTAGAACTTCAATCCATCCTTATGAATACTATTGATGTGCGCGAACCGGGGAGTTCAATTTTCTTTGATTTTTCTATCTTGAGCAGTAGCTATAACTAAAAATTTCGCAGAGTTACGACTTATCTGAAGATCGTCTGAATATAAATTTACTGAGAGGCGAAAGCTTATAGTGGTATTCTTTTCTCAAGAGTTTTGTTTATATGAAATGACTAGAATACAAGGAATTCGCTTTTTTGCTACCCAAGCAAAACAGATATTCAATATTGCAGAACCTCCTAAATATACTTTGGGGTCATTAAGATCTTTCCCTTCACTAGAGCCCCATGAGTTCATTCCGCTTCCCGATGTTTTCTTGAATGTCCCATTGCGAAGAGATCTTTTATGGAGTGCTGTTGTCTACGAAGCTGATAGAGCTAGAGTAGGATCCAACTACGTTTTAACTAAGGGCGACAAACTTTACTCCAACAGAAAACTTCATCCTCAAAAAGGCACTGGTAGAGCAAGGGTTGGTGATCACAATTCTCCTATAAGATACAATGAAATAAAGGCCCATGGTATTAAGGCTCCTCATGACTGGTCTACGTTATTGCCAAAAAAAATATACAGCAAAGCATTTCAAAGCGCATTTTCAGATCAGTATAGAAACGGAAAGCTCTTCATTATCGGAGGTCTGAAAAGCGGCACATCAGATGAAGTAATTGTAGATTTCATGTATGAACATCCAGAGGCAACTAAACAATTTGTTGATCGCCATGATTTGAGGAACTTGAGCTTGTTGTTTATCACTGACGTCCAAAGAGATAATTTAATCAAATCCACGGAGGCTATTGGTAAAAAGGCTGATGTTCTTGTGAAGGAAGCCGTGGAGGTCAGAGATATTTTAAAGGCAAACAGGATCTTCATTGAGTTGCCGGCACTACAATGGTTCATCTCAAAATATTCGGTCGAATAACTAGAACTCATCTCGCGCATTTCTCTCTAGAAGTATGTACTTGTATATATTTAAACGATCAATTGTAATTACTTTGATTTTAAATACTTCGGAATGAACTACAAAATGATAAATTAGGTGTGTTGCTCGTACCTGAACGATTGTAGCTAGATGCTTATTTTGTGGTAATAGCCCTATTCACGTGATAATAAAACTATTCTATTTAATTCAATTCAATTTTCATTACAAAAATTTTCAAAGATTATATGCAGAATTTGGAGAGCTGTCGGTGGGAAAAAGTATATGAAAAATTGAATAAGGAAAAGTTTAAAGATAAATAAGTTCAATAAATTGTTCAGACTAATTTACAAGAATCCTACAAGATGTCGTTAGTTGTCCAGGAAGAAGGTTCATTTCAACATATTTTACGGTAAGTTTAACTTTAGAGAGAGAGATGTTTCGTCAAAATTGAATTAAATGCCGTAGTTCGTGTCATCACTGATTAATATCTGGCACAAGTTAAATAAGAAAGATCTTAAGGCTGTGGTATATACATCTGAAGTATTGGGGTCTTCATTATTGGTCACTCATATGGAGTCATTTAAGATACTGGCGGTTGAAAACTTCGTAATATGTATGTTTTCATCATTATAGCAATCTGAAGTTATTTGAGCTACTCGTAACTCGATTTTTACAAACATTTCACTTCCTAGCAGTTCATAGTATGTTTTACTAACATTCCATCTAGTTTGTTGAATACCAACATTGATGGTAGAATCAAAATTATGTACGCCTTGACCAAGATCAGAGGTGTTGGTCGTCGTTACGCTAACTTGGTTTGCAAGAAGGCGGACGTCGATTTGATGAAGCGTGCAGGTGAATTGACCCAAGAAGAGTTAGAGAGAATTGTTACCATTATGCAAAACCCAACCAATTATAAGATTCCAGCTTGGTTCTTAAACAGACAGAAGGACCAAGTTGACGGTAAGGACTACCATGTCTTAGCCAATAACTTGGAATCCAAGTTAAGAGATGATTTAGAAAGATTAAAGAAGATCAGATCTCACCGTGGTATCAGACACTTCTGGGGATTAAAGGTCAGAGGTCAACACACCAAGACAACCTCTCGTGGTCGTTAATTTTAAGTTACTTGGTTCAACAACTTTTAACTCAGCTCATTATTTGTTAAAATGAACTAGGATTTTCTTTTAGTGTTCATATAACCTCCATGTAATTTAATAAAATTATACGTTTCATAAGCTCTTATATAGACAAAAGTAATCTCAGTTGGTATGAGTTTAAAAGTAAGATGCAATCTGGTAATATATGTTGATTCGTTTCAATTAATGCTGTTGAGTTGGGCGTCGCGTTAACTTTTAACTTGCTCCCAGGCTTTGTCATGTTCATGGGTTATTATATTAATACCCGATTCTAGTACCTTCTTGAAGATATTAATGGACTGAAACTTTAAGCGGAGGTATTACGGTATCAACCATTTGCGATAATAGGGTGGTATCTATATACTGTTGAAAAATGCTACGAATCTTTAGAGACAGTTTTTTAATGATTCGAAAAATTTTATTTTGACTACTTCCAATTTCCTGTTCTCAAAGACAATAAGTTTTCGACACATTCGCTGTCTTTCACTTTTTTGTTTGTCTTTGATATGTTGATGTTTATCTCTCCAAGCGGTTGTCTGGTGCTTGGAAAGTTATTTAAAATGCTATTAATGCTAGTTTTAGAACTTAAGCTTTCCTTCTCACTGAAACCGTTCAATTTTTGATTCTTAGCAGTTGATGGTGATCTAGTAGCTGGAGTCAATTTGAAAGTCATTGTACTTGAGCTCGTCGAATTTAGAAACTCTGGTTGTTTTTTCCTCGTCTCATTCAAGACTAAAGTGTTAATACTGTCAACAGAAGTGCTCGATTCTTCATTGATAAACGATGAATTTGGCGTTATCAATTGTTTGACCGTCTTATTTGCTAGTGGTGTAACCGTGGAACTGTGAGGATTCAGAAAAACTGGTATCGAATTAGATCTATATGTGACTGGAGACTGGTTATCGATAACAGTAGGGCTGTTTATGAAAGATTGTGACTTACCAAGGACTGGTTTAACCGGTGTTGAAGAAACCAATGTCGCAGACACTGGCGGAGTCGGTGGAAGAACAGTTACTTCCCTTTCACAGTTACTTTGTTTTCTAAGACTTTGCCTTTTATTTTGAAACCATATTTGAACAGCTTTTTCTGACATTGATAGTCTGCTGGCAATCTCAATTCTTCTTGATTTATTAGGAGTTGAGCCTAAATCAAATTCTGTGTTCAAAATGGATAACTCATTTGGTGATGTTCTTCTTCTCTTTCTTCTGGCAAGTGGAATATTGTCAATGCTTGGCTCTTGTGATGGAAAAGTGGCAGGAGAGTGAGAAATAAATGCGAAAGCTTTTGATTCCACACTAGATCTTCTTAGTTGCTTTTTGATTGAGTTACTTCTACTGTCCTCTCTCTTGATTTTACAGACTTGAATTTCTTCGGATTGCTTGCATTCCACTTCTCCAACTCTTGGTCTTGAAAATCCAGCGTGTGATTCTGACTGCCTTATGTGGGGTTGATACCTTATTGCAACATTAGCATCTGTTTGCACCCTAGGCGTCTTGTCTAGAATATCCGCAGCTAGTATTGGATTTTCGGGAGGACTTTCTGGCTTGTTCAAAGAAAGTATAGACGACAATGGCGGTAAAACTGTCTTCCCATAGTTTGTTGGAGTCGATGGTAACATTGGTCTTTTGGGCGTTTGTACATACATTTTGACAATCGCGGCTAACTCTTGATCGTTAGCTCTATTTTACAACTATTAGAACTTAATGCTGTGCCTTTACCTGAAGCTTATATATATAATAAAACTCCTTCGAGGCTCACATATGTTTACTGCGATCCACGCTACCGAACTTTTCTATTTAATTAGATGCTTTTAGGACTTTAAAACGAAGAATCGCGATTCATATATCTGATTTGGACAAATTAACTGCATTATAGTAGAAAGGTAAACAAATACCCAAACCGCGACTTATAGTCAATTGACAACGCTATCCAGTTTCGCGCTTCGTTAATTTAAAAGTGTATTGTTCGTTTAACTGAATTAGGTTATATGATTACCTGACTCGGCAATAACCAGTTGAGAGAAGATATGCCAATCTAGAAAAACTATTCAGGTCTAATGATTGGCAGGGGTAGAAAATCGTTCCTCAACCCGAAGCACTACGATGCGCGGAATGATTAATAATGGGCCAACATTATAGCTGATGGCTACTCAAGTAAGACAGTCCTAGATATAGGTGATATAGGTGATGCATATAGAGAAGATGGGCATTGACCTTGACTTTTTGCAACTTTCTGTATCGTCGTCCGGTGAGCCCTTTATAGCCGGCCAAGAATGTCGCATATCGGCGTTTTCAATGTCGTTACTAAAATCCTGGAACTTGCACGTGTGTGCTCGAGGAAATGGAGTTAACAACTTAGCTAATGACAAAGCTTGTCAAAACAGAACTTTGTGAATAGAAAGTTGTGACGTTCCAGGGACGGCCCAGAGAAAAATAGCACAAACCTTCAGCCTCACATAGAGCTTATAAATTTCACAGCAAGGACTTTGAGGAAGATAACGCCAATTCGCATACTAGAGTTATCAAGGAGCTTAAAGCAAGCAAGATAATAGATCAATAGGATATGGTCCCTGGTGAACTGGGCATATGGAAATACGCTTGGTATCTCGTTTTCGTTTTAGTTGTATATTTCATAGCTGAAAGACATCGAGATGGGACTGCCCAATTAGAAGATAACTTACACTACGAAACGCTTCAAGTTGAGCTGATAGAACTAAATGAAGAGAAGAAAAATGCTTTGATTGAGCTCGGTTTAACACCAAGAGATCCACTAAAGATTTTCATGTCAAACGGAAAAGAGAAGACTTTGCATGGACGTTTTTTGCACATTACTGACATTCATCCGGATCCTTTTTATAAGAAGGGGACCAGTCACGATAAGCTTTGTCATCTGGGTAAGGGAGATGCGGGAAAGTATGGGGATGCAATTTTAGGATGTGATAGCCCGATGAGTCTAATGAATGCAACAATTGAATGGATAAAGGAAAATTTGCAAGACAAAATTGACTTTATAATCTGGACGGGGGATAACGTTCGACATGATAACGACAGAAAGTATCCTAGAACTGAAGAAAGCATTTTCCAAATGAATGAGCTCTTGAGTGACATAATGTTTGAGACATTTAAGAATCATGACCCTGCCAATCCAAAAAACATGAAAATAGACTTGATTCCTTCTTTGGGAAACAACGATGTGTATCCTCATAATATGTTTGCTCCTGGCCCAACATTACAAACTCGTGAAATGTTTAGGATTTGGAAAGACTACATCCCACCTTCACAATTACATGTTTTCAATAGAGGTGCATATTTCTTCCAAGAAGTTATTCCTGATCAATTGGCTATTTTATCAATTAATACTTTGTATCTATATCAATCCAATCCTTTAGCTGATAATTGTGACAAAAAAAAACAACCAGGCTATAAGCTATTCGAGTGGTTGGGCTACGTCTTAAAAGAAATGAGGGTGAGGAAAATGAAGGTGTGGTTGACTGGTCATGTTCCGCCTAACGAAAAGAATTACGACGTTTCATGCTTACGAAAGTATATTGCTTGGACGCACGAGTATAGAGATGTCATTGTTGGCGGCTTATATGGACATATGAATTTGGATCACTTTATTCCTCTTGATTCTGTGGCTGCCTACAAGTCGATTAGACGTGACCTTGGTCCTGAAGTTGCTTTAGATGATCTCTTTGAAAATGAAGAAATGATGAGTATAATGGATGACACTGAGCCTTTAAAAGGTACTGAATTTGGGTCTGAAATAAGCATAAAAGCGGGTATACCATATAATAAAGTTAGATATATGGATGGCCTTCGAGAAGACCTTTATGCTGCAGTAAAGGGACGCAAAAAAAGTGGGAAAATGAGTGAAAGATATTCAATTGCCCATGTAAGTGCTAGTGTCGTTCCAACTTTCAATCCAGGCTTGAGAGTTTGGGAGTACAATACTACTGACCTTGACTCACTTCTAAACAAAGAACATAGGCTGTCCGATTCTTGGGAATCATTCTTTGTGGGCCTTGAAAAATTAATGGAGACTTTCGATAAATATGATATTGAGGAAGAAAATATTCAAGGGAAAAAAAAACTGAATGCTAAAAAGAAAAAGAAAGACAAAGCTCTTCCTCCTAAGATGCCTTCCAACTTACCTCTTGGGCCTGCTTATTCTCCCCAGACATTTACTCCTCTCCGTTATGTTCAGTACTATGCCGACTTAGAAAGTATTAATAACAATAAGAAAAAATTCAAATACGAACTAGAGTATTCCACTGACAAAGAATATGGGTTGAAAGATTTAACTACAGATCTGTGGATCCAACTTGCCAGAAAGCTAGGAAAACCTGTTAAAAATAAAAAGAAATCTAAGTCCCAGATCGGGACAGAGACGGGAAACATGAATGTTGATAAGCTTGAAAAGATGTGGAAAGCGTTTCTTAAACATGCTTTTACTAGTAGTGGATACGAGCTCAAAGGATTTGGTTAAGTTAATATTTAGAACATATACAGTATTAGATATGAGTTATTGTAACAATAGATATTTCAGCTTATACTTTAGCACGTGCTGAATACGAGGGCTTGCAAATTTTAGTTTTTGTGTAACTTCATTTTGGTGAAAAATTTTGATGGGTGTCTGTCAGGTTCTCACCAGTACGTAATTTTTCATTGAAGTTCAGAGTTTCTTTTAAGAAAACTATTTGTTATAAACTATTTGGGACCATTAAATACTCCTATCGTCAATCAAATTAAAAGTCGAAATGGGTGGTACTCGTGAAAAGAAAGCTCAATACTTCACCAAGTTAAGAGAATTGTTAGAAAACTACAAGTCAATCTTCATTGTCGGCGTTGATAATGTCTCTTCTCAGCAAATGCATGAAATCAGAAAGGCTTTAAGAAAAGATGCTGTTGTTTTAATGGGAAAGAACACTATGGTTAGAAGAGCCTTGAGACAATTCATATCTGAATTGCCAGAATACGAGAAGTTGTTGCCATTCGTCAAAGGTAATGTCGGTTTCATTTTCACTAACAGTGACTTAAAAGAAATTAGAGATGTCGTTGTTTCCAACGTTGTTGCTGCACCAGCTAAAGCTGGTGCAGTCGCACCAAAGGACGTTTGGATTCCGGCTGGTAACACTGGTATGGAACCTGGTAAGACTTCTTTCTTCCAAGCTTTAGGTGTTCCAACCAAGATTGCTAGAGGTACCATCGAAATTGTTTCAGATGTTAAGGTTGTCGGAACTAATGCTAAAGTCGGACCTTCAGAAGCTACTTTGTTGAATATGTTGAATATCTCTCCTTTCACTTACGGTATGTCTGTTGTCCAAGTTTATGACAATGGCCAGGTTTTCCCATCGTCCATCTTGGATATCACAGATGACGAATTAGTCAGCCACTTTGTTTCTGCGATTAACACTATCGCATCGATCTCTTTGGCCGTTGGTTACCCAACATTACCGTCTGTTGGTCACTCAATTGTAAATCATTACAAGAATGTTTTAGCTTTATCTATTGCAACTGATTACACCTTCGAAGGTTCAGAGGCTATTAAGGACAGGTTAGCTAACCCAGATGCTTATGCTGCTGCTGCTCCTGCTGCTGCTGCCGCTTCAAACGAAGCTGCTGCTGAAGAAGAAGCACCTGCTGAAGACGCTGAAGAATCCGATGACGACATGGGATTCGGTTTATTTGATTAAACTCTATAGAAAACTAAATAGCTTATTTTCTATTCCCTTCATTGTGGTAGCTTACTACTAATAAAATTTTCTATACAAACTTATCTTAAATTAGAAATTTTTTTTATTGCGAAATTTGTGGTGGGGACCACAATAAGATCTCAATTTGCAACAATCACATAGATCAGATGAAATTAGTCTTATTAGCATGTCTTCGAGTTTCAACTCCAAAATTAGTACCTTAAATGACACACATCCTACATTAAGACAGTATTACGTAGAGCCATTAACAAAGAGATTTACGATATGCATAGCAAAAATTGACTTGATCATAGATGATGCACCTTATAGTAATATTGATGATCTTGCAGATAAATATGAAGAAGTAGAAGAGTTATTGGTTCAATTTTTAACTTTATCAAGGGAAATTGATGATGGCGAGACTGATACTTTAGGACTACTTGCGGTCAAACTATCTAAAATCTTAAAAGTTTTAGTACTTCAATCATATTTAATACGGTACTTACTGAATTTTGACGTTATGTATGAATTTATGAAGACCAGCACTATACTAGATTCTTTAGTAAGGTTATTATGTTTTTCCTATGGTATTTTACCATTTAATCCTAAAAGAATCAAAATTGAGGACGAAACAACGAGCCTGCTAATTTTGAATTTTACCAAATTGCAGACTAAATGTTCCAATATTATGAATCGTAGAAATGGGCAATTGCATATTCAAGATACTTTCAAAGTGTCAAAAGTGAAAAGGCTTAAAAATTGTCAGAAAGGTACTCTAATGGGTATCACTGCCTTAGAAAAGCGTTCAGTCCCTGTTCCAAATTCGAGTCCTGATTCCCACGAACATTTTAATGGTGTCACTAAATGTTTATTTGCAATAATTAGCAAATGCGTGGTTAGTGTCTCAATTTTGAAGTTATATGAGACTGATGTATATACAAACTGCCCTATTTCTTTTTACCTCGAGAGTTTACATGTCTTACTTCTAAACTACAAGCAACAAAGTTCTCCAAAAGGCGAGCACAAGTTAATTCTAAAATCGATCTTATCAAGGGCCCTCAAAGAGTCAGATTCTGACTCTTTGGAAAATTATAAACCGGTAATTCGATTATATCACGAAATCTTGGATGCTGACACTGCCTTGGAAGAAGAATCGAGCTTTTTTAAGAAAACAGTTTTGAAATTGACAGAGAATCAACCAAAAGTTATTGAGTATAATAATTACAAATATTACATTGAAAAACAAGTGAAGGAGCCGGAATGGGTCAATGTTTTCTTCGGGGAGCTGAAGGGTATACAAAATCGCATTGATGATCACAAACTGATTCGATTTCAAGGAGAAAATACAGAAACAGTGACTCTGGTACTTGCACATGACTTTGACACCACTGATTTACAGCAGCCTAAAAGGAGGGATGCAAAAACAGTGCTCAAATCGTTCATTACTTTCAAATCCTCAAAGCTTCCGAAGAAATCTTGTAAAAAATGTAGATTTTTTCCATGGCATAACAGATTTCATAAAGATTCAGCATTTAATTAGTATACATGACTATTCATTATTTACAAGTGATCTTTCGGTTCAATCAATCCCTTTTCCTAATATGCTCTCTTGGTTCTTCAAGGAATGTCTTGAGCTCACTTAAGACAGGGTGTTCGATATGTTGAGTAAGTTTACTGGGCTTTGGCCATTCTTCTGGAAGCAACCCAGCCCTTTTAAATAAGAAGTTTACACGATCTGAAACCTCAGCGCCAACACCCAACCAATACTTAGATCTCTCAAAATCAAGCTCTATATCTTTATAAGGCTTAATGCCCTCAGCTTTTTCCACTGGTGTTAATGGAACAGGTACTGGATTATAGGTACCGAGCACCTCAATGGGTAATTTATTACGGGCCGATCTCCGGTTAGCTACCACGATATTATAAAGCGGTTGATGCTTTCTTCCGAACCTTGCTAATCTGATCTTTATTGGACTTCTAGTCAGCATGATTTTATCGACTGTTCGATATAAATTTTGGAATTTTTTGTTCGTCTTACATCTCAATTTTTACGAGTAGTAAATCCTACACAAGTCATGTGACAACCAATCACGGCGAAAAAGCCTGTATATTACTTAGATGTAATTAAGTACGTGAGTATATAACTTAGAATTTTTTCCTGCTTTTAAATTTATGTTTTGGCTTCGATATTTTGGATTTATTAATATTACGGCTTCTGGAAGGTTTCTTTTCAGGAACTAAGCTGTCTTCCTCTTCAAAATCATCTGATTCGTAGTTATTTCCCGATTTTTTGAATTTAAGTTTATTTCTTTGGCCTCTGATAGGAGCCTGTTTAACTGCATCCAAGTATGCATCAATCCCAGATCCATTTTTAGTCAAAATGTCATCATCCAAATTATCATCATTAAATACCAACTTTCCATTTTTGGTTTTGAATTCCGATTTCCTATTGGAAGCTTCAGACTTCGATATAGTCTTCGGCTTTGAAGAGGAAATATGAGCTAGGGATTGGCGATCCATTAAGTCGAGTGGTTCATCGCCGGTGTCCAAAATAAACTGCTTAGCTGGACCTTTCGTTTCTGACTCGTAATTATCTTGATTATCGTCAGAATCATCAGAGTCATACAAAGCTTCCTCGTAAGCCGATACGAAATTTTTGTCACCTTCTTTGTTCTCTTGAGTGTTAGTCTGTTTATTCTTTGCTCTATTTTTAGCCTTCTTGATACTTGTAATAAGCTTCTTATCTTCCTCAGGCATTGCTTCATGAATATCTTCTATTCCAAACTTTCTAATTAACCGTTCCAATATATGCTTAACCTTCGATTTGAAGTGCCCTTTATGTTCATGGGACCATCTCATCAACTTTTCAAGCATATTACCTAAATTTGGCTTGATTATGTCGTCTGGTAACGAAAGAATCTCTACTTTCACAAATCCAATGGCAGATTTTGCAATTTCTCTGGCGTTGTGCGTTAAAAACAATTCTACCGTTGAAGCGATTTCTAATAAAGTTTCATGCGGGAGTTCATCCTTGAACTCATATACCAAGCAAGAGAGAGCAGTTATTGTTGCGGAAATCATATGGGGAGATTGTGCCGCTAAACCAGCACTCACCATAGTGAAATATTCATTCAATGTAGCCTGAGTCGGTTCAGCGCCTGAAGGGAACCCAGGAACTTTGCTGTTATCGATGACTCCCCCATTCAACATTAAATGGCCCATCTTTATTAAAATTTCATAAGAATAGGATCTAGATTTCTCGTTGACATCTTTAGTTGACATGATTATTTCCTGCAAAATCGCTGGAATAAAATATAAATTATCCTGTGGTAATAAATCAAACAATAAGGAGATAGCTGCTAAACGAGAAGGCCTTGCAGAGTTCTGGGTAGTATCCGAAGTTGTTATGAAGACTTCCACAAGATCACTGATATATTGCTGAATTGCATTTGAGCCTTTTTCAGTCTCAGCCAATTTTGTGAGGATTCTGTAAGATCTTTTCTGGAATAGTAAGTTGTCTTTTGAAGAGACTGTAGTTTGAAAAATTGCAAAAAGTGCATTGAAAGAAGATTCTGGAATATACTTCGCCATAGATACAATCAAGTCTAACATTTTTACACTCATTTTTGGAACCACATTCTTATCGCTTTGAGATTTAGACTTAAAGTCTGTAATTTCGCTATCCATTGATTCTTTAAGTAAGACACAAACTTTATTGAATGTAACTTCTAACTCATTTTTGGGTACTATTTGAAGGTAAACTTCAATTGTCTCTAAGATAAAACCCGCTGATTCAGACAAGGTGGACGAGAACACATTAAACAAGACCGATAAAATATTCGCAGCCATGGCGGATAAATACTCCAAATTCCTTTTGGATTCTTCAATTGGTAACTCTTGTAGCATCAATAAGTCGTCTTCGAGCGCACCTTCGCTGTAGATTAGGTTAGACTCCACGAGTAATTTCAAAGCATGGCATATGGGAACCCTCAAACTAATATCAGAGTACATCAAATCTGCAAGGGCCGCCGCAAATCCATCATCAAATGCTATTCTTAAATCTTTGGGAAGATCACAAAAATGTGGAAGAATTGACCAAATTTGGTCTATTATAGTTTGGAAAACTTTATTGTGAAAAGCGGCTTTTGTATCGCTATTTGATATTTTCTCTTTAAAAAAGTCAGTTAAAGGTAGTATTTCCTTCCTGTAGTAGTTCAACTCTGAAAATCTGACATTATCTCTAAGGAGTGGAAGTAGCCAAGCTCTTCCTGTTTGATTCGAGCTTCTTAAATTCAAAGGTAATACATTTAATACAACTTCCGCACCTATTGCAGATATCGAAGCTGCGATAGTCTCCTCTGCCTCTTTGTTATAAGGAAAAGTTTCTGTTTCGTTGGTCCTCCAGTCTCCAATGATTTCTAATGCTCCCAAAAGATCAGGATTGCTCCTGCTTCTTAATTTTGAGATGCAAGCTGTCACAATGCCCAAGACTTCTTTTGTAGCATGCTGGTATTTAATAGAAAGAAGCTCCTTTTCAAAATGAGCTCCTAAAAAGGAGGTCAAAGTCTCCATGAGGTCGTAAACATCAGTAGATATGCCATTCTCAGACGAAGGCTCTAATAAATATTTATCTGGAATCGTCTGGGATATGATTGCTATAAAGCATTGTGCTGCAGAATAATATATGCTCTTCGACTCGGATCCCAAAAACAGAGAAATAATAGGCAAAATGTCTGGTAGTTGTTGCAAACATACTTCAGGAGACAAAACAGAGTAGCTTTCGAGAGCTCTGGCAACGACTGCCAACCAAGAAGCTGCCAAATGGTGGTCATTGATAGAGGGTTTCAACTCAATTATTATTGTTAATACCTTGTTGAACTTCTCGATGTCTATAATATTAGACATAGATTTGAACAAGCCTTCGAAAGCAGAAAATGCAGCAGAAACCAAATATTGATCTGATGTTTTTGAGATATCGAGTAACACGTCACACAAATTCTCAATGAGGGCCGATGGCCACGAATTTGCTGAGGTTATTGAACTGATGAGTTGCAAAGCATGTATAACCTGGGAATTTGTTTCTTTATTTTGTTGCCCACTTTTCTTTCCCTTGCTGGTTTCAATCAAACTCACTAATCTCTTTAATGAAATATCTCCAACAAGAGGCGACGCGACATGTATGGGAGAAGGAGATGTTGGCGGATTCATTAATATCTTATGCACAGATTCTTGAGCTCTTCTACGGACTTTTGGTCTTGGATCAAATGATAATTCCAACAAACCAACGAGAGCTCGTTTAGGAGATACAGATCCAGAAGAGATCCATTGCTGATGATTTTGTGCCAATAACAAACTTTCTAAAGCCCCTATTGTGGATCTAACTAATGGAGCTCCTGAATCTTGATGTGTCAACGGAACAGCCAATTTTACCAATATATCTCCAAATTTAGATTGTAGCAAAGCTTTTGGAGTAAATGGAAATACGATATCTAAAAAGTATGCCGTAGACGTCGCTATATTAATATCGGTGACAGCATCCTCTGTCACTGACTCATCTAAAAGTGACAAAAATGAGACAAAATATGCCACCGGTGTCTTTTCATTCTTTTGTTCTTCTAGGTTTTCTTCAACCGCAGACAAAATAACTGCAAGATTCTTTTGATTTTCTAATTTGGAGTTGATTTGTGTTCTTATTTTCGACAACCTCTCTTCCATTAAGTCATATTCAATCGCTGTGTCTCCTTCTGGGTTATTAAATGACATATCTGACTCTTGAATCAATAATTAGTTCAAGCGATAGGATAATTTTTCATTTACATGCGCAGAGATGCTCTTCAAATTTTTTTTTTTTTTAGGTTGTGGTGCATCTATCAATTAAGACTTCTCAACTCAAAAGTCGAAAATAGTTGAAGTATACAAAACATATTACTTACTTGATTTCCTAAACTAAGCATCTAAAGCCAACTCTTCCAATAACAGATCAATCATTTCATTTTCTCTGTCATACATTTTGATGGATTTTTTAAGAATAAGAATATCTTCAGATCCTTTTGTACCTCCTATAGTTGGACCAAGATCCTCAAAGTCTTTGAACAGATCCCCAATAGCGTATTTCTTACCCAAATAATACCTTATATCATCTATTAATTCAATTGTATCCGTATCTTGTCTCTCCTCGATTCGTGATGCACTCTCTTTGATAAGTGAACTAAACCTTTTCTTCTCTTCATGGTTATGATATATTGTCTCTAAGTTGTGAGCTATAAGTTTTGTCATATGTTGCTCTAGTTTTTCACAGTTGATATTCCAAGCGACTCGAATCAAGTCATATGCATCATAGCCAAAAGAATCGGCTAGAGACTTAAATTCGTCGTAAGTTAATTGAGATACACTTGAAGTTATTTTGACTGCAGCCATCGTCTTAAGTCTGTCCAAAAATAACTCGTCAGCGGCGAAAAGCAATTCAACACTCAAATGGAGGGGGATTTGTTTCACATCGTCGTGGTAAAAGAAAGATAAAATTATTTCTGCAACTTGTTCGTCTGTGCAGCTTGATGAAATTTGAATCACGGGGATGTCTTGGTGATTCAATGAGACTCTATCAATTACCAGCCATGAAAGTTGATTAATTTTACTTTTATGCAAAGGCGGATCACGCAATGAGGATTTAAAAATGTCAGATTTCATCATCGTATCAAAATACTCAGAACGTGCTATTATGGGCTTGTTGGTAGGATAAAATACGATAGATTCTGTCTCCTCATCAATGGCCGCTAATATAATATCAGGAATAGCAGAAGAATCTAGCAATTTTTGTTTCAGCTCGTTTTGTATGTGCATACGAACGTCGAAATCTTCAGAATCAGCTTCCGTTGACAAGTTTAGATCGATTCTAAGCTTGTTTCTTACAACATGCTTTTCTAAGAAAGAATCCATGTCTTTTCTTGCTTTTTCGACAAATATAAACGACATTTCATGTTTGATTTTTGCCCTATGTTTGTCATCCTCTGCTTTACTTATCATGTCAATCCCCTTTAAAAGATCATCTAAATTATATCTAATCGCTAGTTTCCTCAAATTTGTTCTTACATCGACCTGATCAACTGGAATCGCATCTGTCTTTAGGTAGACATAATTAACAATTGCCTTGAAAGCAATTGGATCAACATCCAGTTGTACCTCTACGACTGTCAAATTTTTCCATTCACCTTGAAACTTCTGACGGAAATAAGGGCTTCTTGCGGCCATCAAAAACCTATTTAAAGCAAAAACCCGACTTTCCCCATTAGAAGTCTTTGCATATGGAAAATAAAATGCAATGTCTGTAGTCTTTATTTCACTCGTTGTATTGAGAAGGGATGAAATGTGGCTAGCAAAAGGCTGCGATAAATCTACACTTTTGGATATATCAAAGCTTACTAGTAGGTCACGAATTTCATCATTTAGAGCCCCGTAGATGCATCTAGCCCCTTGAAAGGTATCTCTATCGCAAACAGCACCTCTTGACAATAGTAATTCAACAATCTTAGTGTGCCCACATATGGAGGCTAAAATCAAAGGTGAATAATCCCATTCATCCACTTGATTGATATCAAGACTGGGTGTTGACAAAAGAGAATCAGCGGTTTCAAGATCTCCCGATCTACACGCAAGGCAAAGATCAGAAAATACTTTCTTTAAACTTTGTTCATTATTAGTAATCCCCATACTCGTCATCATTCTTGATGAGAGCAGACTCTCATAGTCAAGAGGTACATCTAGATACGAGCTTTGACTTTGAAAGTTCTGTTCATTATTATTGCTAGACATATATCAATCTAAATGGTGTGATTTATTAATCTGATCCAAGAAATAAAATATCGAGAATATTTGGGTTATCAAACATTGCCGGAAAATTACAACTCTAGAATACCTGAGATTAGAATTTTTTGAGAAAGATCGACTGTTACAGACTAATAATGTAGCTAAACTCCAAAATTTCTACAAAAATGAGAGTCATCAGGGTCCTGTTTATATGATACGAGACTCAATTCTTGCTGGATGTAATAGTGCTTTTGTTTAAATTCTTTTTCGTAACTTTGTACTTTTTTTGTAATATGTGGTTCATATTTAATAATATCCCACTGGATACAAAATACTATCTAACGAGTCAGCTTTGTTAAAATATAATGCTTAAATACAATTGGATAATAAGTATGAATGAAAACGTAACTGCAAGTATGTTATTCTCCAATCAAAAACTGGCTGCAAATAATTTTAATATTTGGTGAAGATTTTGGACTTGTGGCACATGAATTATTAAATTTTGAAATACAAGAACAAAAAGCTTTTTACATGAAAAAGAGGGTCTCCAATACTAAGCATTGTACGTTTTCATCTTGATACTTATACTTACCATTGTACTTGAAACCATATGAATTCATTTTTTGATGGCAGAACTAGTCAAACAGAAGAGACGGAACAGCATGAGCTTTGGCCATGTATTTCAAAACATGTTCCACTCGAAATCAAGCCCCAGTCTTTTTAGATTGAGTGGTAGTTCTAGTGAGAATTGTTTTGAGAGCTATGGAAGCTCATATTCGTTTTCGGCAACCACTCCATCCACAGCGGTCGCAAATGACGACAATTGCAAAAAACAAAGAAAAAGAGATGTAATCAAAAAAAGAATCAGTAAAATATGGAGGCTTCCCTCAAGAACTAAAGAGGAAATAAGCATAGATTCAGGGTTCCTGTCAAACTCAAGTTTCGTATCTGAGAATCTAAACGCTCATGAAAATCTGTCCTTTGAACATCCGCTACTACTATATCCTAATGAAAAGGATACGAGAGCGCAAGGATTTCACTTTTTCCCGCTCAAGACAGATGATAAGACCTTTTTATGGGATATGGATTTCTCAACTACTGATCTGTCTAGGGTAGAGGAAGATTCTGATTTGGTAGATTTTAAACTAAGTGTTAGTTATGAAAATAGAGAACACAGCGCGTTATTCCGATCCCTTCAGGCCCCATTCTTCAAATTGACTACGGGGCTAGTAAATTTCTCTCACGAGGCTACTAAATCTAGAAGCTTTGTGCACACACCAAATGACAGTACTATTTGGCCAATTATGAAAAATGATACAGAATTTGATCCATTTCTAGGTGCGAAATTTTATCTGGACCTAAAACAAAGGCTAGTTAAGATAAGACAAGAAAACAATCCTTTATCAAGGAGCTCAGACTTTTGATTTTACATAATATATGAATTAAAAGTTTATAAATATTTCATAAGAACAAATAAATTAATTAGAATTAAGGTCCTATTTCTCGTAAGTATTAATAAAGTATTTATAGATTCTTTGTTTAAATTTGCTCTCTTTTTTCTTCTTCGGTTTCTCAGATTTCATATCGTCCTTTTTATTTGAACTGGAATGGTTTACATCTATCGCTAGTTCTGAGCTTTCTTTTTGATCTGCAAGAAGTTTTGATTTGTCAACGTTAGATGAACCAGCAGGAAGTACACGTTCCGAGGAAACACTTCTACGAACTTCAGCCGTGATGTATGGTCGTTCGGCTTCAACAATGAACATTTCTGGTTCAATTTCCTCTGATGCATCAGCCCGCTTATTATTAGAATACAATCCGGATAAAGAAGTTTCTTCCTTCTTCAAAACGGGGACGTCTTGCAATGCTTCTTTCTGATCTTGCAATGAACCTTTCTTGTATTCGCTATCATCGCTTTTCAGATCGTTGACAGTCGCTCTATGTTCCGAAGTCTCAGGAAGAGTAGGAGAAGCTTGAACTACGTTTGGGACAGAATCCAAGCTTGCGTCATGCTTTTGTTCAGGGCTTGCAGCCAGCAAAGAATTAGGGAGGTCACTATTACTATCAATCACATCATTAGAACCTATGGCTTTAAAAGGAAGTGAATCATGTTGGGAATTAACTACCATGAACTCCGATTCCTCTTCGAGTTTAGGAACTTCATCCTCCACTGATGGTTCCTCAAAATCTACATCAGCTGTACTCTCTTTATTAGTATCATCCATTACAAAGGCACCGATGACATGATCTTCACTCATGGGATCAAGTTCTGCTTTTGAAGTAGCCTGTAATGAGACATTTGGGGGATTACTGTGGTCAAAAGATTTTGGTGAGCTATCGCTTTTTATTGGTGCTTCGGGAGGGACTTTTCGGACACTGGGGACATTATTGTGGTCAGGAGATTCTGATGAACCATCACTTGTTAATGACGCTTCTGGAGTGACCTGTAGTGCAATACTAGGTGGATGGTTTTGGCTAAGAGATGTTGAACAATTGCTAGGATTATTTTCCTTTGCTTCATCAGTAGTGTCTATAGGAACATCAACAATTATGGGTACATCTGTACGCGCAGTCGTCAAAGAATCTATATTTGAGGTAAGCAGTTCCCTGTGTTGAATATGAGAAATGGAACCATCAGTAACTGCAGGAACCTCGACATTCTTTTGCGAATTCTCTTTATTAAGTTCTTCATAAGGAGCACCATCATTCAAATGCTCATCACTGTTTTCTGACTGCTTCGTTTTTCCCTTTCTACCAAAAAGGTAGCCAATCAAGTTGCCCTCTTTTTTAGGCTTTTTCTTCGTCTTCGTGAGTCTCCGTTCGGCATCATCAACATCTTTCTTTGCAACACCACTGGCAGCTTGCGAGGCCGGAATTGCACTTTCGTCATCTATTTTCAAACCTTTACTATTATCAAGATCCAGGGCCGCGGCTTTGCCAGCAGCTTGCAGAGCTGCCAACTCCAAATCTTCTGACGTAAGTCTTTTATGTCCCAGAACTTGCCTTCCTTTGTAGCTTCTCGGCCCTTCAGATGATACCGAGTTCTTCCTTAGAACAGATCCAGACTCCAGCTCTTTCTTCTTGCCTTTGAAAATCATCTTGTCATGGAAATCTGCTTCCAACAAAGATTGTCTTGCACTCTTTTCAGATTGATTAGCAATCTTTCTCGCCTTCCTTTCCGCTAGTTGAGATTCTTTCCTAGATTGTTTTTCAATTAGGTCACTTTCTTTTTTTGCCTTTTTCTCTGCTAGTTCTGCTTCCTTTTTAGCTCGTGATTCTTCCTTAGCTTTGTCTTTTTTCGAACGTTGGAGAACTTGCTCATCTCTCAAAGAAAGACCAATGAAGCTTTTGTGATGATTTTCATAAGTGTAATTGTCATGAACTCCGCTATATTCAGGCTCTTTCTTATTTTTTGAATGACTTGACATATTTGAAATCGATGATAATCTATTAATGCCAAAACCAGTTTTCTGTTTATTTTTCACAGGTATAGGAATAGTGTTTGCCTGCTTATCACCGTAAACCTTTTTCATCGCAGCCTCCATAGCCTTAGCATACATATCTGCTTCTTCATGGGTTTTATGAGATTTTGAATATAATGGTATGGTCTCAGGTTCTTCAACAAACTTGATAGATCCGGATGACGGAGAAATGACAGAAGAATTTGAATTTAAATTGTTATGTATTTGCAGGTTATTCGAATTCGGCGATATTTGGTCTTGCCTATCATCCTTGGTCTGGCTCTGTTTGACATGAGCGGGAGTTGCAGGAACCTTGAACTTCTGGGGGTTTGACACTATCTGAGTACTTAATGGCTTGTATGGGTGACTGCTTTTAGTCTCCTCCAAGGAATCAACTGCATCCTTAAATTCAGATTCATCTTCATCGGTACGATGCTTTAGAATCGATTTCAATGGCTTTTGTGAAGATTCTTGACTCAAGACTGGCTTTAGAGATGTTCTCGCAGAATCACCTAGACTTTCTCTGTTGTTTTTATTGGTAAATATCGCATGTTCTGAAATAGGAGAACCTAACTTCCCATTAAGATTCAAATTCAACGCTGCCGACTCGATACGCTCACTATCAAGCTCGTAATTATAGTCAAAATCTTGCAAGTCCTCATCTATCTTACCGAGATTTATGGCTGCAGAGTTATTGTTAGATAACATCGAGTTATGTCTTAAAGAATTACTCCTCGAACTGTTGCGTAATGAATTGCTTCTAGAGTTATTTCTGGATATGTTTTTTGTAGTGGTTTCAATAACATTAGAACCATCAGGCAAAGTTTTAACTGTTTTTGTTGTAATTGACAGGGTTCTCCCCATGGAGTCTAATATTTTAGTAGTAGTTGTCGTGACCACGATATCACCCTCCTCATTCTCTGTATTTTCATCTCTTTTTCCTGCAAAGTTACTATACCTAGCACTTTGAGAGTTTAATGAACTTGCTCTATTGGAATAATTGGGCGCTTTCAAAGAATTCAGTCTCGATCCAGGATATATCGGTCGACCAGCTGTGTAAGATGCTGTCGGATTGTATGTATACAATCTCATTGAATTGGACCGACCCACATTATTCCCAGCTGTATTTCTGTAATTTGAGTTTCTGAAAGGTTCACGCCGTTGTTGAGTAGCTGGCTGACTGTGCATCCTCAATGCCGCTACTGCCGCTTGACCGGCCCCATTAGATAAAGATGAGCCATTGCTAGGCAATCCATTCAGAAGTTGCTGAGAATGTACATCATCATTATACTTAGAAAATCCCTGATAAGAATCATTTCTCTAAAAACTTGTTAATAATCCTTGTTCATGATTCTTCGCTTAGCAGTTTCCTTATCATAAGATATTTCCTGATCTCATGATAAGAAGTTTTTTTTTCATACATACCTTTCGAGAAGAGAAGAAGCTCACCATGGTAGCTTAGGTGCTTGAATTAATTTGCAGTAGGAAAAGAGCTTTCAATTTAATTGAAATAATTGCATCTGTTTATTGTTGCTAGCAGACAATAGCAGTCCTGCGATATGAAATTCAGAATTCTGGAAATTATAACATCACTAGATTACATAATAAAATACAATATAATTGGAAAAATTACGTAAGAAATAGACATACCTTTAATATCTAAGCATTTGTAAGGTCTTACTCAAAAGGTGGGTTATACCTATTCTTACATTTCCGCGAACAAAGCAGAAGAAGCTACACGGAATATTAAGTCTCCATGAAGACACAGGTATTTGTAATTTTGGTCTCGATAGCTGTGTTTTATTTCACTCAAAAGTTTAGCTCGAAAAGTTATAGTGTTAAATACCACGACATGTCAGTTGCAAAATTCGTGAAAAATCCTAATCCTTTTCCTACCTTTTTCCTTAGCCATGGGGGACCAACTTTCATGTATGAAGATGATGAATTTGGTAATAAAGGTGCTTGGAACATAACAAGAACCTTAGGTCAGACTATCAAAAATAAGTGGAAACCTGATTATATAATTGTTGTTTCGGCACATTGGCAATCAAGTGGACGCAATTCGGTTGAAATTGCTGTTCCATCAGACGGCGAGGACCAGAATGCTTTAATTTATGACTTTTATGGTTTTCCTGACTATATGTATAAAGAAAAATTCCGTACGAAATGTTCTAAATTCCTTGCTAACGACGTTAAAGAGCATTTAAAAGCTGGTGGCTTTCATACAACTCTATCTAAAAGAGGAATCGATCATGGAGTATGGGTTCCGTTGAAAGTCGCTTTTTCAGAGGATTCCTCAGTTAAGGAACCGGAAGCAATTAACAAATTGGACTTACCTGATACTTCGTTAATCCAAGTATCTCTTACTTACACCGATGATTTTGAAACGAACTTCAGACTAGGTGAATTGCTCAGCAATTATACAAACAACCTATTATGGGATGAAAAAAGGGGAAAATATTTGAAAGGTTTGATCATATGTTCTGGTATGTCGGTTCATAACTTGAGAGATTTGGGGATTGCTTTCCTGAAACCCGGCCACGTCATGCCATATGTCAGGCCGTTCAACTCCATTTTAACGGAGACGTTATACAATTCTCCTAATGTGCTAGCAGGGTTACAAGAATTAAGAAGAAAACATAACTCTTTGATGTTTCAGGCGCATCCTACCTTGGAGCATTTTCTTCCAATCGTTGTTGCCAGCGGTATCCACAATGAATGTGGTGGATCTATTAAGGAATTGTACACAGACTCTCAGGCAAGTTTGGGCTGGAACATATACCAATTTGGAGATGACTACATTTGTGAAACTCGTAAGTTATAGAACGTAGAATTATTTATTATGTGAAAGGATTCAAATAGATTATTGATAGTAGGTTTTAGAAGAAAACATAATGATTATGTGACGATGTTTTCCTATCCTGCAACGAGTTGCAATGCCTTAAGTCTTCAATACATTGCTCAAAGCATTTTCGATCCCTGCTTCATCCAAACCTTCCAAATTTGTTTTAGTCTCCCGTCCTTTTTCAAATCTGGCCGTTAAACTTGGATGGATGCCGTAACTTTCTCTAATCAATATTGGTAACTGAAAATTGGACAGGGATTTCAATGCTGGATAATTTTTTGTTAAAAACTTTCTCAAAGGGATGGAAGCATCTCCTGTTTGAGACAAGTGGAATCTTAATTCCCTCAAACTACTTGGTAACACAAACTTTGACATCTTATCCCACTCTTTTATAGCAAAGCACGGTTAAACTTTTTTAGTCATTTGTTGATATCTTACTGGCCAAAATACATATCATGTGAGTAGTGCTTTGGGCATCAATTTATCACATGATAAACCAGCTGACAAAATACTAATCACTAACACTATACATTTTCCGCTTGATTCCGATGGGAGAGAGGGCTTTGTGTCATGACCCTGAATTATTTTTTTTTTTTTTTGATGAGATCGCACCGGGCCGATAGTTGCCTCGGAGGAGCCCATGGGACGTGTACTACATACAATCAAGAATGTCTGGAGGTGGCCGATCGTAACACCGGTGAGCTCGAGATTCGCCAAATTGGGCTCGTTAGATCCTGAAATTAGAAAATCGCTTCAGCGAGCGATAGGGAGGTTACGCTCTAACGATACAAGGTTGGGACTCAAAACATCATAAGATAATCTGTTAACATACCATATCAAACGTATTTACTGAAAGGAATTGAGAGGGGTGCTGTTTCCTTTCCCTTTGTCTCCAGAGTCGAATAATTGCATGAGTCAAGCTAAATTGCAAAAAAAAAATATTGAGGGACAAAAAAATCTAGTGATAATGCTCATGCAAGACGCAACAAAAAAAAAAAAGAACCGGCTTCCCGATTATCAACTGAAAAAGGATGTAGAAGGCAACTATATAAGGTCCAGCATTATTCCCCCTGCTTTCAATGTTTGTTCACAATCACTAAGCTCAAGGATAAACATTACATAAGATGTCCCCAATTCAGTTATCCGATAAGGATCTCTTATTAGCAAATGATTTGGAAAATAATGGTGAAGTTGTCTTCCCTTTGGCTCCAAAAAAGTCTCCTTTACGTAAAGTGATGAACTTTGCTTCAATTTTCATGGCTTCTGTTATGGGATTGATGCTTTTGAGCAACCAAGTTTCAAATGAATTGACACTCCCAGTAGCTGGGATATTTGGATTCTTAGCTCCAAAGGAACCTGCTTTAGCGGTTGTGAACATATTTGAAATTGAGACACCATTAAACGCAGTCACTGTGGCTTCTAGCCAAGTGGTTTTCAACGATACATTGGTCGATGGGTTGAGTGGAAAATTCAAAACTTCTGAGGACTTGAATTATACTGGTGCATTTTTAACCTTAAATCTCACAAACAATTTGTTAGAGAATACCACGACACCATTGGTGTTTGAGATTACCGCCGATGAATACCCAATCTGGCGCTCTTCTGCTCCATTTGGAAAAGATAATACTGTTACAGTTTCTTCGACGACAAAAAATGTTTCGGAATACTTGTCTTTATTCGAGTCCAAGAGATCATTTGCCGTCTCTATTTTGGAAGGCGATGCCACCGGAATTGATATTATCTTAGAGGTTTCCTTAACCAACGATACAATTCCTGCTAATGACAAGCCTTTTAATCCAAGTGATATTTTCATTGCCGAAGGACCTGCTTCTTCTGTTTTTGCATTATCTAAAGCTGGAAAGCCATACAATTTACCAAATACAGACAAATTCTCAATTTCTTTACCTCAGTTATCCACCAACTCAACTGCCGCAAAAATAGAGTTTTTCGCTTCTGCTTCTAACGAAGAAAAGGATTATTTCAAAACTGAAACTGCTCCTTTACGTTATTTGAATGTTTTTGTTAATGATGTTTATGTTGGATCAGTGAACCCTAAGCCTGTTTTGTACCACCCAGAAGGGTTATCAGAAGATGCTCATAAGAATTTTGACCCTTTGGTTGACTATGGTACCTTTACTGGGTTGACCTACGAAATCAATTTACTTTCCGTTTTACCATTGTTATGGGAGGGGGATGCGACCGTCGATGTTTACGTGGTATCACCAACTATTGATTTCACTCCAGGTATTCCTGCCCTTCCAAAACCAATCACCAAGGGCGCTAATGAAATCACTGCTGACAGCTGGTTTATCTCTGGTAATTTGTTGGCTTGGGAATCTCAAAATGTTACTACTAGCTCAGGTGTTGTTGTTGACTCTGCTGCAATCGAAATCACAACTGGTGTTTTAACGAGCCCGCCACCTGTCAGTCCATGGACGCCAAAGATAAAGAATGAATTTGTTAAGGATTTGATTGTTTCAAATGTATCGTCTATTGTTAACTTCGAGTTCAGTGATAACACTACCGTTACTTATAACATCACTGCCAATTCTAGCATAAATTCTATCTTGACTAAGCAGGAAAAATCTAAGCAGACTAAGGTTGGTCCACCATTCGGAGCTGGGCCAGTAACTACCACGGATTCTCTCAGTCTAGTTCTTATCAACAACAACAAATTAAGCTTTGACATTGTTGACAACTCAACTGCTTTGTCAATTTTATCTTACAAATCCGAATCATCTTTCCCTGTCACCTTAGATATTACCACTAAATCTTCTCCAGTGGAAGGAAATTCAACTGATCTCAGGTGTGATATTAAGTCAAAGTCATCCGATTCAATTAATGGCACAATTGTAAATGATTTCGAAGTTAAGGAACATTTATCCAGTAGTGTTATAATCGGACTCTTGACTGATGTTAAATATACTGATAACGACTTCAAAAGGGAGGTCCAAGTTGTAAATGGTGTTGAAACTGAGAAATAAATGATGCGTACTTATATATGATTTCATAAACGGATATTATCTATTTATTTTTACTGTATTTTATAATCTAATTCAAGCTTCAATTTAAGAAATGACAAAAAAATGATTTAATATTCAATTCTTGCTACACTTTCACTTGTTTCTCCAAATCAGAGAGAAGAATTGTCTAATGCAATATCATCGACTCTAAACATGTCACGGAGTCTTGCTTGAATCTACAAAGTGTACACTTCAGACTAAGTATAGCCCCAAGGAAGCTAAATGAAGTGCCCAGTGTCTACCCTGTAATTATATCGCTTATATCGCTTATATCGCTTAAGAAATTCCTTTGAGCGAGTAATACTCAAATCAACAAAAGATCACGATTTAAAAAAATAGTTAACTGAGGCTCACATTACTATGCTCTCTATGTGGTAAGTAAAAATAAACTGTAATTTTAGTTAAATTTTCTAAGCTGCTTTAAGAAAAATTCCAACTAGAATTTAACGCTCTATATAACTACTTCTTGTTTTCCATCTCTGCAAATAATTGGAACATACAAAATGAATTGAACATTCTTGACCGGAATAAATTCCGACTTGTGGAGATATGTCATAGTATAATAAATCATTAGGCAAGGCAATATAAAACAATCGATAAAGGGACCCGAATGACTAAAATCTCACTTTCTAGCTTCTCATAGTCGATTTCTGATATATTATTCCAAACTATTTCAAAATGATTTTAATTGAATTGATCAACACATTAAAAATAAGTTTGTGTAACTTTTGATCTTGAGGTTTCATAAAAAATTATAGCTACACTAACAATATACGAATTCTACTTCAATTACAAATTGAACAAAATTCTCTGACACAAAAAAATGTCATTTGATGTCAATTGGGAAAACTTGGTTGGTGATGGATCTATAAACGATACTTTTCGAAAATTTTTAGATCATCAGTTTAGAACTTTGACATTGCCACCATATATCGATGATATCAGGGTTACCAAGTTCAGCTTAGGAAGCATACCTCCAGAGATTACAATTAGGCATATCGGGGATCCTTTTAAAGAATTCTACGAGGATGGGGAAGATGAGGGAGAGCAAGGTAGGGCAGCTACACGGACCTTCCTGAGTGGATCTAGCACTAGTGATGAAGAAGATGAGCAAGAAGAAAAGGGGGAAAATCTGCGTACGGCCATCAGCAGCAATGACCTTACCACTAAAGAGATCCCAATTACGAATATAAGCGGTAATATTAATAGTACACCACTATCTTCCTCTCCTTCATTGAAAAGGAAAACTTCTGATCCTCTACATTTAATGACTGGTAATGGAGGGGGAAGCTTGAATTATTTGAATAATTATGGGATGAATAATATAGTAGGATTGGGCCACTTGAATGCATCAATCTCTCATAATCGACCCAGAACACCAACTGATAATCCTAATGAATTTATGAAAGAGCTGAATAATGGCTCTACTAAAGTGAATCCTGGAGAACAAAGTAAACTACCGCCTATTAGCGAAAATGACATACAATGCATAGTAGATGTTGATTACCTGGGGGACTTGTGTATGGAGGTCACTGTGAATTTATTGGTTAACTTTCCGTCGCCGCAATTTATATCTCTTCCTATAAAGTTGCATGTCTCAGATTTGGCAATTCATTCTGTTGCTGCAATTGCTTATTTGAAAAATTGTATATTCTTCTCACTCTTATGTGATATTGATGACAATGTGGCTGATTACTTTTCCTCATTTCATGCTGAATCCAATAACAATGGGTCCACATTAAATACCGGAGGTAACTTTGTGGATTATATCACAGCACCAAATACAAGAGAAAGAATAGATATAATTAAAAAAGTCAAGATAGAATCTGAGATTGGAGAAGTCGAAAATAATATTCTAAGGAATGTAGGTAAAGTTGAAAGGTTCCTAATAGAAAAATTACGAACTTTATTGAGGGAGGAAATTGCTTGGCCGAGTTGGGTTTGTTTTGATATGAACGATTCGGATGTAGATGACGATAACGATTCGGATGATGATGATGATGATATTGACGATGAGAAGCCAAATCTCAATAATAATAGTTATAATAATAAGAATAATAAATAGATAGATAGACATATAGATACTAGACTTTCAGCCTGTAAAAAACGTTTACGAAGTTGACCAAAAATAGCATTGCGTCTATTTATTATTGGATTTTTTTCCAGAGACATTTTATACGCAATTACATGGAGACCAAGATACTTCGTTAAGACAATAATTTGATATGGCTGAACTTTCAGACTTAATCAAGAAGTTTGAATTTTCAAAGGTGTTGAAAAGTGAACCGTCTACTAAAACTGTGGTTCTATTTGGAAATATTGGCTCTGATGCTGCGATAATTGCACTTGAGAAATCTCATTTCAATTTTGAATTTGAAGATACTGGCTTAGATAAATTAATACAAGACTTAAAGCTCATTAATCTGAACGATGTGTATCATTGGTCGAATGCAATTTTATTTCAGGATTTGGATAAACTTCCCTCGTCGAAGCTAAATTTAATATACCCAGCTACTGATGTTCATATAAGAAAATATTCTCAACAGAAGTATCATTATGTACTTGAAACGCCAGATATGTACAGCATGTATGTTGTGCCTTACATAGAGAGCATGAAAGGAGATAGAATTAAGTGGGTATACAACATCCTATTCGAGGGAAAAGAATCAGAAACTTTTATTTATCACGACAAAGATTTAACCATGGGATTTGTACTTTTGCCTGATATGAAATGGGATCAGATAAATATGGAATCGTTGTATTTGTGTTGTATTGTGAATAGAAAAGATATATCTTCAGTGAGAGATTTGAATGGCGATCATCTTTCTTACTTGATTGGAATTCAGAAAACAATTAAGCAAGTCACTTGCAAAAGGTTTCTCATCGAGGAGGATAAATTGAGGATTTTCATACACTATCATCCATCTTACTACCATTTTCATATTCATGTTGTGAATGTCAGTCATCCAGGTTTAGGTGATTCGATTGCTGTCGGCAAGGCGATATTACTAGATAATGTCATTGAAAATATAAAATTAGCTGGAGATTACTATCAGAAAGTTAATTTGGGAGTATTAATAGGCGAAAACCACGGTCTTTGGAATATCGAGGGGTTTAGAAATTCCCATTATAGAAACATAGGTAGTCACCATAATGAATAGCAACATATTCCTATTTAATATACATGATTCTTAGTAATTAAATTCATTGCTCGATGACTTGAGAGCCAATTTAGCCATTTTTAGCATCTTACTTTTAGCTGACTCTTTCTTCAATGCTTGTGTATTATCAGAATCTTTCTTGGTTACAAATTTTCCTAATGCCTTTGGCGTGTCTCGTAAACCAAAGCTCTTGGCCAAGTGCCCAAAATGGAGCCTCTTGACATTAAAAAAGGCTCTTTCTGATGATAAGTGAGTTGCGTATGCCCTTATATGTGACGTGAATGCTTGCACGGATTGACTATGAGCTTCATGATCTTCTAATAACCATCTTTCAACATCTAAGTGCCAAGTAGTTGCATGTGTGTCCCAATCACCTTCATGCCGTCTTGGCGCATTCTTTTTGGAATCATCTTTGGTTACTTCTAACGATCCAAAGCCATTCTTCAATAGTTCAGAGTAAGATATAATATTTATGTTTGCTGAATGGGGATGGACGCTTTTGACTTTCTTGTCAACATATTCCTCCTCTGGCCCAGGCAACAAGAACAATAGTGCTGATCCTTCATTTCCTGCTCTCGCAGATCTACCAATTCTGTGCAAATGATCTTCAATTGCAAAAGGTGCATCATATTCAATTACTGTTGAAATATGAGGTAAATCTAATCCTCGCGAAGCAACATCTGTGCACAATAATATGGAATGTTCAAATCTACTTTGTATGAACCCTTGAAGAGTGTCTATTCTCTCCTTTTGCGACAAGGAGCCATGAAGTTTATAAAAGGCAACGTTATGGGCAATGACTGGAGCAGTCCGCATGGTGACCAGCTCTTTTGCATTTTCTTTTCCAACTTTTTCATCCTTTCCAAAATCCTTTCCCAATGTAGATCCGCCTCTCGTGAAAACACTGAAGTGGAAATCAACAGAGTCAGAACAGGAAAAAAATATCATTGACTTCTGTTTTCGCACTAAAGAGGACGAACTTAGAATCTTCAACTCAGCCACCAAAGTAACAAGTCTCAACTTTGGAGGAACAACAACTATATTTTGAATCAACTGATCTGGAGCTTGATGTAAATCAAGTCCATTTGAAGAACCATCGTTCTTTTCAGCACTAACCACTTCTGGGTCGTTCAAAACCATGTTGCCTAGCTTCTCTACATTCTGCATGGTTGCAGAACATAAAATGTTGATCCTTTTATTGGGTAAACTTTCCCAGCTGTGACGAGTCTCTCTGATAAGTGATTTTTCCGTGATTATATCGGTAATTTTGGTAATGGTCTCTTCAAAGCCTAATTCGACCAACCTGTCACCTTCATCCAAAACTAGCCACCTCAACTGGCTTACATCTAATGTCTTTGTATTCTCTAAATGATCAGCAAGCCGACCTGGTGTGGCTACTAAGATATTAACACCTTTTCTAATTCTTGCCTTTTCAGATTTTTTCTTTTCTCCACCAATAACAATACCGGGAACTATTTGATGACAGCATCTAGTCAAAGACTCTAAAACTCCATAGATTTGGGTAGCCAATTCTCTTGTAGGAGTAAGTATGATGGCCAACAATCCAGAGGTACGTGTTATAGGATGCTTTTCTACCTGCATTAATCTATGTATAATTGGAAGGGCGATGGAAAGAGTTTTACCAGAACCAGTCTGTGCTTGCAATATAAGATCACATTTATCGGAAAGAATCTTTGGAATTACTGTGCTCTGAATCTTTGTAGGAGTAGTAAACCTCAAAACTTCCTTTAAGTGATTTGATAGCTTCTCATTTAAGCCCAACCCAAGGAATGAAGAAGAATCTTTTAAAGGTGCATTAGACGGGCCAAGTGAATCCCCCTCTTTCTGAGAAGTGGGTAACAAGCTTGAAATAGGCCCGTTAGATGTGAATAAAGATGAAACATACGTATTGTTTTTTCCCCCAAACTCCCCTCTGACTTCTTTATGCCTTCTCTTTGAGCTTGAATCAGGCCCCTCAAAACCGCGCTTTGATTCAGAATTATTTGAGCTTCCTGGAACACGTTCAGTCAAGGAAGGCTTTACTGGTATAGAATTAACACCACTCGCCTCTTTATCTTTCTTCTTTTGCCTACCTCTTCCCTGCAAAGATAACTGAAGTTTTCTCCTATCTTTCCATCTACCTCCCGTAACTTTTACGTTCTTATTACTTAAAGGTTTACTGACACTTTTATCAGAAACTGAAAAGTTCAAGAGCATACCATCATCGGAATCCATTTTGCTCTAAGACCCTAACAGTAGGCATTATCTAAAATGTCCTTTCATTTATTCATAACGATTCAAGCCGCAAGATGAGATCACGTGAGAAGATATAAAGAAGCATTAAATTCATTTATCTAAGACTACTTAGCATATATGACCATGATGTTGGAGGATTTTGATTTGAGTGACTTATGATCAAGAGCTAATCAATGAACTTAAATAACTATCCATATTGGAGTTGCATCTCAATTTCACTCCATTACCTCCATTTTGTATTTGCAGTTTCAACTCTACAGAATCTTGGTCGCTTGGAGCTTTGCAGGACAAAGCAGACCATTCTTCCTCTTCAAATTTCTTCAAATGTTTTAATGACTCTCCTAATGTGACATTTCCATACGCGTCATTATGCGGCGCCAGTGAATTTGACTTTGCAGATGTTTGTAAAATTTGTATACTTGAAGATTTCAGATGGTCAACAACCTCAGATTTCTTATCGAGCGCTCTGGATGCATCTAGCTCGTCTAAGTAAGAAAATACGGGTCTGAGCTGCACTGTACTATCAACTGGAGTCAAAACCAATTTCTTGCTTTCACCGGATTTGACCAACTGACCAACATACATTCCTCCATTTGTCTTATTTAAAACTCCATGTAACCGCTGCTTACTCATTTCACTGCCCCATTCTTCTGATCTTGATATGTCGTAGAATTTGTGAGTATTTATTGGCACTTGCATTTCAACGAAGTTTGATTCTTTTTTTATTGATGCCTTTAATCGCGTCTCTTTAAAAGGATGTGTTTTTGGCCTTCCTTGATATTGGAAAGCATGTACTGTTTGACTGGACCTAGGAGTCTTACTTAATACAATAGGAATGGATTCTATCACGGGATCCTCATCTTCCTTTGCCTTGTTTTTTATATTTTGGGATGGTTCATCAGATATTGATTCTTCTTCCATTTCATGATCATCATCGATGAATAAAGACTTACCAACATCTTTAGAATGCGACATTTTCCACTAATAATGTAAGAAGAGAATATCAACCTTAATCTTTTGATTTCAAATTCATCTACATCTCATTTGAAAATTAAAGATGATTCTCACGTGAGATCGATTTCCTTTAGTCAACTTTTAATCAAATTTAAAAGGAACTCAATAAGGCAATAGCCAACTTCAAAGCATGACAGAATCGACTTTTGATATAAAAGAAGTTTATCTTAAATTCTTGAAAGATAATGAGGATATGACCATGCCCATTGCGGCGATAGAGTCATTGGTTTCCATGCTTCGAATTAAACAGCCGTCGACGTCTTCAGAACTCATCAATTTAGTCAAATCGAATATAGAAATTCTTAAGACTTCTATTCCAAATGCTATATCACTCTCAGCAGGATGTGATTTGTTCATGAGATTTGTGTTAAGAAATACTAACCTTTATTCCGACTGGGAGTCATGCAAGAAGAACTTGGTTGAAAATGGTGAATTATTCGTTCAAAGAGCGAAAGAATCAAGAAATAAACTGGCTGAATTTGGTGTGCCTTTTATAAGAGATGATGACATTATTCTAGTGCATTCTTACTCGAGAGCAGTACACCAACTTTTATTGAAGGCAAAAAAAGAGAGAATGATTAGATTCAGAGTAATTGTAACAGAATCTAGACCAACAGGGAACGGTAAGCAAATGGCAAAAGTCCTCAGAGAAGCAGATATTCCGGTTGATATGGTTGTGGATAATGCTGTTGGTTACGTGATACATAAAGTTGACAAGATTTTAGTGGGGGCGGAAGGAGTCGCCGAAAGTGGTGGAATAATTAATCATATCGGTTCATATCAGATTGGATGCTTAGCAAAAGTTAACAATAAGCCATTTTATGTGGTTACCGAGTCACACAAATTTGTCAGGTTGTTTCCTTTGGCACCAAATGATTTACCAAATACCCTAGCATTTCAAGAAAAAGATCAAGAAGATTCATTCAATACACAGCTTGTTGACTTTACACCACATGAATATATCACTGCGTTAATTACAGATTTAGGGGTATTGACACCTTCGGCAGTATCCGAGGAGTTGATTAAGGTGTGGTATGACTAAATATTTGTATAGAACCTTTATCAGCTACTAGAGAACCTTAAATACTTTAAAATTTTTGTACCATATATTATATTCAATGCCCATGAATAATTGAGCTGAGTTTCTTTTCAAGGTCTTTCAACTCGAAAGAATCCTCCCCGGTTACTCTATCAACTTCAATACAAGAAACTTTCTTCTCTTCTATAATTTTCCTATCAACCTTTATCTTAGGGTCTTTCATATACACCAAATGAGTAATAAAATTAGTCCAATCTTTACCGAGATTGGACTCCTCGATTTCTAAACTTGATCTAGGTTTTGATTCCAAAATTGAATAAAGAGCCAGATCAACTATGACCTTGACAAAATCGGCTGCTGTCATCCCAAAAGTTTCCCTATCCAAGCACCCATTAAGTAACAAGATACGTTTCTTCTTCTTTTGGTTGTCAGTTAAGTCACTCGCAATAGCTTTTCCTACGCCGCGCAATATCACTACAGGTACAATACTCGTCATCAATGAACCTATAGAATATACTATTGCGTCAGCAGTAGCAAGAGTATTAGTTACTCTGTTGTAGGCAACAGGACAAATTTCTTGCCCGTATGGTGAAATATAAAAGATTCTTTTGATAGGAGACAAAAGTGGCCGAACATTATCCGTTTTGCAAAAATGTAGCTGAGATTTCTTCAACTCGGGATGTGTGTATTGTGGAACGCTGCCAGATTCTTCATCTGAATCGTCAAATTCAACGCTATCACTTGGTCTTTGCATGAGGTTAGTTGTTGCCACCTCGTTTATTGGAACATTCAATGTTTGATTACTTTTCGGTTGTGTACTCCAATAATCTCCTGGAGAGTCACTTTCCGTAGGTGTGGGAGGCCTTGTAGTACTTATTGGAGGTGGATAAACATCAACTGCTGGGCCGCTCTCGGAAGGATGGGAAATCTGGGATTGACCTGTTATTATGAATCCATTCTCCAATAATGCACTAATATGGTAAGAAAAGTTGGTATTAATGCAGGGAAGAACCAAGGTATTAACGTCTATTTCAGTTAATCTTGCGAAAAGTTCAATTGCTGAATCTAAGGAGCCTATGAACAATCTAACGCCTGTCAAAAAAAGATTACCAACGCTAGCAAGTTCGTAACGAAATTGAGTTTTTGATCTAGTCGAGAAGTGATGCTTAGATCTTTTCAACAATTCCACATGAACGTGAACAAAAAATGCCCTTATAATTTCCCTGGTAGACGACATTATATCTATCCATAAGTAGTGTGATCCTTCAACAATTTCGTTCCATTCTGCCTTTGCTGTCTCAGAATCCGAGGATAATCTAAAACTTAATAGTCTTCTTAAGGGCTCCTGGCTCTCTGGTATAAGTCTTGTTAGTCGTGACCGTAAATCTCCAATCGCAGGACCCCCAATCACTCTTATAAGTTCTGATGTGGACCCTCCGTTGTCCAGAATTGGCAATACATAATTGATACTAGGAGATAAAGCTTTAAATGTCGAAACTAGATCATTGGTAGCAGTACCACCTCCAATCACAGCAATGCTAATCTTTCGATCTTCCATCTATTAAAAAGTCGGCCTTTAGAAGTTTTACTTTGTTATTTTCTCATAATACTAGATAGATACAGCTTTGTTGCACTTGCTGTTAGACGCGGCGGGATGTACGGCATACACAACACTTAAATGTTAATAGACATATAAAGATAATGCGGCGCGGAGGAGTAAGTCACCTGCACAATGCTCGGTAAAAAAGCAGTCACCTTTCACTGCGTATTTCCGAGAACGAATAGAGGGTAAACTGAGGAACAGAATCAAAACGGACTCACGTGATGTAATAGCTTTGTGTAACTTCAGACTTTTTTTTTTCTTCGTTGATATCAAGACCACACTCTACACAGCACTGCAGTAATGGGTGAAAAATTTTTAGTGTAGAGAAGATTGGATATATTAAATTTTTTTTACATAGTCAGAACAAACATAGAATATTAAAAAAACATCAATAATGGCTGATCAAGAAGTTTTGGTTTTAAGAGGTACCTTAGAAGGTCACAATGGATGGGTCACATCGTTGGCTACTACCCCAGCACAACCAGATTTATTATTGTCTGGTTCTAGAGATAAGACTTTGATTACTTGGAAATTGACTGGAGGTGAGAACCAATACGGTGTCCCAAAGAAGTCTTTCAGAGGTCATTCTCATATCGTTCAAGATGTCACCATTTCTGCCGATGGTGCTTACGCTTTATCCGCTTCATGGGATAAAACTTTAAGATTGTGGGACTTAGAATCTGGTGAATGTACTAAAAGATTCGTTGGTCACAAGTCAGATGTCTTATCAGTCTCTATTGCTAAGAACTTGAGACAAATTGTCTCTGCCTCTCGTGATAAGACTGTTAAGGTCTGGAATACTATCGGTGAATGTATGGAAACATTGACTGGCCACAATGACTGGGTCTCTGCAGTCAGATTCTCCCCAGCTGACAACAGCTCTACTGTTATCTCCGCTTCATGGGATAAGACCGTTAAGGTAAGTACTTTATAATTAAATTCTTACAGGAATAGCGAATGCTTTTGAATTTTTCTTTTTTTTGGTTAACGGACTGAGATGATGATCACTATATTTGCTACTTCAGACAGTGCTTCTGCATTGAATGAGACACATTTTTATCACCAAGATCTCTGATCATTACCGTCCTCCAAATTTGAATTGTTCGGAGTTAATTTTTTTGTCGACAAAACAATTACTAACATTTAATTTAGTCATGGGACTTAAGTGAATACAACCTTGTTGCTGATTTCATTGGTCACACCGGATACATTTCTTGTATCACTATTTCCCCAGATGGATCATTATGTGCTTCAGCAGGTAAAGATGGTGTCATTATCTTGTGGGACTTGAACTCAAACAAGACTTTGTACACCTTGAATGCTGCTGCTGAGATTCATGCTTTAGCTTTCTCTCCAAACAGATATTGGTTAGCTGCTGCCACTGCATCTGGAATCAAGATCTTCAACTTACAGGAAAGAACTTTGTTGGATGAATTGAAACCAGAGTTTGCAATTGGAGCTAAGGCTAAGAACCCGGAAGCTATGTCTTTGGCTTGGTCTGCTGATGGTCAAAACTTGTTTGCTGGTTACACAGATAACGCCATCAGAGTTTGGCAAGTGATGACTTCCTCCGCTTAAATTCTACCTAGCGCTACGTAAACATTTAATAAAAGTACAATAATCCGTGTATCCTAAATGATATGTCGTCTTTATTCAAATAAGTAAAGCTTTCCACTAGCGCTTCCGCCAACAACCCAATTTTTGGATGGATGAAGGGTGCTAACGGCTGGAACGGCTCCTAGTTTTTCTGGATCTGTCAAATGAGCCAATATCGAGCCGTTGTCATCATAGACATCTAAACCTCTATTCATATTTGCAATCACAAATTTTTGAATACCATCGTTAGGTAAAGATTGCCATTTAGACTTCAAAATTGATACCCACCTCCCGGTTTGACAGTTATGCTTAATTCTGTTGAACGGCTTCAAACTGTTTGGAATCAACGAACTGTCAGGATCCTCCTTCAATTGCAGCTTTGAGTTCTTCAGGAGATCTTTCGAAGAATTGGTCATAATAGAATCATTTAAATCAAATAGGTTTATAGTATCATCATAGCCGTTACACACTAATTTATTACTTGAGCTCCAGTCAACACACGAGATGGAAAGCCTTGACGAGTAACTATCGCAAATAAGTGGAGACTTCTGATCTTCGAATTCTGACCACGTTCCATTGGATTTTGATACATTTCTTAAATCCCATATTCTCAACGTTCTATCGAGTGATGCGCTTGAAATTTGATACGAAACATTCGGATTAATGCTAAATGAGCCAATCTTCTTGTCATGAAGTCTCAATAAAGATGCCTTTTCAGTGAATTTGAAAGCTGTTCTTAAATCATGCCTATAAAAATTTCCCGTCAACGTCGTCATATAAAGTAAATTAGGATTGTCCAGGGGAAACATAATATCTGAAACTCCCAAAGGATAATCATTTGATTCGTATGGGTCGCTTAAATAAACAGTTTCACTTGACTCTAGCTTATTAAGATCAAGTTGTCGAACGGAGCCGTCATAGGAACTAGAAAATATTTTTGAAGGAGACTTAGAGGAAGTCAAAACTCGTGAAATATTTCTCCCATGCGGTTTTAAAATAGTGATTAGGGGCCATTCTTCATCTTTTGAAGAGTCAACGGCCCATATGCCTAGGTGTCCAGAAGTATCGCCAGCAGATATAATTCTGTCAGTTTCTGTGGGGTGAAAATTAATTGCAGTAATTCTGTTATGCGTTATTTTAATATCAAGGGGATCAAATCGTCCGTAAATCTTTAAATCATCAAACTCTTTCCTTTTAGACTCTAGGAGGCTATCGTTGCATTCTAAGGGGTTTTTCCTAATAATATCATAGAAATCACCAGTTGAAAATTTCCCTCCGAGCTCTTTTAAAATTCCCAACACCTTGTTATCGTCGGCTATGTTGATATCTTTTTCATTATCTTCTAACAGCGGTGTTCCTTCTTTCTTGACATCACCCTCTGTCTTTATAACTTTATCTTCAAACTTCAATCCACCCAGTTTACGATCTGTAATCAAATCAATAAGTTTAAAGTTGCCATACAATCTTGTCAGTCTCAATTTGTCAATTTCTTTCTTTCGCCTGTCTGCCTCTTCCAACTCTTCCTGGTGCTTCTTATATTCTTCTGAATTCTCAGTTTTAATACCAGCTAGACGACTAGACCTTCTTGTAGGTTCATGGTGTTCCTTACTAGGCAGCCTTGATTCATTACGCTTTCTTCTCTTAGCTGGATGCTTTGGCTTCTTAGACCTATCATCAACAAATGAGTTACCAAGGGAGTCTAAATTAAGCTTTCGAAGAAGTTCTTTATTCCTTTGGATATTCTGCTGCCTTTGCTTCTCAAATTCAGTCAATTGAGCCATCAGTAGTGAATTGCAAAAATAAAATAGAGGACATATATTGAGGTTCTTACATCTATAAGGGCGCGATCGCGTTTAAAATATGATTTTTAGTTATCGTTCACCATTTTGTATCCATCTCAAAAAGTCAGCACATAAATACAAACTACCGCAAATTACTATTTGTCTATCATCACCATGGAGTTTGATATCTTTTAAATACTTAATAATGCTCTGAACATCATGCTCTTTGATTTCCACTACCAGATTGGAATAATTCTTGAAGGTGCGTCGAAGCAGGTTAGGGTCATAGCTTGAGACCCAAGGCATCTTATCAGGCGACAGGAACAGCGCAGGAATCAATGTGTCCTTTTCTTTAATTACAATATGCTTCAAAAGGTTCTCCACGTTTTTACCTTGAGTTATACCAATTACTAAAATGAGACCCTTTCCTTGACCTCTGTATTCTTGAAGGAACTTACCTAGTTCTTCTGCTGCACTTTCATTGTGTGCCCCATCTAATAGTACGTCAAATCCTAGAGTATCAATATGAACTGACTGAAGCCTTCCTGGCCAATTAGCCTTCGAAATACCAGACGTAATCGACTCTGGCAGGATCTTTGAGCGACCATCTTCCATTGTGTACTCGTTATAATCTTGTGCCATGACAATATCAATTATCTTTAGGGCAATGCTCAAATTTTGAAGTTGATAGTTTCCTTTAAGAGGGGAGTACCGTAGTAACATACTAGCTCTTAATGCGAATGCATCTCCAACTTCATCAGAGCCTACTAAAGTTAGCTCCGATCCATTCAAACGAGCTTGCTCTTCTATTACGGAAAGAGCCTCGGATTTATTAGTTCCATCTGCCACACAAGGTATTCCTTTTTTAATTATCCCTGCTTTCTGATACGCAATATCAGCAATTGACGTGCCCAAAAAGCTCTCATGATCAATACCAATCTTAGTTATGCCAGTCGCTATTACCCCTCCCATGATTCTTTGTTCACAAGGTTGAAGGACGTTCGTAGCATCAAGTCTACCACCGAGGCCTACTTCAATTATCGCTAACTCTACCTTCTCTTGTTCGAAAATCTTAAAAGCAGTCACGGTTAGTAGTTCAAAATCAGTACAATTTAGTTGCAATGTTAAATTCTGTTCATTAACTAATTGACTTATATGTGTGAATTTTGAAGTTGGATATGCCTTGTTATTTATGCATATACAATCATTATAGTATAACATGTGAGGAGATGTGAACCTTCCATTTCTTATATTTGATTGAGTTATTATTGAAGATAAATAGGCAACCGTAGACCCTTTACCATTTGTGCCAGCGATGTGAATAGACTTATAAGAGTAGTGTGGGTTTCCTAAGTGCTGGAGGAGCTTTGTTACTCTCGATAACCCTAGGTCAATTGGCATAGTTCATTTCCAAAAGAAGGACTGAATATATTTCTCAATCTCAGAGCAGAAAATATATTTAAATCCTAACGATAAGCTGCTCCACGTCCAAAAAAAAAAAGGAATGGATAAAGATAACGACACAGATTCAAGCTATATCAAAGAGAGAATAGATTCCTTGAATCTGATTGATGCAAAGGTAGCAACATTTTTAGATAATTTGTCGAAACTTTTCAAAACATACTGTGATCCTGACCACAACGACTCAACAAAATCAAAGGATAAATTTTCAGCGGAAGTTAAGGACATATATGGAACCATAAGTAACGTTGCAATTGAATTGAGGAAGGAAGTTAAACTTATGGATGATAATATCGGTGTCTATGATAGAAATAAGGATGGGGTGATGATTCTCCCAATAAAAGTCGACCAAAGGAATACGTCACTAGGAAAAGAAAAGCTTAAGGAGGAGTTACAGGAACTTTCAACACTTCTTGGTGATGAAACTTCTTATGCTGTTAAGCAAGAAGCCACTAGTCCTAAAGCAAACATACAATCAAATCGTTCACCTGACAAAGATAAGAGCAATATTGAAAACGATAACGACGTAGAAATGATTCCTTCAGATTAGGAGTCTAAAAATATATATTAGAATATACGATTCATAGATGAGCATCATAATTCTTCAAGATAGCCTTGTTGAATTAATCTTTCCACGTCCGACTTTCTGACGTAAAATTGGGAGTCCTTGATCAAATTAAAAACACCGTACTCTGTTTGTATTTCACCACCATCCTTTAAAACTCTAACATCAGTAAAGATGTTTTTAGGTGGTTCCAAATTGCCAGATAGATCTATATCAGAAAAATGAGTTTTATAATGCAAAAGAAGGTCTTGGTAATTCTTGAAATATTCCTGTTCTGCTGGATTCAAGTTTTCTAGTAACAATTGATACGTATAAATTCCAAATGCGTCAGGTTCTTTAATCAGCAGCTTATTTTTCTTCTCGTTATTAGGCTCTATAGGATCAATGTTTAGCCATGCAAATTCGTCAATTTTCTCGGCCCTTAGCCTTTCATATGCCAAAAGACACCTTTTATTCCGTCGCATCGATAAATGAGTTACAAATAATTGACACTGATTGATCTTCTGACTCTCTTCATTGTAATCACCTTCATTCTCTTGCATTTCCAGATAGTCTGCAAGGTATGATGCATCCACATTAAGATCTGCAATCTCCTTGAGAATATCTTTAACGAGATCGGACTGATAAGCAGGAACCTCGTTCAACCTTGAAGTACGTTTAGCATCACGGATTAACTTGTTTGCAAGATCTGCGTACATCTTATCCACCAAAGGATCAGAAACAAAAATATTAAAATAATATTGATATCGCGGTGATAATCGCGTCAGTACCGTTTTACATACATTCCAACCGAAGAGAGTAACTCTTATTTTATCACAAAGGGCTATATAAGCATCTATATGTCTACATAAGAGTAGTTCTACCCCCTATTTCATTACTGGCTGAACCGTCTGGCATGTTTCCATCCCTTTGGGAAACAAATTCTCCGTAAACTTTGTCTAATTTCTGCTTCTCTTTTACTGAAATGGACGGCTTTGTTTCTTTTAAACTCTCAAGAAAGTCAACTTGAGATATGATTATCTCCAGTGATGAACCCATCAAATGCAGATTCGATAAATTATTTGCGTCATCTTCATCTTTGAAAAGTTGTTCAATTTGGTGGAGGATTTTTATCTTTGCGGCGGACAGCAAGTGTGGGTTTTTTAATTTGTCAGAATTCACTTGAAAGAACTGATGACTACTCTTTTCTTTAGAGTTGGTACTTCCCTTAACTGCCATTTCTTCATCTCTGTTTAGCTTAGTATGTACTGCTTTCAAATAAGCGTTATAACCCAATCCCTGGATATCAGCACCACTAAAGCCCGCACTCCTATCTGCAATCGCTCTTAGATCCACGTCTTCTTGTAATTTCATTTTGGAAGTAACACATCTCAAGATATCAAGTCTATTCTCGAAATCTGGCATATCACAAATCACACTCTTATCTAATCGACCAGGGCGTAGCAAAGCAGAATCAATAAGATCTGGTCGACTCGTAGCTGCCAACACATAAACGCCATCCAATCCTTCTGCACCATCCATCTGCGTTAACATCTGATTGACAACTCTGTCAGTAACACCTGTAGAATCGTGTCCTCTCTTGGGGGCAATTGAGTCAAATTCATCAAAAAACAATATGCAAGGCTTTGCGGATTGAGCTCTTTCAAATAATTCTCTAACAGACTGCTCGGATGCACCTATATATTTGTTCAAAATCTCAGGGCCCTTGATGGAAATGAAGTTCAATCCACATTGACCAGCAACGGCACTAGCCAATAACGTCTTACCACATCCTGGATAGCCGTATAGCAATATTCCGGACCGTAACCGCAAAGGACAATTTGCAAAAACGGGTCCATATCTCGTCGGCCATTCCAAAGTTTCTAGCAATAAATTTTTGGCTTCCTTCAATCCTCCTATATCAGACCAATTAACAGAAGAACCTTGAAGTTTAACCCCTCGCAAATTAGAAGGCACAAAATCTTTAATTGCACTTTCAAAAGTGCTCTTATTGATAATAAGTTTTCCTTCCAGTTCTTCTTGATTAAATAAGGACTCATGATAAATTCTTTCACAAAGTGTTTTTAAATCATTAGGTAAATATCCCTCCGTTTCAGAAACAAGATCTAAGATATCAAAATTAATGGTCATCTTTAATCTATCTGTTAAAAAGCTCAGTATGATCTTGGATCTCATGTTCTTGTCAGGTGCTCTTAAATGGAAAATGTTTTCAATAACATGACTCTGAAAAAGTAACTTGTTTAAAGATTCCTTTGATTCAGACGAAACAAGGATAGATACATTACTGTTTTGTTGGTTGCTGATCTTTTGAATTTGCGCTACAAAAAACTCACTCATCTGTAACGTGTTCGAAGTATCACTATGTTCAGATTCAGCTGGCAATAACTTATCCAAATTGTCTAAAATAAGTAGAGAAGGCTTGTACCATGCACATTCTTGAAACCACTTTGTAAAATTACCAATCAGAGTGTTTAGGCCGTCATTCATTAGAGACTCGCATGATACATACTTCGTATGATATCCAAATTGCGATACCATTTTACCAAGTAATTTCAACACTATTGACTTACCACTCCCAGAATTCCCGTGAACAAGAGTTCCTGAGTTACTTGTAAGGAAAATCGACTCCTTTATGTCATCAAGAGTTTTCTCCAAGCCTATGGCTTCATCAGTCCCCATATCATCTAGAGTACGCTTTTCCAAGAAAGATGCAGACCGAAGTAACTCTTCACCTAACTCAACTCTAGGCATCCTCCTGTCTGCATCAAATGTAGTCCATGCATTTGTATCGCTATTTTTTTTAAACCTGATTAAGCCCCCATTAGGCAATATGTCTGCGATGCTTTCAATTTTCATATAATTCGTTACTGGAATATTTAAGAATCCCTCCTTCCCGACAAACAATTTTTTTATCAACTGCTTCTGTATTTCATCTTTTCTCTTTTTCTGATCAGTTGAGTTCAAATTTAATTGACCTGCTTTCCTGGTTTGAGTAATATAAGGGTGAATAATGACAGTACTTACCTTTCCTGTCATTCGTTTAACAGCTGGTTTCAAGACAATAATAGTACCCACAGAACCTTCGACATTCAAGCTTTGAGCTAACTTCAAAGACAAACCTACCATCTCAGTATGACAGCTCTTGTCGAAAACCAATCTTGCAATTACTTTGGCATTTTCTTTAATGGCAACAGAATTCGTTTCTTTTTCTTTTTCTTTTTCTCTGTCCTTCTCATCTGTTGGCTGCAGCTGCAAGGGTGCAGAATTTGTTCTACTATTTGGACCAGGAATCACCGATACTGCGACAAATTCTGAATCGAGAGAGCCCCGGACTTTTGGATTTGCATAAATTTCCAAGCCATGACGATTTGCTGATACTGGTAGTTTACTGAATAGTTCGTGAGGCAATGATATCCCTCTTTTCAAAACCGAGGGCATATTTGCGTAGTCTTCTGTAGTTGACTTGGCAGGTTTACCAATCTTCAGTGATCCGTTAGGTTTTTTGACTCGCACCTTTGGAGCTATTGCGATTTCACAATATGGAGAAATCTTGCAGTAGTCATGGGTTTTAGTACCAATATCAGTCACAATTAACTTAGCTGATGTACTTTGCGTCGGGTATACTACCAAAACCTGATTCAATGAGACACATCTCGTTTGCGACAAGAGTTTATCTTCTATCGCCTGCGCATGCAACTCAACGACCTCCCAGTCAGAGCTGGTGAGTGGTTCCAAATAAATTTGACTGGTCTCAAAATTCCTGATTTTTAAATTCAATGTGACAGCTTCATTATCTTGTAAAGAAAGGGATTGTGCAAATATCGAGTCTACCTCTAACGTACTAATTGTAGAAGATGACATACCAGACCATCCAGCATAGTACTTTTTGCCACTACTTTGCACTATTTCGAGTATAACATCTTGTATCTTAATATTTGCATTAAATAATAAGTTACTTAGGTTAGAAGGCAAATTAACCAAGTTTGACTTCAATGACCTATATTTTATGGTCACTTTATGGCCATCCATCTATATCACTCAGTGATTATTTTAATTATGTAGATGAACTTGTTTATTATTTCTACTCACCTCAGTATAAAGTGGAATAAATTAATTTCGAGAAACATCACCGACTTGAGCATTCATTTTGTGGGGCCGAGGTATATATCCAGCAAAAAAAAAAGGAAGTCTATGATCGTTAGAATTACTACTAAACAATTTGTCTATATACAAGTTAACCACTTTGATCGTCTACGTGTGGACGTCTTCACTCGAAAAATGTCACTTGTAGAAAACATTACACACAGTAGACGACAGAATGTAATGCAGAAATTTCAAAGCATTTCACAAGAGAGACTTTCAATTTTCAATGGTTGTTTTTTCACGAGAATATTTCAACTTCAGGTCCGTAGATGTCGGATGATTAATTCGTCAGACATATATAACTAACGATCTTGCTGGGTTCCGTCTGATCCATCCTTTGTTCTCTGCTTCATTATCTTATCCTGGTTCTTTTTCCTAGCTTGTTCCACAGTTTGGAAAGACTTTCGCCTGATGGATCTGCATTGTTCCCAGCCAACTACATTACCTAAAAAGAAACCACATATGCCCCAGTTCATTGCCCTGCTTGGATTCTTGTGTATCAAAAAAGTGACGACACCTAGAACACCCATTGCCTCGAAGCCTGTCATCATGGCTTCTCTGAAGCATGGCATGGTTGTGAATTTTTCAATCGTAAAATCGGAGAGCTGAAGTTGATAAAGAGCATCCATATACGTAGGCGAACGCTCTATTGACGAACCTGTGTCCTCAAATTTAGGCGGTAAGTCTTCCAAGAACTGTTGTTTCTTAGGCTCTTCTTTATATTCAGATACTGTTGTGACTTTCGAAGGGCTACTGCCGCCGAACCAGCCCATTTTGACAAAAGCTTGTTGTAGATGAGAGACGCCTCGAGTCAATGAATTTAGTAGTCCTATATCAGCGAAACTTTACGCACGTGATAAAATTATTCTTTTTTTCTAGAGAAATTTGGTAAATAGCGCAGCTAAGTTTCGATGGTAGGAAATTCGTCACGAGCACCGCTTAAACCAATGATTTATGAAATCTGAGTTGTTTTCAGCATAAAACACGATAATTTGAGCTGTCTGGTTAGCTAAGCCTTTTATTTTGATTTAAATGTCACGAGTCTCATCTTCTCTTCTTAAGTTAGGGCATCAGTGCATTAACGTAGCTTGTTGTTTCGTATCCCAAATTTACAAGTAATGTCCTGTATAATGTATTTGCATATTATTAGATAGTTTTTTGACCACCGATTTTAGCTGTATACTTAGCGAACCATTAGAGAGCCATGGATTTGCCAGATTTAGAGCTAGATCCTCAATTAAAGTATTGGGTGTTATTACCCATCTCAGTTGTTATGGTAATAATTGGGTTGTTAAGATCAAATATCACGACATTGCTTAAACCCGGACCCAAGCTTGAAGAGTATAAAATGGTTAGAGAAAAGTAAGTTACTATTCTTCAGGGGCATTGTCATTGAATCATATTACTAACTAATTTAGGCAATTCTTGAAGAGGGCTCATTGTTTTAGAGAGAATAATAGTGTTTTGAATTCTATCGAATTTCAGTCCAGACAGAAGTATTTTATTAGGAGTTTAGGCACTACAGAGTATCATGCTAAAGTGGAGGAACCAGACGCAAAGCCACTGAACCCGTTAACTGATGCTGGGACCAATGAAGCTCTAATGAATATGGCTAAAGGCAACTTAATGAATTTCATCCCACAAACGGTGATTATGGGCTGGGTGAACTACTTCTTCGCAGGATTTGTTATCATGAAGCTTCCATTTCCTCTCACCGATGGATTCAAAAGCATGCTTCAAAGCGGAGTTGCAACCCCAGATCTAAATGTGCGATATGTTTCTTCTATATCATGGTACTTTGTTAATCTTTTTGGCTTGAGACCAGTATATTCATTATTAGCTGGAGACAGTGCAGCTGAAAAAATAATCAACCAGCAACTGCAACAAGCTTTGCCCAACATAGGAGGTCCTGGGGAACCAAAAGCTGATAAGATATTTAAGTCAGAGGCAGAGAATATTCAAATCTTGACTCATCGTTCAATCTATGAAGGCATTGTCGACAGAGTGCTCGAGGCAAATTAAATATAAGCTATTTTTGTACTTTTATTTGTTAGGTGTTGTCACTTGCGCTCACTTAATATGAGTCACAAAATAATATTCTCTGAATTCTACATCTTGTTATATACGGCTGTCTACGGAGGAAAAAATAATGAGTTATTCATTTCAACCTATACAGCTCAGACTATTATGTCATACAGTACGATATCAAGCTACTTTAAAAAAATTCAAAACCTGCATATTAAGATGATGGGATATAGGTATTTATGTTTTTCGTCTGTCATCACTCTTACAAATCTTTTCCACATCTATTAAAGTTTGTTGTAAAGAAGGTTGATAAAAAATTTTCCTGTAGTTCAAGATGGCTCCCGCAACTGTTGTCTGTATAGGAATGGCTGGATCTGGAAAGACTACGTTTGTACAGAGATTAAATTCACATCTTCATTCAAAGAAAACTCCACCTTATTTAATCAATTTAGATCCTGCTGTACTCAAAGTACCTTACGGAGCTAATATCGATATAAGGGATTCTGTTAAATATAAAAAGGTTATGCAAGAATATAATCTTGGTCCGAATGGGGCAATCGTGACATCTTTAAACTTATTTTCAACGAAAATTGATCAGGTCATAAAGCTAGTTGAAAAGAGATCGGATAAAGTTCAACATGTCATCATCGATACACCTGGGCAAATAGAATGTTTCGTCTGGTCAGCAAGTGGTGCTATAATAAATGAAGCGTTTGCTTCAACATTTCCAACAGTTATTGCTTATATAGTTGATACACCCAGGAACACTTCTCCAACTACGTTCATGTCGAATATGTTATATGCATGTTCTATTTTGTATAAAACTAAGCTACCGATGATTGTTGTGTTTAACAAGACAGACGTGACTAAGGCCGATTTTGCGAAAGAATGGATGCAAGACTTCGAAGCATTTCAAAATGCGTTAAAGAATGATCAAGAATTGAGTGGCGATGGTGGCTCTTCTGGTTACATGAGCTCTTTGGTCAATTCAATGTCGCTTATGCTTGAGGAGCTCTATTCTCAATTGGATGTGGTTGGTGTAAGCTCTTATAATGGAGAAGGTTTCGATGATTTATTGGATTCAATTGACAATAAAGTTGAGGAATACAACACATATTACAAAAGTGAAAGAGATAGAATATTGAAGGATAAAGAGGAACAAGAAAAGAGCCGCAAAGTTAAGTCTTTGGATAGGTTAATGAATGATTTGGATATGAACGATCGGAATAAAAAGACGGGAGGTGATTCAGAGGTCTTGTCCGACTTTGAAAATGATAATGAGAGCGATGATTACGAAGGCGAGGTATTGAGAGATGAAGATGAACCAGAAAGAGAGTATACATTTCCTGAGAACAGGGATTCAGAGGTGAATAGCAGGACTGACGCAGAATTACAAGCACGATATCAAGCTGCGTTTAATTCTACAGCGAAATCTGCATCTTCAGATACGGCGGAAAGAATTGCTAATTATATTAAGCGATAGAATTTCTTCAAGCCTATGATTCTATATTAAATTTCTATTTCAAATTTGATAATATGCTGTCAATATTGTAAGGACTTTGGGAGAATTCTTTCTTGAAAATCAAATGGGGTTTAAATTTGGCCAAATGTAAAATAGTCTTACCGAACTCAGAATTACACCAAGCAAACCATGATCTTGTATAATCATATAACCTTGAATTGACGTGAATACTTTCGTGCATTAGTCCAAATCCCGCTGTAGAATCCATGATTAATTTCAAATTTTTCATAATCTCATTATCATCATCCGTAGTTCTGATTTGAATAAGTAAAGACATCGGCCAAGCATTATAAATACCAACATGAGGTCCACCAATACCTTCAAAATATTTTCCAACCAAATAGTAAGGATTTCCAGATTTTGAAAGAATCATTTTTCTAGTATTTTGATATACTTCATCGTTGACGCTCAAATACCCTAAGTCGGGGATTGAAAGCAAAGACGGCACGTTCGCATCATCCATGAATAAAACACTTCCATATCCATCAACTTCGTAGGCATATACTTTTCCATATACGGGATGTTGCACGATCCCATATTTTTCAATTCCCATAGATATGTTCTCTATGAAGGTATCCACAACCTCGAACATTGAGTTAGCAGAATTTGACTTAACATGTTTATGATTTAAGTAAAATGAGCGAGCTTTCTTAAGTTCAACTAACATATGAATGTTAGCAGGGATGAAAAACTGTAAAATCGTGGCATCATCACTAGGTCTGAAAGCGCTACGTATTAAACCAGTCCCAAAGTTCACTGGATTCCCAACTCCAGCTAACGGTAGGGTCTCGGATCCTATGTTTGTTTGCCTCTGAAAGGAATAATAATACGACAATGCTTGTCCTGTTTTATCATCGAAAGACGGCTGCGATTCCCGTTTTAGTACGATAAGAAGTTTTTCGAAAGCCCTCAACCAGCTGCTTGTTATAAAAGATGCATCCCCTTCTGAATGATCGAAATACTCGTTTGAAAGGGTCAAAAATGAAGCCAAAGAATCAAGTTCGTACTTACATTCGAAAACACTCTTCCAATCTGGCCTTGGGTAAACATTGTCAATAGCGGAGTTCCCTTTTTTTACATGCGACCCTCTTGGAGGATGGAAAGCATTACAATATGGAGAATTTATAACATACTTCGCTTGAGTGTTTATTGCGCCTCTTATCAATGTCTTCAAAGAATTATCATGCTTGATGAAAGGCTGGTATACGGACAATTGTCTAGCTGCATCCCTTAACCATTCAGCATGAATGTCACCTGTTACAACAAATGACTGTGGTTCTTCAGAGTCTGAATTTTGGTGCCATAGGATGGTGGTATCCAATGTATTAGGCAAACAATTTTCAATCAACCTTCCCATATCTGGGTCCTGGACTTTATCTTTCAAGTCTGTTATAACCTTCTCCACAGCATTTGATACAAACGTTCGACATTTAGGAACTGGTCGCATATATGGAAAGTTATGCTGTCCCGTAGAAAAGGGAGCATGTTTATGCTTGGAGTATTCAGTATAATCTGGGCATTTCATAGTCTGTTCATCCAATTCTCGGAGAAACTTTTCATCTATTGTGTCCTTCACCAAGTCGTGACTTTCAGAATTCTGTATGTGTTTAGCGAGAGACTCTTTTCCACTCGTTTTGAATTGAAGAAACCTATTTGTATCTAAGATGTCAGATTTAAGTGTGGTTTCAGATCCAGAAGTCAACGATTTTGTAATTAAATAAAGCCCTCCGATAAATGTAACGGCCAAGCATAGTCTCAAGATCCTCACTATCTTACTGTGTACATGTAACATGAATCCTCTATCGATGGGAATGGGTGTTATATAGAGAAGAAAACGAACACACACACATAATTTCAACAAAGCCTTTATTTTTGCGATATCTATTTTACAGTGTGCATATCTAATCAGGTGGTAAATGCCAGCAGTTCGAGCTTTTAAGACTATGAGAGTAAATATATACAATTTTTACGGAAATCTTGCTCCACTCTAGTGAGACCAAGTCCACCTAAGCTCTTCATTAAATGATCAATATTACCACGAGAACCATTATGCCTCTTAGCTGCATGCTGTAAAAGGCTCTCATAATCCAGAACCGCTTCATGTTTAATCAAGCTTGATTTCAAATAATCATTGATCAAATCATTTTCAAGGGATATTCTTGCGCCTAAAACCTCAAAATCGGATTTCTCTATCAATTTCAATAGACTTGAGTGGTCTTGGTGTAGAACTGGGTCTTCAATAGTTAAAATATAATACTGATTGTAAACCATATCAAAGGGAAAAACTTCTTCAATATTTGAATTCTCCAATTTCTTACGTATCGACAGTAAACTATATTGTTTCCCGAAGTTGTCGCTTAAAGAAAATGGGTCTATGATTTTCTTGCCAGTTTTCGTGTCTATGATATCCAAAATTTTACTGGAGAATAATTTATCTGAAAGCTGATCTACTCTTTGGTCTATTTCGTTCCAATCAACTTCAGATAATACACTTTTGAAACTGTCACCAAAATTATTACTGAAAGAGTCGAAGCTTTTCAATGCCATGGTGAAGATGTCTATAGTCGCTAAATCAGTCAAGTGGTAGTTCCTTTTGGCACTCTCACCTTTTAATTCTCTACCTAGCTTATTTCCAAGTTTTATTATTTCGCTGTTTATATCGATCAATGGCTTGTTGATTTGATATAAAGATGTCTCTGAGAATAATTTGTGCCTCTGCGATAATATTAGAAATACTGGTGTATTCTTCAATAATTTCAAGTACCACTTGAATGAATGTCGTTGACTCTTTGTCTGAGGTAAACTTTTGTACGGATTTAAATATGATGCAAATGATGAAAGGATCTGGGCCTCGTGATTAGTGAAGTTCTTCACTGTTGAACCGTATTCAGAATATATAGGCATTTCTTCATAATCCTTCGGAAGGTTGAACAACTCGTCAGTTGATAGATTTTCTAGTTCACCTAAATCTAGTCCTCCGTCAACTATTGGCCCAACAAGTTTTCTCATCAAGGGTGGGAAATTAGGACAATGTATTGTATTTTGTCGAAGTAATTTATAAGTCTGAAATCTTCTAAATTCATCAGATGTATGGTAAAAATAATTCCTCACAACTTCACTTCGGCTACCAGCCACTTTTTGCGAAGCAAGAACGTATATCCTTAAAAATTTCCTTATGGTCAGCGGAATCCTATTGACCGTATGACTAGACATCTGCTTCTCATTAGTATTTAATGTGTATTTCTCTTTACCTTAATCATCAACGATCAGTTGCATTGGTAGACTTTATTTTAAGCTTCCAGAGCATATATGCACACTCGAGATGGATATCAGTAAAGTTTAAAACCAATAATTCTAAAAAGAAGTTAACCGTTAATAGTTGGCTGAGATGATATCCAGATGCATATTCAATTGCTCTAGGAGGATTGTTTTATATAATTCGATTACCTCATATTCTCACAAGAGACTTGGATTATTGAGCACACCGAATAAGGGCTATAGATCCAACGCATCCGACAGTAGGAGTGTCGCTAAGGCTAAGATCGACGATCCTCAGCTAATGATAGCATTTACTTGCAAGAAATGTAACACAAGATCATCACATACGTTCTCAAAGCAAGCATACCAAAAGGGGACTGTGGCAATACAATGCCCAGGGTGCAAAAATCGTCATCTTATAGCGGATAATCTCAACATATTTAAAGATAAAAAGGTAAATTTAGAAGATATTCTTAGAGCAAAAGGCGAATCTATATCAAAGGACGCCAACGACCTTGTCTTTGAAGACATACCTGATAGTCTTAAAAAGACTATAGGTCACCATGCCAAGGATGCACCTGCTGAGTACAGAAAGGAAACAGAAAACGGGGATATTAGAGGGTTAAACGAACCGAAAAAACCAAAAGGGGAAGAGAGATGAACATTTTCAATCGTGCCATCCTAAGTCATACTTAATTCTATCCGATTTCAGTTTATATATTTAGTAAACTTTAGTCATTGATGTAATTTGTGTAAATTTGTAGACATATCATTTCTTCTCTCGAAATTCTGAAAAAAAAAAAACTTAGTCTAGTTCTATCATTAATAAAAGATGATTACCAGCATAATTAGGAGGCCAAGAGTTTCTAGCGTTGCACTTAGGACTGCGAAGTATAGTGTTGCAAAATTTCACACTCCTTCCCCACTCAATAATAAGAATGATCTTCTTTTAAAATATCAAGACAAGCTTCAAGAGAAGGCAAGATCATTAGGAGCAAAAAACGTAGATGAATTAAGAGATATACTTAAAGATGACATTAAAAAGACGAAAGAAAGCTTCAACAAAGTTGATCCTCTTGAAGCTTTAAATGAATATGAGAGGAAGCAGTCTGAAGAGTCACGGCAATCAAAGACTATAAAAGTTAGGTCTCCAATCTCTCAGGAATCCGAACCCTTACCTTACAAAACTCTTGATTCATTCATCGATACAGACAAGATCAGAGAACTACCAGCAACTGAAATAGAAATGATTTGGAAGGCAAGGTTTCAACATAAGGATCGCTCCCTTTTTGCTACCTTGAAAAGTTTACAATTTGCTTCGATGTATGCTAATGCATTTAAAAATCCTCAATTTATATTACCTTTACCAAAAAATGATGGTGAATATGAAATGCAATTTGTTCAATGGTCTTTCGTTGGACCAAATACTTGCCATTGTATGTTAACCACGGTTGCAGAATACAAACTTCACAAAGAGTATGCCAAACCACACACCACTCTCATGTTCCATCAGGAATTAGCTACAACAAAAGATATAGTTTTGATGAACGGAGTTATAGATAAAGATGCAGCTCTTAGGATTGACGAGGCTGAATTATTGGTCTTGAATATTCAAAGGTTTTATGGAGCCATGAATAACGATGAAGGATCTGAAACGAGACAGGCACTTCTCGAAAATTTTTCAAAGGGAAGCGAAGATTTCTCTTTAGATGCTTTGATAAAAGTGGCCGAAACATTTAATTGATTTTAAAATAATTACGTACCCTTCATAGTCATAATACTATCCAATAAACTTTCTTGACCTCCTTTTTTATTTTTTTTTGTATTGTTCATTCTTGGTTCTTTTTTGCTCCTTGGTTTCTTTGGCTCCAGCTTCTTCGATTCCAGCTTCTTCGACTCCAGCTTCTTCGACTCTAGCTTCTTTTTATGTCCTTTAGTACGGCCATGATCGTGTTCATTATCAGATATAATCTCTAATGAATCCAGATCACTTATTACATCTTCGTTTCTTTTGGGAGGAGGCAGCAAGTGGCCCGAGTTTCGAAGATTTCTAGAAGTACTTTGAATCTCAGTATTTGCTTCGTTAGTCCAGTCTTTATCGTTATTGTCGGAGTCGCTATTTTCTACAACTAGCTCGCTGATAGGTGCCTTGCGCTTTTTAGTTATGTCGCGTGGTGCCAGAGTCTGTAAAGGATCGTTATCTTTCACATTGTTTTCTTGTTTCACTTGAGTTAGAATTTGTTTAAAAGCATTCTTCGCATTGTGATCACTCAGCTCAAGAATATCTCTATCACCAATATCAAGTTCCAAAAGCATTCTTGTTTCCTTTTCTATTTCATTCTTTATGTAGTGATCCAATATATGTTTGTCATCGTTGTCTACAAATTTTTCAACAGCATGCATAATACCCTGTTCCGGGATTAATGTGAGACTCGTCTGGCTAAGGAACTCTTTAATCAAATCCTGTAAAATCTGGTCGGAATCTTTTCTTTGATCTCCAACGATGTCTGTATCATGAAACCTAGAGGGTTCGAGGTGAAGCGTTTTCTCGCGACCCCTTCTTAAGTAGAACTGGACAACATCATTGACATTTGCGATTTTATTGACAAACCTATTTGAAAATCTAGTTGCGTTCTCTAATTCGTATCCTCCAGAATATTCAACTCTCAACCTGATTAAAGGAAGTGGTGGTTTCAAAGAAATATTCATAGATTCTTGAAAGTTTTTAGCCGACTTGTGCACTAAATCTTCAACCTTGTTTGCAAGATATTCTGTTACGTCTGCTTTTGAAGCCTCTCCAGGAAAAAACCCTGTCTTCAGTAAAGACACCTCTTCCATTAAGAACGGCCGCACACTTTTTAACCTTATAGGCTCCATGGAATAGCTAAGATTTTGTATTCGCAATATGAATACATGTTTATCCGCAACTTCGCCTTCACTCAAGGATGTAGCAATGGAAGATCCCGCTTGCAATACATCAAATCCTGTCTCTGGGTTAAAAACTGGATGAGGAATGCATTCATGTTCGTGACCCCATAAAATAAGATTTAAAAACTGTGGTAAGAACAGTTCCGGAATGTGTGAAGTTCTCGAATGCTCAGCGTGGTTTTGGTGAAAGCATAACATATTAAACCATTTATCGGTATCAATATTAGGGCGAAGAAATTTCACCAAGCCGTCACGAAAGATCCTATGAAGCCTTTCATCCCTCACATTATCCATTCCATAAAGAGCAAATCGTGTAGTTCCTTTTTGAAACAACAAAGGTGAAACTGTTATATCTTCATTATTCTCTATTCTACCAAAATGATTGATAAGACCTGACATGGATAATATGTCTAAAGGCAGAAGAAAGCCTTCACCAGTGGCATCGTCATGGTTTCCACTAATAGCAAAGACTGGAATTGAGACATTTATATTAGGGTCCTCATAGTTTACGGTGTCCAATGTATTGCTCAATCCTATCTTGGGATCACTTAGCATCTCCAACTCGCATGGGCGTTCTCCTAAACAATTGAGACGCAAGGATTTGATCACTTCAAATAAAGACTTTTTGGAAGGTTTATTAATATGAAATAAGTCCCCACCTTGAATAATCATGTCTACATCTCTTTCCTTTGCAATTTCTGTAATCTCGTGAAACGTCTTCCAAGAATCATCTCCTATGATAGGATCATTCTCTTTATAGCCGACATGATTATCAGTAGTCAATAGTATGCTTATAGTATTGGGACCATCCTTAATATCTGATATTGGAGGCATTATTATGTTATTGTTGGCCAGTGATCTTATTAAGGTGTTTCATATTCCTTAGAGCACACCCTCAATCTGATATCAAAAACCATTAAAAAAAAAATTTAGTTGTAAATAAAAATTACTCCCAACGGTTTTCGTGATTAAATTAAATAGTAGATCAGCCTAGGTCGGACTATCATGAAGGATGAGAATTCGTTGCTGTCAGCTCTCGAGATACGACAGCAGGATGAATTGAACAGTTTGAAATCCATTTATGGCGATATTATGAAAGATATCACGTCGGACAAGCTTATTTGGAACAAGAAACCGAGCCCTCATTTTCAAGTTTTTTTGGAATCATCAGAGAATCCTGAAAAGCCAACACTTTCACTAACGCTTGATATTGAATTTACGCCAACATACCCAGTATCGCCGCCAATTGTCAAGATTTTAAAACCAAAGAATATTTTAAAGGCAAATCTTACGTCTTTGAAACAAAAGATTCAACACTTAATTAAAGAGTATCCAGAGGAAGAGGTCTCATTTACCATCATTTCGGAGCTCAAAGTCTTATTAGACGAATATCAGCATGCCATGGAAAAGACCATGTCTTTAGAACAAGAACGTGAATTACGATTAAGAACGGAGAGGCTCCAATTAGAAAAGGAGGACGCGAAAAAGCAACAGGAGCAAGAGGATGCAAAGAAGGAAGAGAATCAAAAACTAAACCAACAAATAATCAAAATACAAGGTGAATACTATAATGAAATGTCGGATGAATCGGATGAAAATGAAGACGACTTACGACTAGTACCAACAGACACGGAGAAGTATTTCACTTTTGAAAACACGATGGTAGGACAGATTCCAGGTTCTAAGCAAAAGTTTAGGTTCCGATCTGTGTTGGGTTTTGCTCCTGTCAAGTATGGTGATTTACTATCACGTCTTGGAGATCAGTATATTGTGAGACCCTATCTTGCAACTGGAGTTACTCCTGGATTTGATAAAAAAGGTAATGAATTGAGCTATGTATTTACAGAGATCAGTTTTAATAACTCCTTCTGGATGACAGATTCAGGAAAGAGTGAAATTCAAGACCTTGAAAGAGAATTGCAGTTAGCTTTGAATATTACTAACGACAATATATCAAAGCTTGTTGGATTTCAAATTGACAAAATGAAAGAATCTGGATGGAAGCTCCGTCTTCTCTCGGAAAACTTCCCTAGAGCTGTATCCCTTCTGTATGTTCTATCAAAAGTTAACTTCGTTAATTGGGCTATAGCGAGGGTTTGGTTTATTCAATTACTATCGGGAATTGAGTATCTTCATAACTCTGGATTTATTCATAAGATTATTTGCCCTTTAACTGTATATGTGCACCCAATTGACAATTATATTTATAAAAAAGACATCACTTTGTTTGATGATGAACTCTTTGATGATGATGAAGCTAAAGATATGAAATTTACACAATTGAAACTAATATACCCTTCCTTCGGTTTCAAAATATTACAATTTTTTAATTTACATCCTAATGACAATGTATCTTTAAATATAGAAAGCTTGATAGAAACGTTAATACCTTTTAATTGGCAGTCACCAGAATCGAAGAAAGGAAATATACAACCAAAATCAGATATTTGGGATTTAGGAGTCTTATTCACTAGAATAATGCTAGGAAATGATGTTGTGACTACAAAGTACAAAACACCTGATGAACTATTCCACAAATTTTCTGCTGAAGACTTTCAAGGTGCAGAAAGTTACAGTAAATTAGTGTTTGACATGCTTTCAAAGTTGTTGCAAGTCAGGCTCACCAAGAGACCCAGCCCGCTAGAACTAAATGCTGCTGGGTTTTTACGTGATGGTCCCACTTCAATTCCGAAACACTCGGAGTCTAAATTCTTATCTTCAGCGTCTCTCAGGAAACTTGAAGAACTCATGTCTAAAGATGCAAAAGACAAAAGCACTCCAGCTTCGGCTATGATTACTACAAACACTGCCATTCCAGCTTCTACGGCTTCAAAACGAAGAAGAAGTTATAGTCAACAAATGAGCATGAATAGAACCGAATCGCTTACACAAGAATTCAATTCTAATAATAAAAGGATAGGTAGATATGAAAGGGATTTTGAAGAAATTGGCAGGTTAGGAAAAGGTGGCTTTGGAGAAGTTGTAAAGGCACGTAATAGGATGGAAGGTACGTTTTATGCAATCAAAAAGATTAGACATAGAGCATACAAACTAGACTCGTTACTAAGTGAAGTGCTTTCTTTAGCAAGGCTAAACCATCAATACATAGTTCGCTACTACGGAACATGGGTGGAAGAGGTTGGGAACGATGACAATGGAGTAGTAGATTCAGACGTTAACTCTAGCTCGGAAGATGAATTCGATGGACCTTTAAACACTAAGACGTCTTCTTATTTACAGAGTCATGATAATTCCTATCAGATAGACTATATATCAAATTCCTTTGACCCACATATTGAATTCTCTGATTCATCGATTGAAGAAGAATTCGACGAAAGGATTGTGTTTGCAAACGATAGTGATGAAAGTGACAACAATACCACCGGCCACTCTAGCGTCGACACTACACCTACAACGCACAACACTTTGTCTTCAGCGCCAGGGAGTAGAGTACCTCATAACAGGCTTCAGCAGAAATCCATATTATATATACAAATGGAATTTTGTGAGAATAATACTTTACAAAATTTAATTGAACAAGGTCTACCAAGTAACCATAACGAATACTGGAGGTTATTTCGCCAGTTGTTGGAGGCAGTCTCTTATATACATCGTGAGGGATTTATTCATAGAGATCTTAAGCCCACAAACGTTTTTATCGATAAATCTAACAACATCAAAGTGGGTGACTTTGGATTGGCCAGGAATTCCCAGTTTTCGTCGGTGCTACTGAACAACAATCAAGTATCGTCAAAGAACAACGAAGATCTCTCTACTGTTGTAGGAACTGTGTTTTACACAGCCAAAGAGGTAGCATCAGGTCATTATAACGAAAAAGTTGATATGTATTCATTGGGAATCATTTTTTTTGAGATGTGCTTCCCTCTTGCAACAGGAATGGAGCGTGCCCAGATATTAAATAATTTACGTTTAGTTACTGTTGATTTTCCACACAATTTCTTGAGCCATAAATTCAAAACCGAACGTAAAATCATAAGATCTTTGCTAGATCATGAACCGAAGAAGCGGCCTGGTGCTACTGAGCTTTTGCAAAGTGGTTGGCTCCCTGTGGAACACCAAGATCAGGTAATAAAAGAAGCGTTAAAGTCCTTGGCGGATCCTGCATCACCTTGGCAACAACAAGTCCGAGAGACATTGTTCAATCAACCTTATCTGTTGGCTGAAGATTTACTTTTTGACAATTTTAGCAAGAATACTAGCAGTATGCAACTCAATTATGATGTTCCTGATTATTTGTTATTTACAACCTTAATTGAGAAATTGTTTAGGATTTTCAAAAACCATGGGGCGATCCAAGATTTAAACTCGAATACAATTTTACCAAAATCTCCATTTCAATCCCGTGAGCTTGTTTACGAGTTCTTGGACAGAAGCGGAAGGGTTTTAACATTGCCATACGATTTGACTTTACCCAATGCGAGAGTTTTGAGTAGATCGAAAGTAGGCATACCTAAAATCTATAAACATGAGTTTGTTTACAGACCTAGCTTGAGGGGTAGCGGTCTTCCTGATAAATACAGTGCAGTAAACTTCGATATCACCACCCATGATTCTGCTTGCAGACCAGAAAATGATGCTGAGTGTCTAAAAATCATCGATGAAATCTTGCAACTTTTTCCTTGCTTCAAAATCAAAAATTCTCAAGCATTAATTGTAGTGAATCATTTTGATATATTAAGCTCTGTGATTGAGTTTGCATTCGGTAATATTGGAATAGATCAAAAACAAATGCACGAAATTTCTGGGGTATTATCGCAGATTGGAATTGATAAAAGTGCTGATGAAGTGAAGAACTATCTCAGGGAAAATTTTAAGGTCCCTCACACGGTGGTTAAAGATCTAGTTGACGAGTTTAACTTTACTATGGAACTCCCAAAAGTCAAAAGTAAATTGCAAAAACTTATGGTAGATTCCCCTTTATTGTTACGAGTTGAGAGAGCCCTTGCATACCTCGAATGCATCTTGACTACTTCTCAAAAATTAGGAATAAAGTCTCCGGTGCTTTTCAATCCGTTGAGCAATTATAACAATAAATACTATAAACATGGAATAATGTTCCAAGCCGTTTTTCGTGTTGACAGGGTTCGCAAATTCACTCGCGTGATAACAGGTGGGAGATATGATAATCTAATATCATCGTTTGTAAATGAAGATATTTCAAAATCTTATACCCCATGTGCTGTTGGTTTCTCTTTGACCGCTACATTTTTGTTTTTGTTAATGAAAAATCTAATATCGAGGAAAATGACATGTAGCGAGAGACAGCTTTGGAGAGGACTGCGTTGTGACGTCTTAATAACGAGTCTTAATGGCACTTATATTAAGCAATCGGGTTTTGAAATAGCTAGGCGATTATGGTCTCAAAACATTAGTTGCGATGTAGAGACAGTTTTAACACAAGAAGAGATACTGGAAAGGTCTATAAAAGAAGGAGCAAATTGGATTATTGTCATAAAGCAGCCAATATCATATCAAAAAAGAAAATCGAAGAAATCTGGTAGCTCATTTAAACCCCTTAAAATTAAAAATGTTTCACATAACAAGGATATCGATGTGGAGTATGATGAATTAATCCCATTTTTGATTTCAGAGATTGAAGAACGAAATCAGGAACTTGATGAGAACCATCAATCTGTAAATGATGAAGAGTCATCTAAAGATGATTACCTAGAATCAGAAGAGCAGACTTCTGCTGGCTATGATGTTACTTTATTTACAGCGGATATTGACCAAAAGATTACCTTGGTAGCAAATGATGCACCTCGAGGTAGGAAAAACAACAAAAGGGAGAAATGGGAGGTTGAGAATGACTCAAAGCTTGCGTCTGCCCTGTTCATAAAGAAGTTGGCAACATCCCCTGTTTTAGTGGTCGATGCCAGAGATGAGGTATTGGATATGATTGCTATAACCTCAATTCATCAGCCTGAAGATTGGATGAGGAAGATAATATACGCCTCAAATAACTTGCCAAAAAGCTTTGCCCAAAATATTCATAACTCATTAGTTAAAGAGTCTTTAAAGGGTCATGAATGGGCTGTTTTACATTCACCAAAGAGCAATAAAACAACAGTGGTTGATTTGCAAAGGTGATTTAATTACTTTAATGATTAATGATAACGTATATATAGAACTGTGTAGTACTAACATATTCGAAAAGAAGTATTAAATACGTTTTCTCTTCTTGAATTGAATGTGGTGTATCTATTTAATGCACATTTTCGTGATGCACAATTATTTAACGGTAACGAGCCCTTTTAAGAAAAGGGACTTCCAGTCCCAGTATTCTTGTAGTCTGAGCTTACCATAATTGGCATAATTGAAGTCAATGTTTGAAATTTCACTTTGTATCATCGCCCAGATACCCCAGTAAAACCCTGGTAAACCAAAGTAGAATTTAATTTCTTCAATTAATCGTACAACTTCATCTTCAGTGGCTAATTCGTTATCCAAATAAGACTTTACCCATTTGACTAGCATTGGATTATTAACAGAAGGTTCAGGAATTGCAGACCTATTACAGTCAAATCCTTGCCATTCTGCGAAATGGTTAGCAATATCAAAAGCTCTTGGAGCTGGTAAAATATATTCATAGTCAATAAACTTGATTGGGTTAGCCTCTACTTTTGGCAATTTCTTGAAGGTGTCGTCGAATGAGAATTCGCTAGGAATAATAATATTACCGGAAAGAAGATCGCAATGACAAGATACGGTTGGAGAATGAACCTCAACTAGTGAACCTTTGAGCCAGTAGAACTCTTCCTTGATCAGATCACGGATATTGGATTTGTTTATTTCCTTCTCTAAATTTTCGTCAAACGTTGCCAATAAATTAGAAGTAATAGGAACAATGTTTATCCACTCCTCTATCAACTCCCAAATATTCGAAATAAATTTTTTTTTCAACTTCTTCGCTCTGAAGTTTCGTAACTCTTCGACCCCAGATTCAATTAATCGTGTATCTAACTTTCTATGCCAATTACCGAGTTGTTGGGCGATTAAGGGATAGATATTGGGTTTACTTAGTTCTTCGGGATCCAACGACTTACCAGGGAGAAAGCCATAAACTAGCCCATTTTTAAATCTAGCGTGGATCGGAGGAGCAAGGCTCAAAGAATTTAGTATTAAATGCAGAATAAACTCTCTATCACGGTCAATAATTATGTTGGTACCTGGGCCATATACTCTCATGAGTTTAGTCTCTTTTGTCCCAATATGAATGCATTGTAATAACATATTCGTGATACCTCCGGTTAGTTGTTTAATTTTAATTTTGTGGGAATCTTTCCAGTCTGGGAAGAGTTTAAGCAAGAACTCTTTTATTTCCTCGTAGCCACTTTGCATGTCTACGGTCAAGTCAATGGAAAGTTTTGGCCAATAGACAGCATGAGTAGAATAATTTTCAATTATATTGGAAATGCTCTGGCCCGAAAGTTCAAAATTAGTTGAATGCTCTCTCACTCCTTTTCTCCTGTGGGCGTCAACTTTGTTGATAGTATTTTCATTAGGACTATCCGAGTCAATATCAGACAAAGAAGGATTATTTAGATTGTACAACAAGTTCTTATATTTGAATTCAGGAGACAAGTGATCGGAGGTGCGGTCTCTTGACATGTGCTTTTCTTTTTCTAATATGATATTGCCTGTTGCACTTTGATTTTCAGCCTTTTGAGTATCTGTCCCCTGATCATTTATCTGGTCCAATATGATATCTGAAATATTATTGAACGTGTTTATGGGAACGAAATGCACTGAATTATTTGAAACAAAACAGTACGCTGACAGAGATTGAGTAGACGTCATACTATCTACTAATGCTTTACGGACTATCTTGCGATTTAAACTGTGTATACTATTAAGAAAATTTTAGATTGAGTGTATATGCTAGGTGTTACTTTTCACATGTAAATCTTGTTTTTAAATGTCACGAGACCAAGTATTGAGAAAATCAATCTTCAAAAGAAGTTCACAATACATCGTTATTGAGAGTATTATACGAGAAGTTAGTCTCGCTTTCTTCCTCATTTCCGCTTTCCTTGATTATTAATATAGGCTCATAGCATCTTCTATGAAATAGCGAAGGAAAAAGTCGAAAATATGACCATGAGGCGATGGCTGTGCCAATGATTGCACCAATTATTATGTCAACAAAATGATGTCTGTAATCCTCTGTCCTGCTTATTGCAATAAGCGACGCGCCTAGAGTTGGGATAAATGCAATTGTGGTTCTCCAGCTCCCGGTAAGCTCATTTGTTACCACTAGTTGACCACTTAACCACATAGACAAGTAGAACAACCCCGAAAAACTCATAGAAGAGTGGCCAGATGGTGTAGTACGAAAGCCATCCTTGAGAATTTTGAGATCTTTACTTGTACAGACATCTTTCGCAAACACTAACATGTCTTTAGGTGTGTCCTTTTTGGGAACACATCTAGCTAAAAAATCGGGCCTATGTCTGCCTATGAAATTCTTCAAAATATTTGTAAATATACTTGTAGAGAATACAGAAATTCCTAGACCAAGTAAAGAAACGAGTGTAACATATATCTTGTTTCGTGGCTTTGTTATTATAAGGCTTAGAGCAAATATTACCACCAATGGAAACCACACCGCATATAAGAATAATTCAATGTCATTAACTCTTTCCCTCTCGGCAAAGGGATGCGCTATAGTGAGGTCATTGATATAAAATTGTCTTTCAAATGGAGAAAGATTACCAACAAAAAAGTCCAAAATAAACAATAATAAAAGTAGAATTGCATCAGATGCTCTCCACCTGATTAGCCTAAACAGCGAAGAAGTATTAGAGAGCCCAAATGTTATTCGATTGAAGTTGTCATCCTTATGGAAATAGTTTATGATATCGAAGAAAATTTCTTTGGCTGTCATGATAACTCCTTAGGGAACTTGATTCACATATTATAATATTTTTTTTGGTGATCTGAGGAAGGTAAGAAGTTTCAATGATCACATGATAACATTACAAAACAACTCTAGTTCAACATATTGATAAAACACCTTATCCACTTGCGAATGGGAATAATAAGACTAATTAATAAGAGAGCTTTTTTCACGTAACAATAAAAGGATATGGTTGGGGTGGTATATGTAAAATAATGCATTATAGTCTATGGAGAACTTGACTCATTTTTTGCATTGTATAAAAGACCGCTAGCCACCTCCCAGAATAAGCTATCGCTCTCTCTTATTCTTATCTCGAGCTTCTTCAAAAGTTATTGTATTTGGTCATTTGCATACTTTGGCCCGTAATTAACTGTTAGCTATGAGCTGTCGCAAGTACGCAAAATAGACAACGACTAGTGTATTTCGAAAATATCATCAGGCTCCCTACAGTAATAATAGTAGATGAGACTTGTAAAAAGAGCTCTATGAATTGTAATGGTTCAGTTTTGTATATGGCTGTGTACTAGTTTTATCGAATAGACTGAATCATTCTATGGGAGATAAAGGTATCTTCGCACTAAGAACTAAACAAAATCGCAATATTTACGATTTCCTTTCCCTGGCCCACACATTTTTGATCATGAGTGCCAACATATTCGGGTCTGATGACCCATGGGAGAATGGGTGGACAGCAGATGATAGTGAAGCTTCTAAATCCGCTATTCAAACCTTTGGAGCAAGCGAATATCTCACTTCATCTCAATTGCTAAGTAACAGAGGTTCAGTGGAGGATATTAGAGATAATCCATTTGAAACAAATGAAGCAAGAGTCCCTCAATCATATAAGAAAGTTGCAGAAAATTTGTCTTCTAAGTTGACTACTGTTAATGATATAGAACCTGTGCTTTTAAACAAAATTGTAACTTTAGGTTACTTGACTGACTTTCAAAGGATGAACATAATGAACGTAATTCGTGACAACAATATATTACCACCATCGAAGCCTGATAATCTCTATAAAATTTTGGGCTTGATTGCAATGGAAATTGATACTTCTGGCTCTGGTGACTATGTGTCTTTGCAGTTCAATTTAAATGACTTACCTGATTTACCCGAGAAGGTTGTTGCAGAACTTGTGACGGACCAACAAGAAGTAAGTGGTTCATTAATTGATCCCTTGACTACGCATTTAAATACAACTTCGCTTACTGACAAGGATTGGAGAAGCTCGTCCGAGTATTCAGATCCTTTATTAGTTAACCATGCACAGATCAAATCAAATGAAACAGAAAGCAACTTAGAACATGATGTAGACCAAACAGAAGTGAAAAGGTACATAAATGATATACGGGATGGATTTCAGCCTCTTATCAACTCGAGTGATTTAATTACAATTAAAGAAGTTCCTGAGAAAGAGGGATTATTGTTCAAGCATATCAACTACGTTATATCTCATGAAGTTCAACTTGGAATGAATGGTCATGCTGGAGTGAAAAAAGTTATTAGGAGATATGCCGACTTTGTTTGGTAAGTACTGTTCCTTCTCTTCCTATAAGAAGATAATACTAATATTTTTAGGTTGTTAGAGTTCATGTTAAAGAGGTATCCATTTAGAATAATTCCTGGACTTCCTCCAAAAAAATTTACTGGTATGTGTTTTAAATTAATTTGATCTGACTTTGTATGAGTACTAACAAGAGCAGTAGGATCGTCACTAGATTCTCAATTTTTGCAAAGACGTCGACGTGGCTTACACAGGTTCTTGAATCAATTAATCAAGCATCCGATACTAAGACAGGAGCCTGTCGTTGTTACATTTTTATCAGTACCTACTGATCTATCTACATGGAGGAAGCAAGCAAAAGTTGACTACTCTTTAGAGTTTAAAGGTGAAAAAATCCTGACACAATTTATCAATTCAATTTGGCCGACAGTTGGAAATGAGTTTTTGGAAGATTGGGCTAGAGCGGAAAGGGCTTTACCAAAATTAATTGAGATTTGGACTAAGATTGTTCTTTTGGTAGAGCGTTACGAAAAAAGACAACAGCAAATTGCTTGTGAAAATTCAAAGTTTGTCGAAATGATTAGCGGTTTCAAAACACTAAACTCTAGTATTTATCCTAATAACGAGTCGACCATTCTAGGTAGTAGTAACAAAGATGATTTGGATTCCATAAATGAGTCTATGAATTCGATTTCGGGCTATTTTAACAAATCAAGTCAGGTTTTAGTTGATGAAAGTTATGCTGTCAATATCATGATTTTAGAAAAATTTAAAAATTATTTAGATTATCTTTACTCCTTTCAAGAATTAATTGAGAGGGCGAAGTCACTATCGGCTAATAACATTAATCAATTGCAAAATACAATAAAAGAGAATGAAGTGAAATATAATAAGTTGAATAATGATGATGCAGAAATAAGAGGTAGAGATTTAGCTAAGTTACGTCAAACTATTATTAATGACAAACAGGAAATATTTCAACAGCTAAACAAAGATTGGCTAATTAAAAGTTGTTGCTTTAATGAATTTATTATGTTTCAGGAAACCCAGTACTTGCTTAGCGAGTTGTGGATCGATTGGTTGAAAGGTAGAACAAAATTTCAAGAAAAATATAAGGGATTGTATGAAACTTTGTTCGATTCTGTAATTGATGATATGCCCTTAAACCGATAAGCTCTGTCTATAGAATTTTTTATAAATAAACATCAATTTGTTTCCTCTCGAACTATGTGGGTCCATTTCTCAATCACCGGATGGCTCTTGATTAGTTGAAGATTTTCATCAAAATGCATTTTGTTCAAGATTTTCGATATATTTAGCTCCTTTTTTGCGTCTTCGATCAATCTACCATCACAATTGGCGCTTATCTGTGCTAATATTTTACCCACCTGCATACCTAACTCAGCTCCATACGGATAGCTGTCATCGAAACCTTTCTGTAAGCTTTCTTCTTGTGACTTTGTTAAACCTTCAAGATATCCCCGTTTCTCATTATTCCTCTCCAAATCGGCATTTGGATTTATGTGCAACTCATCATCATCTGCCCATATGTCTTCATTACTGACATTCTCCATATTGAACAACCACAGTTCGTCGCTATAGGCAATGAAGTGAAAGAAGTATGCATCAATGTCGTAAATGTCTCAATGTCTCAATGTCTCAATGTCGTGATGCTTTTTGTGGATTTTCCCATAGTCACATTTAAGATTGAGCTCGATATCAAAGAACAAATAACGGCTAACGTGAAAACTAAGAGATCTATCTCATCGATATCAATAAGGTACTGGTTACCTTTGAACAGCTTACGCATTTTAAGTTCCTACAAACTAATTTCCTTTGTGAAAGGTTCATCGTTATATTTGACCGTCAAAATATTTAAGCCCTAGAATCTTGAAAGCAAGACCGAAAAAGATAAAATGACCGACAACATAGTCACTCAAGTCTCGCCAGACACCAATAATGCCTTTAATCAGAATATATATGATGATTACAATAGCGGTAGTGAAAGTGGTAACGTAGACTACAACTCCAAGATTCATTTGGACTTGAGAGGGGAGCATTTTACAATAACAAGAGACGAACTAATGAGCTTACCAGAGAGCATCTTATTATGTTTATTTCCTAACGGCGTTTTCTTAGATGAAGAGGGTCAAGTCATAACTAATTTGACTGAAAAGGATATTGTGTTCGTCAACTTTGATCCTCAATGTTTTCAATATATAATTAACAAGTTTGGCGAAGCCCAGCATGATTTGCTCGAAATGGGACCTTTATCACCACAAGTTAGCAGCGGCCTTAACAGAAACAGTCAAGAAAATGTACTTCAAAATAAACCCGCTATAATCGTTTTGAGGGAAGATTTAGACTATTATGTTATCCCTCCTGTCGCTGGATTAAATGCTGACAAGATGAGACTCCTCAAGTTGAATGCGGGTGAACAATTATTGAATAACGAGATGATATTTAGTGGCTTGGGATACAATACGCATCTACCTATCTCCATTAAACAAGAGCTTGGCCCCGCCGAACAACATTTATTTGATATGTTGTGCACATCGGGATTTGAGCCAAGAGGAACATGGGGTTGTAGGAATATGGAGCCTTCGAAATGCATCATTCTGTCTTTACTGTTGGTGCGTCTCAAAACACATTCGGATACCCCACCGGATTCGCCTTCGTTGAACCCAGTGCAATCAAATGTATCTACAAGCTCTAGGTCTAGGTCCAGATTTGCAACTCTAGCAAGTAATGCATCTAGGGCGGCCTCCCGATCTTTGTCAAGAACAAGAAAACCTCAGAATGCCAATCAAACTAAACTACTTTTGTTCTGGAGGAAGCCCGCTCGAAAATGTTGGTGGTCCTCTGAGTCTATTTCAATTGACCTACCAAGTGAAGCACTTGAAACTTCAGAGCAGAATGTTAGCGTTAGAGTTCATATCAGGAGAGTATGGACATTAGAGTTATCAGTCATTGGGGTTCAATAATTTCTCAAAGGCAATATTCCATGTTATCTTCTTCTCATGGGTACTCGCAATGAACGTTTTTCTTTATTTTCAAAGTAAAGCGTAGAATATAGTATTTATTTAGTTTAATGTGTGTATGGGATCTCATTAGGTCCCATTTAATTTAAACGCGACTCTCACTGTAGTATTTATCGCGTAAAAATTTAAAAGACAATTATATTTCAAAAGGTTATTTTAAGTAATCAGTATGGCCACTAAGTCATTCCTGAAGAGCAATCTAGATCAGTATGAACATGAAAGGATTGAACATACTCCATGGGTTGAGAAGTATCGTCCAAAAAAGTTAGATGATATTGCGTCACAAGAACATGCTGTCAAGATTTTGAAGAAACAAGTCGGGACTTCAAATTTACCTCATATGTTATTCTATGGACCTCCAGGTACGGGTAAAACGTCGACTATTTTAGCATTAGCAAAGCAATTATATGGTCCTAACTTATATAAGTCAAGAGTACTAGAGTTAAATGCTTCGGACGAGAGAGGTATATCAATTGTGAGACAAAAAATAAAGAACTTTGCTAGATTGACAGTTTCAAACGCTAGTAAGGAGGATTTGGATAATTATCCCTGTCCACCTTATAAGATAATTATTTTAGATGAAGCGGATTCGATGACAACTGATGCGCAGTCGGCCCTTAGACGAACTATGGAAACTTATTCAGGTGTCACTAGGTTTTGTTTAATATGCAACTATATAACAAGAATCATTGATCCAGTGGCTTCTAGATGCTCGAAATTTCGGTTTAAGCCTTTGAACAACGAAAATGCTTTAAGCAGATTAAAGCATATAGTAAATGAAGAAAATATTCGGTTGAGAAGTGATCAAAACGTTTTGGAAGAAGTTTTAATAATCTCTAACGGAGACCTAAGAAAAGCTATAACGTTTTTGCAAAGTGCAACAAAGCTACATAATTCTCTCAATACTTCGCATGACGACATAAATGAACAATCAAATGATAAGGGTGTGTCTATCGAGTCTATTCATGACATAGCCGGTGTCGTTTCTCCGCATGTGCTTGATCATCTAGTTCTGTCGATAGAATCAAAAAATCGTCTAGATACTGTGGCCGAGGTTAATGAGACTGTATTACAGGGTTGGAGTGCTCAGCAAATATTGAGTCAATTGCATGATCGATTTATTTTAAATGACAATCTCAATTCTGAAACGAAGAATAAAATAGCTAAGATTCTATTTGATCTGGATAGAAAATTAACTAATGGGACAGATGAACAAATTCAACTACTCAATTTTTGTTTGCAGGTATCTAATGTCCATGACTGAAAATAAAAATTAGTGATCATCTCATTTATGTAGAAGTATTTTACTATATACATTTTAAAGACTATCAACGATATAACCAATCGATAATAACTAAGATCATTTCACCTATTGTTTACTTCCATCAAAAAAAAATTATTTTTCTTGTTGCGATTGTTGTAAATGTGGAGGGGGCATTCCAGGAGGGAAGCCATAAAATTGTCCTTGTGGAAATACACCACTTGGCACCACGTTTGGAGCTAAATTAGCCCGACCATTTGCTGCAACATTTGGTGGCACACCGGAATTTCTATTATGAGGTCCGTTAGGGGGCAACCCGCCGTTCTGTATCACTCGTTGAGGGCTACCTTGAGCGGATATATCTGCGAAGTGGGGTGGTGGTGGTATCATATTTGGAGGAATAAATCCAGGTGGATAGGTGCCAGGTGGAGGAAGAATTTGACCATTCATATGAGGATTGTATTGCATATGTGGTGGAAGAGGTGGTCCTGGCATATTGGAATTACGCAACTGGTTCATCCAAGGAGGAATTCCATGACCAGGCATTTGAGACTGAAGCTTTTGCAGACTCATAGAGGGCTCATGCCTTTCAAAATGTTGAACATGAGGATTTTGAGATTGTGAGGCAGCGTGTGCCTGTGTATTTGTTTGCTGAAAAGGAGACTGAGGTGCATTCAGCGCAGTCGAGATATTTTTGGTTACGCCCATTGGAGACTTCAGACTAACAGCTTCAGTATTCGGTTCTTTGGGGTCCTTCTTGTTTAACAATGACATGAAAAAACTATCATTAGTTGCAGAATTCTTCACACGAGGTTCAATAACAGAAGGGGAATCCATTTGCTGCAAAGATTCTTCTTGATGAACAGAATCATTTGAGAGTCTATTTTGCATATTCTGGTTTTGAGAAGCTGTCGATAAATGTGGACTAGTGACCTTTGAAGGACCGCTCGACTGAAAAAATTTAGAAAGTTCATTCGCCGACTGTTCATGCTGAGAAGGAATTTTCGGACCACGAGTCGCATTATTATGTGGTATTTCAGATGTCGTTACGCTGAAAAATGATGAAAACCGAGAACTCTTTCCTGGAGTTTCGACAGGCGTTGGTTGACCACTACTCGTGTTACTTTTTGAATTTTTCTCTGATGCCTTGGGCTTCACAAATGAAAAGAAGCTATCAACCTCGTTACCACCCATCTCAGAAAGGGAATCATGTGTATAGATATCGTTAGTCAAAGACTCTGCGTCAATATTTTGGCCTTTCTTGCGTCTTTCCTCCTTTTTCATTAGGGACTTCCATTTTTCAAAATCCTCGATTGTTTGTCCCATATCCATTTGCATCTCATCATTCAAATTACTTGAGTCCCACTCTGGAACTCCTTCATCGCCTGATTCACCTAATAATTGCGAGATTTTATCTTCAGATAACGAATCCAAGTCGTTTGCTTTATTAAACCCAATCGGCTTCCGTTCCCAGTTTTCACTTATATGCTTCTTACCATGATTACCTTTCTTATGTTTGAATTCTTTTGTATTATTATACGAAAGTTGTGGTTTTGTTTTAGACCGCCAAAAACCCTTATCAGGTAATGCATCCGTAATCTGAGTGTTTATATTACTAGGTGAATTACGTAATGCCATTAAGTCTTCAATTGTATACACGTATCTCTTTCTGGAGTTTGATGGATTGGAAAGTTCTGCAGCCTCGAGCGAGTCATCAGAAGAAGTTTCTGTAGCGGCATTTGCAACTGCTGAGTTCAACAATTGAGTCAACGTGTTCGTAGCTGTATCATTCAAATGCAGATCTTTATCTTTCCCTATCATTTCGGAGGACATAGCAATTCAAATATTATATGATCAATACAAATAATATGCGGTTCGACGATTTTGCTGCCGGAGTATTACCTTACGAATACTAGAACACCTTAGTTATGAAAGAAAAAAAATTGGCCTATTCAATCGAAAGACTAAAAAACTAACGTCGAATTACTGAATTGATAGAATATCTCCTATCTCCTGTTAACTTAAACCTTAAAACCTATCTTAATTAAACTTATTATCAAATGAGTTATAGAAATGGCAATTACTTTATTTTGTCTAATGAAAAGTCAAAAGTAACCGTTAAATAAATTTACCCGCACACAGAGAATCGACCGCTCGATATATACGACATGTGTTGATTTCGGTATGTTGAATTGAATAATATGAAACTCTATAAATGATTGGACCAGCAAAAAGAAATGAATTTTAGTTGAAAAGAGGAAACTTACTAGTTCAGGTCGATAAATATGGGTTATTAAGTCTCATTATTTCCCGACACATGATGAACCAGTCAACTTCTCGTAGAAGAGGGCCATCAAAAGCTCCTAAAAGTTTTTGATTTTCTTCCCACTTGAATAGTTCGTACATAAATCTTAAGTTTGGTTGTATTATGATACTGAGCCGTCTCACTCTAACATACAAGTAAGCTCTAGCCAAAGAAATTTTTAATCTTCTCATAACTTCTGCAATCACAACAGTAGCAGATCTTGAGACACCAACACGACAATGAACTAATATTTTAGTGTTGCCGTTGGACTTTTTGTAAAACTCGTCGATGTAGCGTAGTATTGAAGGTAATGCCATAGAGAGTTCATCTATCCCATCATCCTGCAAATTATTTATTTTCACCACAGTTCGGACAGAGCATCTTTGGCTCGCTAGATCATTTTTTGGAATAATTGTAAGTATTTCAATATTGCCGTTATCAATGGTTTCCACTTGGACTATGTAGTTAGCTTTAAATTTATAACCATTTATCCAATCTAGTCTTTCCCCAACTGAAATGATTTCCTTAATTTCCAATTTAGTTAATAAGGACAAACTATTAGCATGTTTTAGTGACCCTAAATATAAGTACTTCAACATTCGGGACGGCAAAGTACCCTCAACCTCATGGACCCATGCATCTTTAATCTCTGGGCCCAAGCTTTCGTCAATATCGCTTGCATCAGAACTATCAGAATCACAATTAAGATAGCCTGTTGTTAAGCTATTACTGACCGATCGAGGTCTTAGAACAGAGACGGGACTAAGAAGCAAATCATTGATTTCATTATTAGAAAGTTGTTCTAATTCAGACCAATTAATGTTTGCAGCTAGTGCTAGTGGAGAACACTTCCTTAATATAAGCTCCAATTTCTTTAAAATTACGACATCAGTGTTGAACATGTAAAAAGGTCTTCCGTATTCAAGATGAAGCTTCAAAATTGCTTCATCTAATGCGATATTGCTACAGTACATGATGTAGCAAAGAACCAATAAAGACAGCTCGGTATATCCATCAGAACAATAGATCAAAGCACTGAGAGGGTGCTCTTTAGTCGTCGCCTTCTTCGAATACGCATAAATTAACTTGCACGTATTAACAATAGACATTAGATTTTCTTTCTTGCAGTCCCCTAAGCCTATGGAACCAGTTGGAGGAAATTCCAATGTCGTATACTCTAAAAGTGAGTTCATAGAATTTCCTCCATCAACTTTCCTTAACAATGTGAGCAAATCTGATAACTGCGGGAAGTCAGCTTCGTTATGACAATATACGAATAGCCTCCAATTTGCCGATGGAGGCGGAAGATAACTCATGATATCATTTGAAACATCCTCTTCTTGAACAACTATTGAATTATTCGAGTCGCAGTATAAGTCACCTTTTTTTAGTCCGTCATAATGGAAGTCAGTTTCCGAGGGAGATAACATCGTTACTTGATAATTCCAAATATTGCCTACCCAAACATTGCAATCCAATTCTGTTGCTGTTGACATCTTAGATGTTTCAATCTTCTCTTTAATTTGATAATCAGTATCCCAAATCGACATATTTTTAGAATCAAATGATCCAAGTGATAACTGAGTCCTTCTGGCATCTTTTGATACATATTCTGACCTTGCAGTGAAATAAGTATCTTCAATATCATCTACATCCTTCAAGACAAATACATTATATGCACACTTTTGATTATCCAGTCGTGCTTCGTTTCTTTGGGCTATCCAGATCAAGCGAGAAACGCTAGAGTCACCTTCCCCGTATATTATAAAGTCAGATAAAGTTGCAATTTTAGCAACTTGAATGTGGAAATTCCTTAAAGAAATTCCATGATCAGGATCCAAATTGAGAAACATAGGTAAGCACCTAACTTTGTTGCAATCTTTTACCAATAAGTCTATTAATTCATCATCGGCGTCTTCGAATATTGATATGACGATTTCTTCAACCATATCTCTTAATTCTGAATTTGATATATCGATAGGGCTTAAGACTTCAGATATATCTATAGTGTTCTTTAAAAGCTTCGCTGACTCAGATGTACGAATGCACATCAAAAACCTAGCATTCTTCGGTTTCGAGTCGAATTTCAGGAGTGCTGAGTAGGGCTTATGTTGTTGTTGCTCTTGCTGATGCTGTTGAAAGATGAAAAATCTTCTTTGAGCGTGGTTTCTTTTATTCAATCCATGTAACCAAGGAAAAATCACAGATGTCTCAGGTAGCGGATTATTAAAATACCATTTGAAGACCTCGTTGATTTGTCTCGACGTGATTGATTTGATCTCAGCTTCAATTTTAGCGTTTGCCAAATTTTCCTTCCCAAGCTCCCTGAAAAATGAAGAAGATGGCTCCAAAGGACAAGTCGTGCTTTGCTGCTGCTTTGCATCTATATTTAGCTTTGTTGTTTTAAATCCAATACTATCACACACCTCGCATGTTTCATTCACAAACGACTGGCACTCACCTTTATCCTTGGGATTCATATTATGAAACCTAGCTCTAAATCTATCCCTCTCAAAAAGAATATCATTGGAATGAGACGGAGATCTCTTTGAGGGCCTTACTAGTTGAGGAACAACTTCGCCAAGCTTCAATTTCTCAGAACCCAAGGAGTTTCCTAACTCACTTCCCACGCTCGAGGATTTTGAATGCATCCCAATGCCAATAGACGTTACAAGTGAAGGAGGTTGTTTAGACTCATGGGTTGCTGGAAGGGGAATTGTAGCACCACCTGTAGGGCTCATTGATGATTTTCTGTAGGCCTTAAATTATATCAGTCCAAAGAAACAGGGTTCGTGTATAAAATATCTCTACCTGCCCTTCAAAATCACCTATTACTTTAATGAAATTTGTGAATTATTTAGTCTTTAGCTTCGTGTTTAATATTTAAATTTCTCTTATCTTGAAATTAGATAAGTCACCATCCTTAGGGAACTCGATAAAAAATTTAGGAAAAGATAACATCCTGTATATACTCTTTCATAAGGGTCGTGTTTTTTTCCGGCAAACACAGACTAACTCATCAACGAGACGAGAAGAATAGAACGCAACTCTGTATCGACCTAGAAGGACGTATAGCTTAACCTTGGCCAGTTTATTAAAGTGGGCTTTGATTATTCAAGCCGTTTTTTCACTAGAATTTCTAAGGACAAAGGGAATCGACTATATAATAAGAGCCTAAGTATAATTATTTCCAGTAGGTTCATTCTTTAAGTGTTGAGATATGAGTGTCACATCAGATCAAATCATAGGTCAGCTTAATCAGGCCAAGGAACTTGCTTTTAGTAGCAAGGAAATGTTTCCTCAGGTCTTACGACAGATCTTCAATTTTTCCAAGAATGATGACTTGTTAATTCAGAGATGGTGTGCTAAATTTTTAAGGCAATCATTTACAGCCGGCGAGGATAAATTGGACACCAATGTCAAAACAGAATTAGCTATGGATTCACTTGACAGCTTAATAGCTCTCAGTGGAGTACCGGATTTACTTGTATTCAAAGATTTTGTTGATGCAGCTATCATTGTATTTAAGCTTGTATTTCACTTCATTGCTTCTAACGATGGAGCAAATCAGGTATGGTTCAAGCTAAATGAATTAAAAAACAATATTATAAACAAATTCTCTACCACCTTCCCTTTGAACCCTTCCGACAATGAGGAACATGACTTGTTAAGAAGTATTAGAGCCAAATTGGAGATCTTGAAGTTTATCATTGTTGTTATTGACTTTCAATCAAGATCTAACAATAATATTCAGTCTTTTTCGTTGGCGCAGGTAAACCCTAATCACACATTAATAAAATACAATGTTATGGAAGCAGAATCTGCAGGTTTAGTGGATTTGTTACTAGCAAACTTAAACCAAGATATATTAGTTCCTCAAATACTTTCTGCAACATTAAATCATCTCATTGTTGTAGCAAAAAAAAAGCCTCAATTTATGAGCAAAATCACAAGCACAATCGAAAGATTTGACACGAATTCAAAACTTCAATCGAATTATCAATCTATTGAACAATTCAAATTGGCGAAAAAATATATTGATAGGGTTCTAAAGAATTTTATAAATCATATTTTGAGAAATAATTTAGTTCCACCTAATAACCAACCAACCTTAAATAAGAAATTAAGTGCTTTGATAGATAGAGGTAATGACATTAGAAAAAAGAATATTTTTGCTCTTGAAGATTCAAGTATTAGAAAAAGGAAATTTGAAGGGTTCATCAATCCTTCCAAAAAATTAAAAACAATTGACTACAAGAGCTTGTATTGTTTGACTGATAGCACTGATGAACTAAATCAATTTGATTTAAGCTCACTCCCACAAAACATCCTTGTATCGATGACAATTGCGGCATTGAATAAAGTTAAACCTAATAGATTAGCAAAAGGTCTTGAAATTATAAGCGAAAGATATCTAGATGCCCTTCGCAATTCTGCTTCCGTTGAACCGGAAATCAAGAAAGAAGCTGAAGATGAAGATGATGATCTTGAAGAAAGCTATGAGCCCAAAACAATATACACCTTACCCCCGCCTAAAAATCTATCCTTCCAGGAAAAAAAAAAACATGTCAGCTTAATTATCAAGAACTTTTTTAAATTAGCTGAGAAAAAGTCAACGATACCAGAAGAAAAAGATTCTGCTATAGGGAATAGTGAATTGACAAAAGTTGCAATCAAGTCTTGGAAGAAAGACAGTTGGTTCATTGTACTCACACGACTTGCGACAAGAGGCATGAGAACAGTCAATGACGAGCAGTCTCCAGATTATAGAAATAATCTTGAAATGAGCGATATGATTAGAAATGCAATTTTTGACTACTTTTTGGAAGATATTCACAACCGGGTTGATCTTATAATAGAGTGGTTAAATGAAGAATGGTATAGTGAAAAAGTATTTAACGAGGAACTCCTTGTTGAATCGCTCACAGAGAAGTATTCTGCAGGAGCAGATATTCAAAATGTTGCATCAAAAGTGGAAGAGGAAGTTTCGAACTCGATTATTCCTACTCCTGTTTACAACAAATGGAGTTCGAAAGTCTTGGACGCAATGATTCCCTTTTTAGAACCTACAGACAGAAAGATCTTTATTAGACTCCTTTCCGATTTGCCGTCCTTGAATGAAGAATTGGTCGGAAAGATTAAGTCACTTTGTTACGATCCTGCCAGGAACAAAATAGGTTTCTTGTCTCTTCAATATTTAATCATGTATAGGCCGCCTGTTAAGCAGGCTTGCATCAATGTTCTTGAGAATTTGGCTGCAAGTGACCAGGAAGATCTCAAAGAAGAAGCTGGAAAGCTATTGAAGAAGTATATAGCCTGAGAAGGATATTTCAAGAATAACTATGCAGGTTAACGGGCTTTTAGAAGGAGCCTTTTATCTGCATGGGAGTCGAGACATCACACAAAAAATTAAACGGTACGTATTTTTTTTAGACGACATTCATAGCCTAGTAGCCGATTTTAAAAATAGAAGTATTTACCTTTAATTTGGAGCCTATGGCCGATGGCGCGTTACTAGTATTGAGTGAGAGCTCCCTAGGATAAGTTGATGAGCTCTCTTGATGGCTCCCATACATTGCTGGGGCATATTTCATCGTTTAATAATAAGTACATATTCTTTTCTTAGCCCCTATTTGATCCCTACAACCAATTTTAAATCTTCTTTTGTATCAGATTTGTATCAGATTTGTATCAGAGAGACGCGAATTAAAAAATATATTATTTACTATATAATTACTTCAAGATCGTATATTTTGAACCTAGACGATAGAACTTAGAAGAGTCTGTGAAAACGAGAGCAGCCTATCTTACAACGTTAGGCTTTCCATTCTAACTCACATAGTGATTTCAATCCTTGAAATCAATCAGTGAGAGTAGTATGCGAACTAGAAGTCTAGATTCGCTTTAACACAGTTCCGTTGCCCTCTTGAAACAAATAAGCCAAAGCTTAAGGTTCCCTTACCGAAGTGTTTTATAGGTATACTAGTTCTGCCAACGTGAATTATTTGCAGAGTAGGAAACCATAATCAAAAAGACTTGAGACATCGGAATTGTACTAAAGGTGTTGAGGCAAGATGGTTACTCAAGACTCTCAAAAGCATACCTATTTCAATGCAGACAAAGAAATTAACAAGTATGGCTTAGACCACTCAACTTTTGACTTGGTAGATGTGGAGAGGTTCAGAACTACTAGAGGATGGACGGTGATACAGTGTTTGGGGACTTGGTTTTTAATGATTCTATCATTAGTTTTGCTTGGTTCTGACATATATACCTGTGTTAATATTCTAGCATTTGATAGATGGTCTAGCACTGACTATAAACCATATGCATATTCTGTCGCAAAATGGATATTCACAGGATGTATTTTATTTCAGTTCTTGCTACTTATCTACCATTGGATCTGGGCAATACATACATATAAGACAAAAAATATTGCCCTTGCCTACGTCAATTCAATTGCAAGACTACTCTATATTATCAAGTCTTACAATTATTTCTGTTTGTTCAATGCAATTGAGCAAGACGATTTTTTTGATTGGGCATCCTTCTTATCATATGGGGAGATGGACAATGCTCTTCAAATACTAGTTGCTGATACACCAAGACAAGTTATTAACATTTTAACGTTGAGATATTATGCTACCGATGGAGACAATTCGAATGACATTATTTCGAATATAAGAAATATAGCTGTTACCAATTTGGCTTTATCCATTATATTATCGTTCATGTGCTTGTCTGTCGTTATTTGGTGTATTTTTTTTTTAAAATTCGTCTTTGGGATGATATTATATGTCCCGGTTCTAGTTGGTATCAGAAAGAAAAATTTCAAGTCCCTCAAAAAATACTGCTGCAGTATTGTTAACGATAACGTGAGGATATTGGTTTACAAGAATCACAAACCAAAGGGTGAACTATTGGAGAAGGGCATTGTTGAATATAAAGACATAGCTGAGAATCCTTTACTTAACCAGTCAACAGCAACTTTTGGTTCTGAATTTGAATATCAACAGATTTCTAAGAATATCGGACGGCCATCCGCTATTCATACAAGCAATAGCTTTCATGGAAATAATAAGCAAATACAAGGGTTCCCCACGACGCTTGAACAAGTATATGATTCTTTGCCGTTGGAAAATTTAGATAATTCACGTTATGCTCAAGGAAATGATAAAGTCAATCATTCTACTGCGTCTCTTGCAGATCCATTTAGCGACGCTCACAAGTTTTCATCAACTGATAACTTGATATTCACAAGGTCAAGGTCTAACGACTCGTCTCTGTCTGCTAATAGTGCAACAAGCAACAGATACTCTCCTCCAATATTGCCACCTCTGAAAAATCCATTTGCTGATGTAGATAAGACTATTTCTAAGCATCATAATAATTCGCAGCTGAGCCTTCAAAAGGGAAGAAGAAGACCACCAGATTTTAATAACATAGTGAGCTCAAAAAATTATTGGCATACCGTCGATGACGCTGGTTCGTCGAATCCAGTCAACCCTTTTCTGGATCAATACAAAAAAGCTAATGATACTGAATATGTGGCGTATAAAAATGAAAGCGATATAGGCAAATTTGAGGGCAAGCGCTTGAATAATCAGCTGCTGTATGCTTCTTCTGGAAATGAAGAGGTTGACATGACCCTTTCCTCGGAGTTTCCTGAAAGAAGCGCTCTGCTTTTGCCTGCTGAAGAGCTTCCCTATCCAGTACGAGGTGTATCCATGTATGAAAATGATTTTAAATGAGAATAGAATATAGTAAATATTATATAATACACAATAGCATTTCAAACAATCTCCAAGAGTGTAGGATTAAAATATTTAAACTATTCTATATACATGATGATTAGCTTTATTCATTGACTGGAGTCCTTGCTTTCATACTCTTTTCTTAACTTTGATAACTCTTCATCGGAAATTGGGGGAATTGGAATATCCTCAAACTCATCCTTATTCAATACCATCCACGTATATGCATAAACCCCTAAGGGGACAGAGCCTACCAATACCAAGCCCAACATATTTCTCCAAAAAAACGGCGCTCTAACTCTATACAAAGCTGGCGTCATTTCAAAAGTTTTAGGATCGCGATAGCGATTATGCCCCTTTCTTCAAAAACCATCGTTAGTAACTGAAGAGAGATTAATAATACTTTTTGTAAGTACTTACGGTTGACCTAAAAGACCCATCCTTTCAAATTTTTATCTTTGGTCTTGAAGTTGTTTTATTTATCTTTGTCGAATATCATTCAACAAATTAAGTTAGAAAAGTGTAAGTACTTGTGATATATGCAGAACGATGGTATAGGACTGTATATGCTTAATTTTTATTATTATACATGAAGTAATATCTAAAAATGATTTAATCTCCACAAGGTTACTTTTCCTGCTTCATTTCCGATAGCGAGAATTTCATTGTTTGGTGAAAAATCAACAGCAGTAACTCTACCTAATGGAGTTCCACTAGTTGGCCAGTTTGCATAAACAGATCCAGTCGGTAAATGAACTAATCTCAAAGCATCTCTCTTCGCTCTCGAAGAAATACACAAAATTTGACCATCTGGAGAAAAAGATAAATTTGAAACAGATGTTGTCAAATTCTCTATTACTTTAAAGGGCTTTGGGTTTCCATTAGAGAATGTATTACGATCGTACAAATTCACGAAACCATTGTTAGTGCCTATGGCTAGCCAACGATCTCTTTGTCCTCCCAATTTCATTTTCGTAACTCCAACGCTTCCATCGTCTTGCCATCTTCTGATGATTTTGCTTTGCATATTCTTACTATTAAAAGTGCTTGCTAAATTGTATTCCCAAACATCACCTGCAGAGTTTATCACTATCAAGAAGGACTCATCCTTTGAGAACTCAAAATCTACAATAGTTCCTTCTATTTTAAATCCGTTCACCCACTGGCCCGTAAGACCACTAAGGATGTTACACCATCCACTACTTCCTGTAAGTCCAATAAAGGTCCCCTTTGGAGAAATTTTGAAATATTCAAAAGATTTTTGAAATTTTTCATGGCCGTAGAGTCTCGAAATTTTTTCGACTTGACCACTATTCAAATCCCACTTGTTCATGTACCGTCTTCTTCCAGCTGCAAATATTACATTCTGGTTATCCTCAGTGCCTATACTTGAAAATTGACAAGTCGAAATCGGTGAATTTCGGAAATGAAGACTTGTGACCATGCTATTAACCTTTCCATCAATATGAAAAACCCTCACTGTTCTGTCAAAACCGCCAGTAATTAATAAAGGATGACTACGATGGAAGGACATTGACTGAATTGCAGCTTTTGAATTATTTTGATGACTGACATCTTTAAGCCTGGAAATTGATATTTTGTTGGGAGAAATTAATTTTAATTGCTTGTTAATAATGAACTTTTGAGTACTTGACAAGATTCTTAGCACGGCATTCGAGTCGTTCTCTCCGGGTCTATGTCTATTCTCGTCATTTTCATCGCCATCGTAATACTCATCAGACAGATGTATTTCCGGATCCATCTCTAACTTTTCTACCCATTCAGGTTTTGGATATATCTTCTCGAACTGTGATCTCAATCTCCTAAGAAATGATTTACCATTTATAGATGTCTCTTCCTCATAGCTTCTGAGTTTTTTAACCTTTGAAGAGCCCATTAATGATATCTGGATTCTTTCATCATCGCTATCTTCCCAAACTGCGTCGGATTCAGAATCGTCTCCATCTTCGTCAGAGCTTCCTTCTTTTCTGTCAACTTCCATGTTATCATCTTCATTAACTTTATCTACACCGCTTTCATCAATAAAAAACATTTCATTGTTCAGTAAAGCCCCTTCATTGTCGTTTTCTTCAATATCACTATTCACATCGTAAAAATTGTCACCAGTGTCATCCTCATCATCAGAAGAGTATTCAAATAAATTATCCAACTTTTTCAAATTCGTCTGGAATCCTTCAATATCCCCAAATACAAGCTTTTCAAGTTCAAGCTCCTCATCATCTTTATGGGGAAGGCCCATGTCTGCTATAGTTTCAGTCATGGTGTTCTATAATCCTTCACTTTAATGGCTCATCTCAATTACTGGAAAAAAAAAATTTAAAATAAAAAAAGTTCTCAATTTGTTTCAACTTGATGAGATGAGAACAATCGTGCATGAGAATGAGATAGTTCTACGTTATCCTACAAAAGGCTATCGAAAGATAATAGCTATGGAATTACAATCAATGATTTTATTATGCAGATTACAGAGATAGCCACTGAAGCTTCTCTGCGTTATTTAATTTTAAAGTTATTTGCCCTTTAATTTAGTGACAAAGTTTATGAAATACTTTTTGAAAGCTTTTTGATCTAATTCTACTAAATTTGTTCCAAATTCGCTCATAAGGCTCTGTGAAAGACCCATTGTAGTTAAGTAATTTGACAAATAGTTTAAATATTCGTCTCCCTTTTTCTGTTGATACGTCTTCAACAATAACGAAATTTCTTGACCAATTAGTCTGTACTGAGCATCCTTTAAGTCAAATTCAGCTCTCTGAAATGGTAATTCAAATGATAGTTGAATAACCCTCTCCATCAAAAAAGCATCGATACCTTCAACTGCAGGTAAATTTTCGCTGAATTTATCTTCAGGATCCTGAATTTTACCCCCATTTCCGAAGACGTTTACTATATTTATTAATTGAGATATTGCTAATTTAGAAACAGATGTTTCAGACAAATCATAAGCATATTCAAAAAGACTCTTTATTATTTCAGGGAAGATTTTTTTATTAGTCTCAGTAACTAAAAGACTGGATGAATGATTGAAAATAATGACACTAATAAATGCCATGAATGATTTTTTCAAGGAATATTTGTCTCTGACTAAGTCAGGGATCAATTGTTCATCTTCGCTATGCTTGTTCAACATTTCAAATATTTTTTGAACCAATGGACTTAAGAGACTATTCAATAGTTGATATATATTCTCATCAGATCTAAACTGGTGTACGATTTGTCCTAAAAATCCAAGGAAGTCAGACAATTCATTAATCTTTAAATTGTTTGCAGCCAATATCAAAGATACTAACTTACTCAAATGATTGTTAATTTGGTTTTTTAAGATTGGAATGAACCTTGAATAAGAGAATCTAGCTGCCTCTCGAATACTCTCAAACTTAGAAAAGTTATCTAAAGTGATAAGAACAACCTGTGCAGCGTTATTAATTTTTTCAACTATTTCAGAAGAATATTTGTTTCCTAGATCGTGATCATAACCCCTAGCAAAGGTTCCAATAGCCATCAATGTGTGATGGGCTTGTAACGCAATCAACAGTTGATTATTATTGGCTCCCAAATTCTCTATACAACTTTCCAAATCACTGAATAGCGGTTGAAATATTAAGTCAACTAATTTCAGCTTGTTCGATATATCAATCGAAAGCAATGATATCAAGAGCCCGATAGATTCGAATAAATAAAGTTGACCGTTAAAATTTCCATTCTCCACGAGATCATTATCTTCATCTCTTACTGGCAATTCCGCTTTTATTATCAATAGAGGTTGAAACTTTAATAATAAACTTTCAATCATCGTTTCATCATTTAATACTGGTCTTGAAAGTCTCACAAACCTGAAAAAAAGATACCAGCTACGTGATCTCACTCTTTCCAATTCATTAAATAATCCCAAAGGACTGGTGAAGACTTCTAAAATCCTAACAATGATTTGGGGGTCAGATATGTTCAAAAAATTGAAGTGTTTAACAATAATTTCAAAAAAACTCAATTGAACTTTGGGATGCTTGACATTTAAGATAAAGTTAGAATTTATTAGCTTCGTAATGAAATTTTGAAGAAGAAAGTATGGTTTAGAACGATTAATTTCTCCCTTGGGTAAATTAATTAGATTGTTTCTCAAACTCTCGCTGAAATTATTGAGCTCATATAACCCAAGTTCGATCTTCCTCCAGTCAACATTACTAGAGTTATCCTCGTCAAATTTAAAAATAGATTCATTAATCACAATAGGAATTGCTTCTAAGTATAAGTTAGGCTTTAATATCGCGATCGTATCTTGAAATGTTTTTAATTTAGACCTAATTCCACTGAATTGCTCATCTATATCATCATCCAATCCGTCATCATCATCGTCATATTTGATTTTTAATATGATTTTGTTTAAGAGAGAGGACAAAAGTTCAAGAGAATTTAATGCCTCGTACTTCTTGCAGAACAACAAATAATTTTGAATAAATGGAAATGCTTGTTGAGAGACGTCATCGTATTCATGACTGAGACAAGTAAATACTAACTGCCAAACTTTAAAGAGCTGCTGGTTAACTTCTCCAAGCAATTCGGGTTCGTTTTCTAAAATAATTAATAATTCTGTTCCAATCTGATTAATTAATATGGACACATTCTCTAAGAATTCTAAATCCGGGTCGTTGAAATCAACTGATGACTCTATAACAGTAGCTAAATCTAACATGGTGATTAGCTCAAGTTTGTTGATTGGCTTCATTTTTTTGCTGATAATTTCAGCTAATGTCAAGCATGTTTCGTTGCGTTGTTCTTTTCTATTCAAATATTGAAATATTAAGCCAATAAATTGATTTGAAACGAATAAACTGATATCCATCCAAGTAATATATTGACCAACAATTTTTAAAGTTCCATTTAATATTTCAGGAGAATTCGCAGGATTCATTAAAATTTTTGACCAGCTGTCAACTAATGCCTCCATATCACAAGACCTTATTTGATCTTTTAAAACATTTTGCTTCTCTTGGGCTTCCTTGGATCTTGGTATAAACTTATCACCGACTTCCGAATGTATTGCTATCAAAATCCTAGCATAGTAATCTAATGCAAGTTGATTATTATCCGAGATAAGGTTAAACAAGTCCTTAAAATAATTTGGATAAATGCTAATATATACTGAGCAAAAGGTTCTTGCTAACAATGTTGCTAGCTTATTCTTCAAATATGCTGGATCGCTTATATTCTTCGACTTAAAATCGGAAAGAACCTTAAATAAACTCGAATTAAGATTGAAAAGTTGTTCTTCATTGAGCCTCTCGATATTTTCATCTATCACTTGGTAGATGAAAAATTTCAAACTCTCGTTCATGATATTTGAATCGATAGAGCTCTTGACTAATATGTCCATACATGTCTTGAAACCTTCCTCACTTGACTTGATTTGATCTATAAAATGATATGCTTGACTCTTTAAACTCAAATCTGCCGTTCCGCTAAGCGCAATCTCCACAGCTTGGGTAATTTGTTCTTCCATTTAATTACAGAAAATGTGTTTCTTTTCGCTTTTTCTCGGAGGGAAGTTTAAAACGTGTGGTTTTATTCTATTTAGTGTTCACCTTAGTTTATGATAGTAAAATTGTCAAGAATTTAAAAGTATGATCCAGATGAAGAGATGTAATCTTGTCACGAAGATAGAAAGGGAACAGGTTTATTCAATAGCAAGTCTTCACTCAATGCTTCAATAGTCTTGTTACTATTATCTCGCTTGGAATGTCTCTATGCCTTTTTAGCTGTCACTATTTAAGACTAGATGTGAGTCACTTGAGTTTAATCGTTGCCGCCGATCTACTGATTACTCTGTGAAGAAAAAAAATTTGTTATTTTTTTATCCCTCGCACGATCGTAAACAGTCGTCATACTTTCAGACTGAGAAGATGTCTTACAATTAAATGAAGAGGTGTGAGCCTACACCCCTCAACTCCCCAGGAGCATTCAATGTTTTAAAAGTTGTGCAAATTTGAAGAATATTATACGTCTAACTAAATGTATACTACTCTAATATCGCATATTTTTGCAAATGAGAAGGAATAGCGTCGAACAACCCCTTAGATTGTAACCATTTCTTTGAAAAGATTCTATCACTATATTTATGGGCTGAATCGGCTAAAATTGTTACAACGTTGGATTTTTCTGGTAAAGTTTTCGCAACTTCGACGGCAGCAACGACATTAAGGGCACTAGTTCCTCCTAAATAAAGACCTTCTTCGTCAAGTAACCGATACAACATTGCTATAGAATCCCCATCGGGTACCCTAATCGCATCATCAATCAAATCTAAATCTGGTCTGAGATTATCCGTAATTCTACCCTGTCCAATGCCTTCAGTAAAGGACAGTCCTCCCCTTTCGATATTCTGGCCCTTTGATTTGATATAAGAATATATGATTGATCCTGGGGGATCTGCTAGTATTGATTTTGTCTTTCCATTAGATATATCTTTGAGATATCTGGTCACACCAGCAAATGTCCCTCCTGTACCTGTCGAACAGGTAAATGCTTCAACCTCACCATTCAACTGAGCCCATATCTCAGGTCCTGTGGAATCAATATGCGCTTTTCGATTCGCAATGTTATCAAACTGATTAGTCCAGACGGCATTTTGAAGTTTTTCGGCATGCCTTTTAGCCTGATGATTATAATTTTGTGGGTTGTCATAAGCAACTGCCGGAACTGGGTGAACTTCCGCTCCCAAAAGCTTCAAAGTGTCAATTTTGGATTGAGATTGAGTATTAGGCATATAAATTATACATTTGTAACCCCTTGATCTACATACATGAGCTAACCCGATTCCTGTGTTACCAGCAGTACCTTCAACAACAGTTCCCCCAGGTGTAATGGATCCATTTTTCTCTGCATCTTTTATGATCCATAATGCTGCTCTATCCTTGATAGATCCACCAGGGTTCATGAACTCAGCCTTTGCGTAGATGTTCCTGCCTATTTCTTTCGACAACTTCGGTAACTTCATTAGAGGGGTGTTACCTATAGCATTTACAATCCCATTCTCCGACACTAAAGGTACGAAAGGAGCGGCAGTAGCAAGACCTTCATTCGCAGTAATTGAGATAAATCTCTTGAAAACAGGTCCACAGATATTCATCACTAAATACTTTTCGTACTCCAAAAACCATTACTATATCATAGAAATCACGTTGATCTAATTTATCTTCCAATGGAAGATGGAGCAAGCGCACGTGATACTTTGAAAAAAAAAGGTCCGATTCGAACAGACGGTACTTGAACATCATATGATTTAACACATGATTTTAGCTTGCATCTTCTCACAGTGTTGAACTCAAATTAGTAAGCGATGACCTCATCTTTGCATCACCAGCTGATGCCGAGCTAGAATTGAAATAGCCCCCCCCCTCCTTCTGCTGGTGTCCGGCTAAAACAATAACATGTATGCTAACTCCTGTAGAGCTCAATATCAAAACCATCGCCAAAGTACCATTGAGGAAAATTTGGTTTTGAGGTCAAAAACCCCTATTGTGGGGGGTAGTGTCCCACTTGAAACCGGTATTTCGGCTCGCTACAACCGTGTGCATATAGCACTGCCGTTACTTGGTCTTAGGGTACTATCTAGATCTTTTTTTTGCTATTTCAGAGGGATCTGCGCTTAGATTGTGGGACAATCTAGTTTCAGATTAACGTTTCATTTAGTAAGTAGATGTACAATAACGTTTGTTCTTTTATGGGTTGAGATTTTTGATGCTTGTCGATTCCAAGAACCCTTGCATATCGACCGCACTAGAACTGAATCAAATACATGACGTGTGTAACCATCCATTTCGTTTGAAATAGGTATTCTTGGAATAAAATACTTACGAAATGAAGGTTCATGTCATGCTTAAAACACATCTTCTTTAAATTACTTCTCGGCCTTATGCCCTCTTATTTAACACTATATTATTATTAAGTCAAGGCGGAATTTAATATCTACTACCGAGGTCTTAAAAAGTTGTTTGGAACGATATTTTTCCAGGATATTCACTTCAAATGGATGAAAGTATCCGAATTCTTTTTCACTACTCTCAGTTGCTCTGCATTGCGAAACAAAGAGTAATGCTAAACCTAGAAGCGTTATACTTAGAGCAAAATTGCCTGTTTTCTTGTAGAAATGTAAACCTCTTTGAGTTTACTATATGCAGATTTAACATTCCGGTCTAATCTGCAGCTGTATTTTTAGGGGCCGTTTAACGTACGTTCAAATGCCGGATTTAATACGACATCCATTGGAATAAGCCAAATGTATTTTGACAGTACTTGAAAAAGATACAGTAGTGTGTTAGACAGCAAGAAAGGCAGCAAATAAAAATCTTTCGATCAGCTATCTATCGTATTCCTGAAATGATTCTAAGCCAAGGATCACTAAGGAAGTAAATCAAACGGTAAGAAAAAAACCAAGAAATGTTTATATACAGTTTCTTCAAGTGACTTACAGATACTATGCCGTTATATGCACTGCACTACGCATAAAGTAGTTGTAAAATGCAAGCACAAAAGGTAAATGAATTAATACAATATAGTGGCGTCGCCTGATTTGGTAGCCTCTGAATGGATGGATAGCGATATCTGTCGCATAGTACCCTTTCACTGCTTCTGAATCAGGGACTCGATCGGAAGCAATTTGATCATGCCCCGATATTGATGCTCACACATTACAAAAATAAAACAAAATGCTGATATGCATCTGACATCTAATTTATATATATTCTAGAGATTTTCAGGGATTTGAGTGACGTAAAAATAATTCGAAGTGAATAAATATAGGGTAACTATGACTCAGGATAGTGGAACAAGAATGCTATACTCAAACAGAGCTATCTATGATGGTTACCAACTTCTGCTGCGGCCGGCTGTAATTCAAGAGCAGAAATTAAAACAAGAACACAGAGAACCACCTCTGGTTCATCTGTTAAGACACACTCAAGCTAGTGGTAGCATCAGTAAAGATAGACAAGATATACAGCAAAAACAAGTACATGGTGGATTACGAGAAGAACAGAAACACTCCGCTCCTACAACTAAACTACCATCATTCAGTGAGCTCTTGACATCTATTCCATTGCCACGAGAGTTTAGATGGTCTTCTGTTGGTCTGGATTACTTTTCCCAACAGCCTACTGATTCAAACTTACAAATACACGCATCAAACTTCCCTGGTAGGAGGGCCAGATCTATACCTACGCCTACAGGTACGGTCTCGACACCACCGTTTACTGGTCCAGTATCTCCATTGCATAGTTTACCTTCTCCATCATCAGCATGGGTACCGTCTCCTGGAACTATAGCGTCTCAGAGTAGTACTTCATCAACCACTCCTAGAAAACTGGTAGAACCGTCGTCTTCTATTGTGTTCGTAAATACTAGTAGCAACCCTGCAGTTGAAAGAAGAACAGCTAAAACAGTGAATCACCAACAGCGCCCCGACGGCAACAGAACTAAACATACCTGCAAAACCTGCTTTAGGTCATTTACAACGTCAGGTCACTTGGCAAGGCACAATAGAATTCATACCGGTGAGAGAGACCATCAATGTCCGTGGCCAACTTGTGAAGCAAGGTTTGCTAGGCATGATAACTGTATGCAACATTATAAGACACATACTAATGGTAAGAGCAAAAGAGTGAGATCAACTTCAAAGGTCATGAAACGCTAATCATTAAAACAATAAAACAGAACATTACAGCAGAACATTACAGCAGAACATTACAGCAGAACATTACAGCAGAACATAGACACGTTAATAGAATGTATATAGAGTATAGTCGGATGCATGGGTAATATTCAGCAATTTAATAGACGAATCTCCTCTTCCAAATTCTCGTCCCCGGTTGTTATGTGCTCTTGTTTAAACTTATTCTTGGTCCTTTGTTGTCGTCAATATGATTTAAGATGTTTGTCCCTATCCCCAGCGATTAATTCATCTTGCACACAGGAAAGCTTAAAAAGTCCCCACTAGCGTCATTGCCTCCCTGTTTCTGCCGAAACGAGGGGCCTACCTCATTCCTAATTGTAAGCCACCGCGCATAAAGACTTCACAATTTCTTCTTCAGCCTTCCTCCGAATAAGGCTAATTTAGGAAATCGCTTCCGTCACATTTCATCAAGTGAATCTTATGTGCCCAAAGTCCTATTTCGGTTATATCCACTATCTAAGTTAGATGGATACAAAAGTCTTGGCTCTCAGAGTTCACCAAACTGGCCCAGGATATATAAGGTAGTTTTTGTGTTAGAATGTTTCCTGCAAGATTCCTATAGAACTATGACTTCCCCATTAGTCAAGCTTTTCTGCTCCATAGATAATCCTGAACGTTCTTTCTGCGCGCGAGATCCACATGCCGAGCAACCTTGATTTCGATTGCCGCCGCGAAGTCGGAGAGAAAGGCTTCTTCTCGGTTGTAGACATAGCCTACGTGTTTTTGCTCTATGAAACGCTAATTCGCATTTGGATGCTCGGAGGTCGAACTCTTTGCCAGCATTGCTCCGCCGCACGGTTTCTTTTCTAGTCTAGGGGCTTCGGGAATTAGTCGAAGGGATCGAGAATATGAAAAGTCTTTCGTCGGTTACACATCTTCCGTTGATTGACGATCTAAAATGCGAACCCCCTTATGTCATGCAAAAAGAATACTAGTTCGAAAAAGAACTCTCACTATTGTGAAAAAATACGAAACGGGAAATCTTGTCTTGGCGGGGGCGACATCTACTCCTGTCATACATAAGTTGGCGGCAATTGTCGTAATCATATCTAATTCGTCTCATTATATAACATAGAATGTTTACAATTGTACTACAAATGTGCGGATCTTATTAGTAGATCATCATACTCCGGTGGGTATCGAATCACATGCTCTGAATGAATTCGTTGAACTCTACCTAACTACGTAGAGGGTACATTTTCGAGTTTTTAAGTCGCGTATAGAGTATGCAGATTACAAAAAAGACGTTAAGTGAGTTGCCAAAATGACGCAGGAATGCCAGAAAACGTCTTATCCTTTATTGTTCGTAATTACAAAAACGGGCTTTTTCCCGGAATTGCGAACGGTAATACATGTAATGCATTTTCATAACTTTAGCATAATCGTAAGGCTTTTGTGTAACGATTCAAGTATTGTCATAGACATTCGTAAAAAAATTAGTCCCATTGCGTTCCTTGTCAAGATTGTAATCCACTCCATTTATTAAAATTTTTCTAAATGGCAATGGCGACATACCATCTGTTAATCGATCGCCTATAACCATGTCTTCAGCATCTCCACGATTGAGATCAGATATGGCGAGAACGATGCCATTCAAGAAATGGCAGATCACGATGCCATAGTTTTTGTTGAAATCTAGAGCTGAGCAAAACCTACAGGTCAGAATTTTATCTCCTGCGTCGAAAAAGAGATCCTGTTCAGCATCAAAATCTCCCTCGTCTGTGACATCCCAGCCAAGGCAACGGAACGGTACCCGCAGTGCATTATCGTGGAAATTCCACTCAACTTTTCTCATTGGAAAAGACAATGCATTAAATGAAGTCAAAAGATCATCATCTACGAGTCGTTGAGACAAATAGCTGCTAAGCGTGAATATCACTTGGTTTGCTGTCATATCTCTGAATGAATGAAGCTTAAAATTGTAATATTTGTGATGAAAGAGAAATTCGTCGATCAACTCTAAATGCTTAACACAATGGTCGCATTTGCATCCATTATAGAGCAATGTGTTCATTTCTTGTTCGTAACAGGCAAAAGACATCATTAGATTCGGTAAGATTAGATTGAAGACCTTTTGAGATAACTTTGAAGACAAGAGTTCTGAATACATTCTTTCTCTCCTTAAGAAATTTCCTTCGAGTCCATCAACAAAGAGGCAATCATTCGGAAGTTTGTGCTTAATAGATAATAACTTCAAAGTACGCGTGCGACAAAGGTCGCTTAGAAAGTCGATAACATTGAAATCAAAAAGCTCATTCAGCTGATGGTCTGAATACACCACACACTGGGTGATAGATAATCTCTTCAAGCACCTTGGATTATGTTCGAGTATCACCTCGAAAAGATCTATTAAACAGTCTTGCTTGCAGTTTCTCTCGTTGCAGCCGATATAAAGTTCCAAGTTCTCTAGGGAATTTATATTAATTGCCTGTAGTATAGAACTTACTTTCTTCAATTCTGTGCCGTGTTCGTAATACAACCTGAATGTGGTCAAGGAATATCTTATGTTCATTCTTAAGAAGCTGTCAATGAATTTCCAGTAGGCTGAATTATTTCCGTTCACCAAGATCGATTTTATATTGTAACCTTGCAATTTCAAATCTGAGTAAAGCTTAACACCTCCATTTTCACGCAAAGGAAGTATTAGATGTGAAGGTTTGCCAACTGATTTTATAATATCGTAAGCTTCATCAACAATTATAGTGTTCGACTTTATATCGTTCAATTCCAGCTTTAAGTATTGACGTAGAGAATAGCTCGATACGAATACCTTGTTTAAATTTCTTCCTGCAAAGAGTTTCAAAAGGTCTCTTATTGAAGATCTGATTTGATGCAACTCTCCAAATATACTGATCTCCTTTACTAAATCCTTCAAAGATGTATTAATTGAAAGAGACTGCATTAGGGCCCTTATTCTTGCATTCATCATCTTGAGCTGGTTTTGCTCACTCGGAGTATTTTTAAGTCCATATATGACTGTCTGAGTTGAATCTAAATAGTCATTGCACCTATTTTTTCTGGATCCAACTAATATGGGCTCTTTCTGAATTGTTATTTTCGAGTAGATTTTGGCTATACTCGATTCGTAAAAGGCATAGTTAGTTAAACTAAGATTAATCGCATCTTGCTGGTTCAAAAATTGAGTAATGTCAAACAACACTGATTTTGGAAGATTTAATAGATCAAGCATTTAAAACAAAGACTGAAATCTTTTATTTACATCAGTTTTAACTCTTGTGTTATATAAGCCGCTATTGAATCCATAATATTTGAAATCGGTAAATGTTGGGAACTGGCCACAAAACTAATTCTATGATGTACGTATAAATTTAAAACCTATCATTATTACTGTTGAGTTCTTAAAGATAATTCTTATTGACTAGGCATATATTCAGAAGGATATAAAAAGAAAGAAGTTTGCGAAGAACAAAAAAAATAAGAAGAGAAGCACATAACCAAATATATAGCCCCTACTTTAATTTATGACCAATCTAGCTTCGTATTCTTCATTTAATCCTTTATTGATGTAAAATTGGAAATCAAATCTTCAAGAAGAATGCAATTTGTTTAAAACCAATTCATAATTTTATTTGATGGTAAGTATTCAAGTTCCACGAGTAATGTTCAAAAGCTCAACCATTAAGTAATCTAGTAAATACTCTCAGCACATGGGCTCTTGGTTCTATGTCATGAGTGGTCTCTTAAATTTACTCGTCCTTAATTCCTGCAATAGCTCTACCAGTGTAGAATAATGGTATGGCCGTAGTAACAGTGAACAACGCATAAAACGGGAAGACCAAAAACTTGGAATGTCTGCCCCTCAACCACAACTTTTTATTGGAGCTTTGGTATTGTCTTTGCAAGTCAATAATTCTCTGTGGGTCCATTGTGAGTTTTTGTTTTCTAGTGGTAAATGTTAGTATCTTTTGCTTTCGACTTGGATGACAATTTAGAAATACATGTCACTATCCCTCGTAGGTCAAACATTACATACAAGAAAAAGCAAATAGGTTAATAATAATGATAGTAAGAACCAGGTACTATTTATTTTCTGTCTGTTCTTTTCTCATTAGAGGGAGTGAACCAATGAAAATCTACACTATTCACGAGCATATGATCTTTGGCGGTTTTGTGTTACATCTACCAAAAAGAAAAAAAGTAAAATTGAAACTTTACTGTCCCTACAAAATGCAATACATTACTTAGTCGTTGACTCATTAAATATCTTTTTCAACTATCACTGTCATCATCGATAGGTATCCTTCTGGGCCGTCTTCGTCCACTAAGCTCTTCGTTTTCAGATTCAGATTCATCGAGATGCTGATCATGGAAATCATCAAGGGCCCTCTGGAGATCACCAGACTCAAAGTCTATTAAGCTATGGCCTTCATGATTACTGTCATCATCTTCTGTATTGCCATTATTTTCGAATCCTTGCCACTCTAACTCTTCTGCAGGCGATTGCGAGGATGACGAAGATAGCAATTCATGGTGACCCGAATCACCACTATCGTTTATCTCTTCAATGCCTCTATTATCCACAAAGCTGTCTTCACTATCATATCTGTCCTCGTGGTCGTTGTCTCTACCATAGAGCATTATTTCGTCATCGTCTTCATTGTATGCGTCCCCATCCTCTGAATCATAATAGGAATCAGATCTTTCAGAGCGAAATCGCATACCACAATGTAAGCATACCGATCCATGGGCTTCCCAATGACAATTTCCACATCTAGGTACCCCATCCGATCTATCAATTAATGTTACTGCCGATGTCTTGAAAACGTCCCCGAAAAGGTGATTCTTCTTCTGATCATATTCGAAGTTCTTTAGTGCTTCCGATCTTTGTTCTTTCAACTTACTTTTTCCATCTGCGTTATCTATAGTATCTATTATCAAATCAGAAATTACTTTGCTGATGTCTTTGAGCACTATATTGAGAACAGGAGGCTGTTCCAACTCAAAACGGCATGTAGGGCAGTTTAGCTTATTGTCGAACCATGAGTTCAAGCAATCATAGCAAAAAGAATGGCCACATGCTAATACGAATGGTACATGCATCATCTCTGAACACACTGTACATTCTATTGAGGAATTTATTCTAGTAATTAAGTTCACCTTTAATATGTCATCCTTTAGTGGTTAGTATTTGTTCTTCAGTCAACTCTAGCTTTATGTACTCCATAGACTTACAATTTTATCCCAAAATGTAAAGTTCTCATCTATTGATTCCATCGTGATGGTTCACCCACTAAGGTTTATTTTCATATTATGGTCTTCATTATGGTCATAAAAATATATATATACATATGTATGCTTCACTATATACAGTACTATAATGATCGATCTGTTGGTTTTTGTTAATAGTTAGATTATAATAATCGATTATCGTTTGACCGGTCACTATGAAGCCAGGAGTCTAAAAACTTGAACATTTCATGGACCTTAGCTCTTATTTCAATCTTGTCTTCTGTCAATCTTATGTCAACGTCACCTATAAAACCACGTAGCTGTTTTAACATGTCTAAGATCCTAGTCTGGTTCAATATTTTACCATCTCTAGTCAGAGCTTCTGCACCTCCTAGATATTCTTTCTTTTTGAGAGCATTGAGTTTATTTATCAAAAGCTTTTCGATATGGCAGCATTGCTTATACAAATAAGGGCTCAAAGTCACCTCATCTAAACGGAAATCATCAATTAACAGCTTCATTTCGTCAAATCTAGAATAAAATAAACAATTCCTCATTTGGATATTCCACTTGATCATGAGACTCCTACTTGACATTTCCTCGGGTCGAATGCATTTTAAAATTTCCTCTGTCTCGTAATATAGTCTTTTGTTCATAAAAAGTCGGCTGAGGGTTAGCAAGTGATATGAGTTTAATTTTGACCAGCTGACATTATGAAAGTACAGTTTAAGTTTCTGCTTATCAGGTTTCAACTGCAAATCATATACATTCAATTTATTTTCAATTCGGTCATACATTCGTATCATTTTCAAAAGATGTATAATTTTCTGCCTGTTGTCAAAATTCAGTCTGCGAAAGGTGTTTTCAATTATTTTGAGGTCCGGTCGAACTCCTTTTCTTAGCACGTCTTTAAATCCTTTGTTGATCCTATAATTAATTTGCTCGGTACAGTTTATAATTTTTCCTGATTTATCGTGCTTCCATTCTAACTTTTGCCAGTTAGTCGAATCATATTTTTTCAGACACAATAAATTTCTGTACAATGCAAATGGTGTTATCTGAGAGTCCAATTTCTTAATTTTGAATGAGTTTTGAAGAAGATCCTGCATTTGAACTGAGATGGCAGGATTCATTTTCACCCACAGGTCAAAATTGCTTTTGAATTCTAATGCATAGTATGGATATGAGTCAACCAAACTTTGAAATAACAATTTCACATAAACATAGTTAAACTTTGTTTTTGAACATGACGATTCTAAAAATTGTAATAAAGGTAGGAATTTGCCCTCCGAAGCATAGTATTTTGATACTAATAAGAAAAACTCCTCAGATGGTTTGATATTATAATGCTTCATTTTGAGGAAAACGAATTGGATCATTTTCATATCAGAATACTTTATAAAAAAATTTAGCAAGTCAAAGTAAAACAAAGTCAAATCAGATGAGTTATTTATGTCCTCTGATATAAGATTGATCGTGGATAAATCGGAATCCAAGATTCTCTTTTTGAAATTATTAGGATCTCTTGATTTGATATTATTTTTTAATTGCGCTAGCTTAATT